TCTCCATAACTTGCACCTCTAGCTTTTTAGCATCGTCCCACCGGCCTTGGTTCCAAAGCGTCGCTGCCAGGTTGGCCATGCTCGTCAGCGTGTCTAGGTGGTCCACTCCAAGCTTCATCTTGCGAGTCTCCATGACCTACACAAACAGCTTTTCAGTATCGTCCCACCGACCATTCAGGTGATACGCCAAGCCCAATATTGCCATCCCATTTAACGCATTATTGTGCTTATTACTGAAAATCTTCTCTTGAACTTTCATTACCTGAACCGCTATGTTCTCTGCCTCTATACCTTTTCCCATTCTCAACGCGTACTATGCTGCCTTATATAGCACTAAAGCCTAGTCTAATAGAGAGTCTTGTTCCTTTGGCTTCTATGCTGCTGCCGATTGCGCGTGTGGGAAAAGGTCTTAGCATCTGGCCCAGTTCTCGTACTCTCCCGTAGGCAGCTCTACGTCAAGATTCTTAATAAACTGCCGTTTCCACCTCTCTATTTGCCCATGAGCCTTAAGCCATTTCCTCATTGCTAGCTATACGAGTGCGTGCATTTCGAATGTTGTGTTATTAGCATTAATGGAGATGAACGAGTAATTTCGTAAGATTAAGATATCTTCTTCAAACTTATCGCTTATAGAAGACTATAATATACTATCTTTATCGGCATCACTATAGCCAGTATTATTATCAATATTATTAGTAGTGCTCTCCCTCTAGTCTTGCCTCGATTTTATCTCCTCGCTTCGATCTTAAAGTAGAGTATCAGGGATTCCTTGCCGGTTAAAAAAGCTTATAAGCGATAGTAAATTAGCCGCTAATGCTCTAATCTTACGGATATGATCGAAAGATATTTGCTATATAACAATAATCGAATTCTTCGCCTCCCTATCCCGACGGAGCTACTTGCTACTATAGTCTAAAAGACTTGTTCTCTTACGATCGCTATCCCAAAAGGCCTGAAGGTATTCTTGTATGGAATAACGCGGTTTCCGCTGTAAGATGTATGTAGCTGCCTGAACGATAGCGAGCGGTATGAACTCTAGTGCTACGAGAAGCTTAGCAGCGACATTAGCGTTATCACTACCGTCGGCGTCCCCTCCTAGCTTAGTCTCGAACAGCTTTAGCGCATCTTCACTACTCATTGGGTCGATTGTAATAAGGTCGTGCTGCTCAACTAGATTCAGGGCCTCATCTCCACTCCGCGTTGTTATAAGAATCGATCTATACAAACACTGTGGTAAGTATAACACAAGCGACCGTAGGTTCCCGCTCTCTATACTATTTGTTTGCCTATCTTACCTAGTCCTTCGAGCCTCAACGAGAAAGCTAGTATCGTCTACATTATCTAGTATAAGAGCCCACTTCCCTTTCCTTTCGTCGTATAGCCAGTTGTGCACGAGCTAGAAAATATTGGCTATTAGACTTTGCCGTCCCGGGATCTTAACACAGTCTGCAATATCTCGAAAGCTCTGCTCAAAACGGGCGGCATTGCTTGTGTAAACCCAGAACACCCATGTATCCGGCGAGCGGTCTCGAGTTCAATAGGCGTATTCGATAGCGAGTTGCGATTTGCTTCACGGCGGTTAGCTATACGTATTAACCAAAGGGTTTGTGCTTACCTAACACCGCTTAGGCCAACGAGCGCGGTCCGGGATCCCACAATAGCACATTTCTAGTGAATCTGATCGAGTATCCCTCGCTCGACAAAGTCTGTATCGCGACTAAAGGGTATGATGATCGACGGGTTCGGTGGAGTCTCTAGTCGTTCTGAGGGTCGGGACGTCATTAGTGTGGGGTCGGCTTAGACCTTTGCGACTTACTAGGAGGTGCATTACGCATTAGTCTTTAGGATAAGACTTACCCTTCAAAGGTGTGTCAATTGCCTCCCGGAGCCGTAGAAACGCCTTGACTTCTCCTTCGCCATACAGAAGTGGCATCTAGACATCGAAGATCCTAAAGAGCGAATATGCCTTGTCCTCCCTGCGTGTAGTTTGGCGGCCTTTTGCCTAGGAGAATCGTTCATTGACGTCGAACTAGGAGAGGGAGTTTTCTCGAAGGGCAGTAGTAGGGATTCCCGTAATCTCGTGGATTTATTGCTCGAGAGTTCTCTTACTACCTAGACTCTTACTTTCCCGGGAATAAAATTCAACTAGTCTTGGAGCGAGGAGTTCTTGTAAGGTCTAGCCTCGTGTAAACCATTTGCTTGCTTAGAAAGCAGGTTCCCAAGTATACACAGCAGACGTATCACTTGCTTTCCGCTTTAGTATCGAAACATCAGATAAGTAGACGTAGCATCTAGCTGCTTTCTGATACTAGCGAAACATCGAGTTAATAGCTTCTAAGAGCTCAGCGCTGCTCGATTTGTCGATGCAGCATGTGTCCACCCAGAAGTAATCCAAGCCATCACGCCTCGCCTGTTCTCCGCAGAACTGTATCTTACCGTGGCCAGCCTTGGCTTTACTTGTGTGGCTTTACTTGTGCCATCTGTCATATCCTTGAAAGTGACCTCCTCGGCTCCCCATCTGTGCGAAAGTATAGCATACTCGGGGATATCGTCTTCGAAGAACTCAGTCAGGCTGAAATCGCCATCGTTATTGAAATGTAGCAGACGCATTATTCGACTAGATTCGAGGATCGCAGACGGAACGGTTCTATGTAGCTGATGAGCCGTCGAAATAGTATCGATATAAAGTGAGGAGAAGGTTGGAGAAGATGTTGCGGCAGCAGCCTCGCGGCAATATTAGTCTCATGTGAACCTTGGAATTCCTCATCCGAATACTCTCGTGACCCGGGCCTGTGCCGCTCCGCTAAGAACGGAGCCGAAGATCATAGCGGGAGGCCGAAAGACATTCGGCGTCATCGGATTTTCAGATGCGAAAGATGGGATGAAAAATTTACGCAAACCGATCAGGTCATACCGTGGCGAATCCTTCTGAGCTGATCAGAAATGCACTCGATGCATCCAGCTCCACCTGTACACGAAATGCAGGAGAAGGCCCGAGAAGCATGCAAATAACATGGGGGAAGACGCCCCAAGATGTTCCCCGCAGCGGGGACAAGGTTGGTCGCCATGGGCAGGACAGCTCTACGTTTTAAACCTGGTTCCCACCGCTCCTACCGTCCCAAGACGGACGACAAGCGTTCGTGTCTGGTCTGCAGCTCTTGGAAGCCAGTAGGGAAACCGGCCGAGCATGAGATCAACCTGCCTAAATAAAAGCCCCACGTCGTCATGGGTGCGGAAGCTGAAGAAGATTTTATTAATGGCGGGGTAGCTCCCGACGGTGAATTCTAATTCTAAAGAAACTTTGAGTGCGAAGTCGTATACAAACCCGAAGTCTGCAATGGGAATTTCTTTATTATCATGAACTTTGAGCGATTCGTCTGTTGTCAGTAAAACATGCACAATGGCTACATCTTGGGCAAGAATATTTGCGCTGCTACTTCTAGACTTGGGAGTCCAAGCTGCGACTGATTTCTCTGTCACTACGAGTGGTATCTATTCGTGGAATCAGAGCGATTGGTCTTTGACGGCAACAAAGTTCATTCCAGGACAATTTCAATCTCGAATGTCACTTGCAAATGGGTGAGTAGAGCACTCAATTGACTTGTTCGGTCTCAAGTGTCCCAAGCTGACCTGGACAAGCTATGTTGGAGCATCACTTGCAGCAGCAGGACCATTCTTCGAAACCGATGTCAATCAAACCGATCCCAATGGCATTCAGCCAAGCAATGGATGGCCTCTTTTCGATACTAGAATATCCTTCTCCACCATCTCAGGGTTCTACGATGTCCAACCCAACGGAACAGGTACGAACTACCCATGGTTGAATCAATACGGCTGGGAGAGTTTCATTAGCGGAATTCCACACCCTACCGCAATTATCTTTGCCTTCGGTGACAACTACCTCGATGCTACAGTCTCCAACACGACAATCTCGAACTTTGCCTCAAAGATATCGTTCCAGACAGGCGTAGGAGAGTGGTCATACACATGGAGTCCAGAATCCAGCTCTGCCGCATTCAATGTCTCATATTCAGCTCTTTTCAGCAGAGCCCGACCAAATGTTATTGCTGTGAAAGCAAGCATCACACCTTCGGCCTCTATTTCTGGCACTGTTACAGACTTGCTAGACGGCTCGAGCGCAGCGCGATCATATCTCGATACTAAGGGAATCGACACTAATGGGAGTACGATATATTCTTCAGTGCATCCTAATGGACTTGCGAATATTACTGGCTATGTTGTGTCGGGCGCAAATTTCTCGAATGCGTACACGAATTCAAGTTCTCGAGCTGAAGCAACTGGGCCATTCGTTGGTGATAACTCTACCACGATTGGACAGACTTACAACATCAGCTTAAAAGCTGGAGAGACTGCGACATTCTTCAAATTCGTTGGAGTCGCATCCAACGACAAATTTGCAGATGTTGAAGAAGTAGCTAGACAGGCACAATCAACTGCTCAAGAAGACGGTTGGGATGCACTCCTGTCTGAACATGTAGCTGCATGGGCGGAAATCATGACTTCGGACAAGGTCGACAACTTTACTGATCCAGCAACTGGACGCCTTCCAGATAGTCAGGATATCGAAATTCTCCAAATCGCTTCGGTAGCCAACACCTACTACCTCCTTCAAAGTATCCAACCAGATGGATCTGGGCTAAACGACAACAGTGTCTCTGTTGGCGGACTAGTCTCTGATTCCTATGCTGGTCTTGTGTTTTGGGACGCAGATTATTGGATGGCTCCTGGTCTGAATCTCGCCTTCCCATCTTACAGCAAGCAAATCTCCAATTTCCGAATCAAGCAACATCCGCAAGCTTTAGCAAATGCAGCTTTCAACAACTACCCCAACAATTCTGCTCTCTATTCCTGGACAGCAGGTCGCTACGGTAATTGTACTGGCACAGGACCATGCGTGGATTATGAATACCATCTAAATTACGATATTGCTTTCAATCTCTTACAGCAATATAACGTCACGAACAACGAAACATGGTTCAATGCTGGTCCAAGGCAAGTCATCGAAAGTGCGGCTATCATGACTGGCCATTTATTGCAATATAATGAGACAACGAAGTCATATTGGCTTCATAATATGACAGATCCAGACGAGTATGCGAATAATGTCGACAACGGTGCTTTTACAATTGCTTCAGCAGCTGAGTTGTTGAGGGTTGCAAATGCATTGAGAGTACAGCAAGGGCTTGAAGTCAACTCAACATGGGAAACTCAATGGCAAGGAATCGAATTTCCTACAGCTCCGTCCAATATCACCTTGGAGTATCAGACAATGAACAATAGTGTTGCAGTCAAGCAAGCCGATGTAGTTCTTCTCACCTACCCGCTTGATTACGGCGAGGACTATACGGCAGATGACAAGCTGCTCGACTTGGACTATGTATATCTTCCCACCTCCTTTGAGCTATTGCAAACTAACCTTTTATGCAGTACGCAAACAAACAATCTCCCAACGGCCCAGCCATGACCTACTCCGTCTTCGCTGTCGATGCTAATGCTCTTTCACCAAGCGGTTGCTCAGCCTACACTTATACCCTTAACGGCTTCCTGCCCTACCTCCGAGCCCCCTTCTTCCAATTCTCAGAGCAAGCCATTGACGACGTAACATTAAACGGGAACACCAACCCCGCCTACCCCTTCCTAACAGGCCACGGAGGCGCAAACCAAGTCGTCCCCTTCGGCTTCCTAGGAATCAGAACCGACCAACCAATGCTCTACATCAACCCATCCCTCCCTCCTCAGATCCCATACATCAAAATCCGCACCTTCCACTACGCGGGCGCAGCTCTCCAAGCAACAATGAACAGCACACACACAAACTTAACTCGAATCTCATCAACGTCCCTCACCGACCTCTACCAAAACACCACCCTCCCCCTCACAGTCGGAACGCCCAACTCGCCCTCCTCTCAAAACACAAACTACACCCTGTCCACAAACCAAACCCTCACCATCCCCAACCGCCTCTACTGGCAGACCCTAACCCACGCAAACAACCTCCTACAATGCCAGCCCGTCACCTCCCCCGACGCCTACGCCGCCGGCCAGTTCCCCACAGCAGCCATCGACGGCGCGACAGCCACCCGCTGGCAACCCGCGTCCAACGCCTCCGCCTCCCTCCTCGTGAATACAACCTCTATCACCCCATCCCTCGTCTCGGGCCTCTATTTCGACTGGGGCGCCCGCCCTCCCCGGTCCGCGACCGTGTACCTGGGGAACTCAACCACAGTAAACGGTGAGAATTTGACAGGCGAAGAAATCATCATCCAAGTCGGCGGTATCGCGCCCAGTTTACCGTTCGTGGCGGCGGAGGCGGAGGCTAGTGCGCAGGAGGTGCAGCCCGTGGTTGGGAACAGCACGACGGTTGCGGTCGAGGGCGGGGCGTGGAGTGGGGGGTATGTGAGGTTGGTTGTTGAGGGGTGTTGGGAGGAGGATGGGGAGGGGGCGACGGTGGGGGAGTTTGTGGTTATTGGGGGTTGAGATGGGGTTTGGATTTGGATTTGGATTTTGGTTGATTTGATTTGATTTGGTGGTTTGGGAGGAAGATTTGGATAGGTTATGAATTGAAAATATCGTTGCTTTGAATTTTCCCTTGAAGGAAATGAGATATGTGTTCGTGGTGATGAACCTACACTTGATTGGTGTCAGAAGTGAAGAGTAAAAGGAGAGTGCCCTGAAGTTCTTGGGGCATTATGAATTTCCACTTGGTCTCAATCTACCAAAGGTTGGAATAGTATGAACCTTCAAAGGACCGGTGCAAAGGAGCATCAGCTACCCAAAACTCCATGTCACATGCACACCAAAGTCACAAGTATGGAGCAGCAATAATTATAAGCCTGGCTTGATTCTCTAATCGTACATCAAAGCAGCGCAAGCACTATTAGCGGTCCCATTTCGAGACCATGAACTTTTAGCCGCCAGCTCCTTCCACTTCTCTAAGCATGGAACTTGATGCCAGCAGGACCTTTCAAAAGAAAACGAAGGGTATCAAGTTACCACCCAGCCAGTCATTATCATTACAATTCGCTCTCTCACTTCTTTCATCTTCTCTCCTTCCTTGCTCTTGTAGTCGAGGACGAGGTTACGCACAAGGCACAACATAAAGTCCAATCGGCATAGGAGCACTGTCCTGGAAATAATCTAACTCCACATTGCCCACGCTTGTCGCCGAATAGCTGATTGTGGTTCCCGCCTGGCATGGATATGTAGCCACAGTGTAGTTGTTGCCGGGAATGATCTGCGTCTTGCCATAATCCGTAGCTACAGCTGGAGTGCTGTTGAACGTCGTAGCAGCGGAGGCAATGCCCGACAGAAGGGCAAAGTCGATACCTCCGTGCTCTCCAACCTCTTCTTCAGTGCCGGAGAACGTGTAGCCACCAGCAGATGGATCGAGATCGGTCTGGTATGGGAAGAGGAAGACGAGGGCACATGTGCCGTTGTACGTGGCAGGGATGTCGAAATTGTAGAGGGTGGTATTGATTGGTGAGATGTATGCTTTGAGTGAGTTTCCGAATGCATGGTCTCCATCTTGAGAGGAAGTTGGAACGATGAGGTGTGGGAATTGGAAGGTTCCTTGAGAGAGGTCTGTGGGGCAAGCAGCAGCTGGAGCGAGAGGAGTGACCGTAGGAAGAGTTGTGGCTGTACCAGTAGCTGTACCAGTAGCAGTACCAGTAGCACTCGCGGTGGCAGATGTGGTGGGGTCAGGACGTCCTAGTGCGGTGCAGTTGAATCCTCCGGTCCTCAAGGTGACTGTCTCGCAGCCAGTAGTGTTCTGCAGAGCATCACTGAAGATGTTCCAGCTCCCATCCTCACCCGGACCCGTAGCAGGACAAGCCAAGAAGTTCTCGCAGGAATCGTGCATCAAGTTGCCATCAGCAGCCAGGGAGAAGTTTGCCAAGCCTCCTCCGCCCTGCGTACAGAGAAATTGATAAGAGCCAGGTTCGATAACACATGGGTGGTTGAGAGCATCGTAGAGAGCGTGGCCTTCCATATAGTAGTTGCCTTGAGGATATCCTCCACCGATTCGATTCTCGCCGATGGTATCTTCGACGACCATACCGTTGGGATCACCCACCGCATTCATAACGAAGCTGCATGGTGTGTTCTGGCGAGGAAAGAGGGCAGCGCCGGCAGCCAGCTTGGCCGCAATATGCTTGATCGCAACCATGTTGTATTACTGATGGTCGAAAGAGAGTAGCGGAGGCGTAAATACTTGTAGGAGAAGGATGGTGAGGTTGAACGAGTGACGGGTGAGTAATGAGAGATCGGAAAAGGAGGAATGTCGACCTTTAAGGAGTCATAAGTAGAGATTGAATGGGTGGTGAAGTTTGGCTGAAGGTATCGCCAACTTGCAGATTGGAATGATGTCGGTTCGGTCTCACCTTGAGTTCGGCGAGAACGTTCACTCGCTCGCCCATTCGAGGAAGTGCGGAACGGCACTTTGTTCATCCATCGTCACTGCCATGGCCCATGGCCCATGGCCCGGGGACGATTGCCTTCAGCCGATCTTCATCTTAAAAATTCAAGCATGTTCGACTGATCTTTCCTTGGCCCAAGCTGCATCAAGGAGATTTCTTCATTTGGCGAGCCGGCGACTCTCTTACCTCATTCGTGCTCGGGATGAACGCATGATCGCGCAGATGGAGAGAGCTTCATGCCGATTCTGGCAGAAATCGAGGGGAAAGAAGTTCAAGCAGGTGTCACCCACTCACTTCAACTGAAACATGCCAAGAATAAACATAAACACGCTTGACTGTCTTGGGCATAGTTGCTGATGATCCAAGTCAGGTACCGGCGGGTGGCTGAATACCTACCCCCTTGTCTCTCCACATTTTGGTTTCGAAACCTTTTGTTCATCCCATCACTCATCTCGGAAGAAACATCACAATGAACACAAAACCTGTCAAGTGACGATGCTCAAGGGTTAGCAACATGGATTGAAGAACCTCAACGTTGTTACGAACGGATATGCACATCTGCAAGATCAACGACCAAAGCAAGGCACCGACGACGTTGTGAGACCAAGCAGAATCTTGCAGGACATGAGTCAAGGACAGCATTTTGAAATAGCACGAGAATGATTTCAGCCTCAAAAGGTACTACGTGTATGTCTCTCACATGCCTACGTGGCAGGGCACAGCAGCTTCATGGGAGAATGAGGCATGGCACCTTGCAGGATGGAACTCAAAGACCCCGGTTGAGTTCGCCGAGAATAGATTGCTCTGCATCTGAGCCTCCTTTGATGTCTGTCGTCCTGAAGTACAACATGTAACAAGTATGACTTGGATCATGGCAGTATGCAGCAGAAGATTCGACGCCGTTGAGCGTTTGCTCAGAGATCAAGTTACTCTGCATTTCCTCAGTCTCCGAACCTTAATTATGCCAAGCTATAGTCTTTCACAGGTACGGTGTGAAGCATGGAAGTCTGCAGAAGAAGCCTCGACAACGCTGTGATGCCGTGACGAGGCCAAGGCGCGCTGCATATTCTCGATCTTCTGACGTTCGTCGTCTCCAAGTACGGGTTCAAGCATAGGATCCATCTTAGAAAGGTCCGATCATGCTCAGGCATGGCTTCCAGCACCAAGTTTCTGTAGATCTTGGTACGTCTTCGAATGCTTGCATCTGCGTGCAACTTCGGACGAGCACTTCAAACACAACGTCCTCGCCCAGCATCTAGGACATGCCGTCACTAGTGCATGAAAGTAAAGTACAACCTTTGACAGCATCGGCAAGGAACAAACGGAATATCACGGAGGCTAATTCAAGAGCGAGAAACCAAGAAGACATTGTTACAAGGCCGCGGAGAATAATCTCGTCGATTGATCTTGGATATCTTCGCCATGTCACCATTGAAACGCAACCTTTGACAGCATCAGAAGAGCAAACGGGACACCACAGATGCTGATTATGGATGACTATCTAGTTCAGAAGTCGAATGACCATCGCTACCGGAAACTCGATGAACAATCTTGTTCGTCGCTTCGGGACTTTCATGGAACGTCACCAAGGCAGGCGCAATTTTTGACAGCATCAACGAAGAACGAAAGAACGAACGGGACACCACAGCGGCGGTTACCCTATCAATTTTGAGTTCAAGGTTTCATCATTACTGAAACCCCTGACAATAATCTTGCTAATAGATCTTGCAGATCTTTGACATCCACCGAGTGGTATACTTGCGAGCACAAGCCTTGACAGCACAGGGTTGACAATGGGAACTTGCAGAGGACTTGAGGTTGAAACTTCGGTACCCAAGCAAGCTCAGCTACATGCTCCCGTATATTCGACGTGACCACTCACAAGTACGAGTAAGAGATTGGAATCTTGCATGAGGGAAGTGGTCAGTGGTCACTCTGATGACTGCTTCCAAGCTAAGTGTCCCGGACACTCACTTTGTACGTCTACCCGTCTTAGACTAGAGCTGATGTACAGCTGTGGATAATCAAGTTTGACGATGGGATCTTGCAGGAGAATTTTATGACAGCTTTCCTGCAGATCTCGGTGCCCTTGAACTTCTTGCTCTACAGACTTGTTCCAGAGCCAGTGTACAGCTATGGTAGTCAAGCTGGACTGGGATCTTCCAGATGGAGATTCGAGGTCATCAAGGCAAGACGCTGAAACTCTTGGATCATATGCTCTCACTGACGCATCAAAATCAAGTACAGCCTCTGACGGCATAAGGTGGAAGATGGAAGCTTGCAGTGCGTCAACTCCTCGACTCAAAGTCTCCTCAGTAACAAGCTCTCGACCGTTGCCTGCAGATCTCACTATCGACAGAGAGCAATGACCGTAAGACAATTCGAGTTAATGGACGGAGCAATGCGTACACCGTGAACGACGTTCACTCAATGAAACGTTATCTTTGCTTCGAAGTGCTTCTTGAGTCGCAAAGAAACAACACACAAACATAACATGGAACATGGACAAGATCAAGGAAGTATGATAGAGGAGAAGAGACACCACTTGGCTGCCTTAAATTACCTCCTCAGCAGTAGTATATCTGAGATATTGTATTACGAAATACTTGTTTTGCGAGAAGAGAACCTCTAAGACCACGAGAAAAGGAGGTGGCGTGACCTTCCTCCTGATTCTTGAGCTATTGTTAGGGTTTTGCGGTCGCCCCATCTTCCCCTATGGAACTTGGACATCAAAGTCTAGGAATGTCTCCATCTTCTAAGTGTTGTGTAGACTTGAAGTGGAGTCATCTTTTGACTTGCCTGGTAGGATAGCATGCTCAGATCACGAATGCCGGTCCTAGAATAGGACATCGGATCTCACTTTAGCCATTGCAGAGAACACGATATTCGATCAGAACAGGGCCTTCGAGACACAGAGAATTCATCACACAATCATCATACATCCTCATCTAAGTCTAAGTACCACTTGCTCCAAAATCTAATCTCAGAAGCAGCCATCCACCCATATGTACCAATCCAACTTCCAATATCCAATACCGAATCCAAGAAACTAAACACCCTGCTCCATTCCCTCTTCCCATTCCTCATCCTCTACCCCAAGCAACCCATTCTCAACCTCATTCCCATTCGCCTCATTCTCTCCCTTAACCTCAACCGGTTCCTTCCACCCAGTAAAAGCCTGCACAACCACCATCAGGACAGCCAGCCCCACTCCAGCAACGAAAAGGGCCTTGAGCCCCCCAACGTAGCTATCAATTGCAATCTGCTTCTCAAAACCCACTAGTTCCTTCACCAGAGCTGGACTGCCAAGAAGCCTCCTAATCAAATCCTCGTTGCCTTCCAAATCACCATGCTCCTCGAACCCTTGTTCCAGTTTCGCTTTCAGCACTCTGACGAAGAGTCCTCCACCGATAGCCGAGCCGAATGAACCTGCGAAGCCTCGGAATGTGGTGAGTAGAGATGTGGAGATGAAGTGCGTGGATGGTGGAGTCAAATGGAGAAGGTGCGCTAGGGTGTAGTTCAGGGCCGAACCAATGCATAGGCCGTTGACGAAGACGGCGAGGAAATAGAGGAGTGTGGGCGTGTCCTGGTTGGAAATTTGGGAGATTAGAGCAAGTGCGCATGCGAAGAGGGAGTATGAGACTATGCTTGGTCTGCGGAAAATCAATTTCTGTTGGGGTGAGGTGAGGAGGAGAGACTTACAGCCAGAAGCTACCACTACGTTTGATATGTAGTCCTCCTGCCAGAATGCCACCGATTGCGAAGCCGAAATTGGTGGGTAGAAGAATTGATCCAGCCGAAGCAGGTGACCAGCCTCGAATGGCGATGGCATAGGCTGGTGTGTAGAATAGGACTGACCATCTAGCTGCCATAATCCCTAACTGGGCCACGCATGACAAAAGAGCTCCTCTTGATTTCAGGACGGAGATTGGGATGATGGGGTCAGAAGCTATGTAAAGCTCGATGCAGACGAAGAATATCAGCAGGACGAAAGAGACGACAATTGGTATCCAAAGGACGTGCTGGGATGATAGTCCGAACAGGAAGAGTGAAATTGTGGCAATCTGGAGATTTTAGTATCGCAGGAGTTCTGGCACAACCGTACTTACAAGCATGAGCGCTCCAAGGTAGTCAATCCTAGCAAGCTTACGCATGATCGAGGCTCCATCATCTTTCTGCCCAGATGTGAAGTGTTTTGGAATGCTGAAGAATATTCCAGTGCCAAAAGCCAGTGCAAGTGGACATTGAATCCAAAACAGGAATCTCTGCAAAGAAGTTAGCCTCGTCTAGAATAGTTATTTCCATACTTACCCATCCAGTAACAGGCAGTAAAGCACCGGCTACGACAGCTCCAAAAGAGACACCAATCGTAAATCCTGTGTTGACCAGTCCAATGTACAGACCTCTCCGCTTCTTGCCAGCAAGCTCAAGCACCAAAATAAAAGAGATGGTCATGATACCAGCCCCACCAAGACCTTGAACAGCTCTTCCAGCAAGGAAACCTGTCAAATCTTGTGCTTGTGATGCTATGAGACCTCCGAGAGCAAAGAATACAGATGATACAAGAACGCATACTCTTGGAGAAAATACTTGGGCCAGACGAGCAGATAGTGGAGATATGCTGGACGCAGCTATCTACAATCATCATCAGTAACAGTTTTTATATCGAAGGAGCTAAACGTACTAGGTAAGCGGAAGTGAACCAACTCGCAGCAGCAAATGCGTCCAGATCTTCGGCAATTTTTGATTGTGTGGTGGTAATGCCGGACATGTTGGCAGCTATTGACTGTCAACGCCAATCCATGCCGACTTCATCTCTAAAAGCCAAGAATAGCCTCCAGTGAAAGCTTACCTTGTAAGAAAATCAATCCCCATAGACTCAATACAATCAACATTCCTCTCCCTCGACCAACTTGCTGATTCGCCCTATCCGGGTCCACTAACTCTTCCTCATCCGCGCCTTGCGACCCCGTCAAGGTCTCGGAGCTAGCATCATCAACTTTGATATTCCTTTGCTCCCCCAGCAGTGACGATTGCTCTCCCGCCTCAGGAGTTGCACTCCCACTCTCCTGCGCCATGATCCTTAAAGTTGCTTCCACACACGTGACACGCCACTCTTGATGCTGTCGGGTTGGTGGTTCGAGCTATGTGGACTTTGAAGAGCGATTGCGAGATAAGCTAGACAGATGGCTCAGTCAGGGGTCCATGATGATACTGTTTGAGGACAGATAGTAATCGGATATGGCAGAGATGAAAGCCGTCCTGGTCATGACGAAGGTTGACTACAAAAAAGTGATACTGCTTCCTAATCAACGAAATTCCTCGCGCAGCCTTGTCGGCAAGAACGGCTCTCCGACGCCCTTATGGAGACCTTACGTTAGCCTGTAGGAGTTCAGATTCAGGGTACTCCGACCAAGAAAATCGGGGTGGATCCAGGGGTTAGGCTAGTGCTGACCGGGGTTGCGATAGTGTAGCTGCCTATCTCGACGTAGAAATACTCGAGTCTGCTTTCAACACATCGACGTTGCAGCAAAGAGTACAAGACGATGATACCCTCCATGATGACGAGGACGGTCTCGACCTTGAGATCTGCTGAGAAGTCGGACCTTCTAGGCGGACAGCTGAGGACTTGGAGCTGGATCGCCGTTCAGAATGTCGAGATAATTGGGCGCGACATACCACAGCAGAAATCTATGGTATCAACAGCAAGGTAGGATTGATGCGTGTGGTCTGCTAACGATATCTCTTGGCATCTGTTCACAGGAGCATCTCCATGTCCTTGGGAAGCTCTGCCGTCCCAGCAATCTATCGTCTCCTCCAACCTCTCCTGCTTCGAAACAACTTGCCGCCAATTTTATTGGTTGAGAACACCGAACATGTACGGACCTGCAGATGGAAATTCGAAGAAGCCGAGTTTATTGATGAATGGGACTTCACAGTGGCTGCCATTATCAGTAGTCCGTAGATTGAAAGCTAGAGAAATGTGTACTGCAGACACAAGTACTTGACCCCTACCACGGTATCGCCCAATAACCATCGTCGGAAGGGCTTTGGAGAGTCAAGAACATACTTGAGAGAAGGGATTCCGGATGGGACAACATGGAAGAGAAATTGGAGGTCTGTACAATATATTGGTAGCAAGGGCGGGACAAGCGTGCCTACTGTATCTGGTTGCATTTCCAAGCATTCGAGGAGAGAGATAAGTCTGGTGTCTCTGGCTAAGAAGCAAAAACTTGAAATGAATGAGGTAATGGCTTCGCTAGTCTACAATACTCCGAAGCATGCAGTAGTATGCACGCTCGTATAAACGGGTGGAAGCCAAATCAATGGAACATGGAACATATCTGAATGTCTTCAGCCTGTGGTCTCGTGCTTGCAATACTAGATGCTCCCATCTCCTTAAAGCTGCACGGAGCTTTCCTCATGTTCCGTGAATTCGGGCTCGTGTCCAAATGCTGCAAGATTTACTGTAACGAGTTTAGCATAGAGAAGTCCTCCTACTGAATCAAGCCTGTCGAAAATATCAAGCTGTGATGCAGCTACTCGGCAAGAAGAGCCTTCTCTCCGTCCTCAAGGCCCGAATCTCGCGTTCGGAGTATGAGCGGAGTAAGGTGAGTTGTAACTCCAGATGAACATATTCTGAGAACAGGCAGGCTCTCATCCTCGAACCAAATCTGACTTTGTTCCTCCCCAAAAGATAGACTGGAGTTGCTTGTTGACTACGTGCATTTTGGACTACTATCTTTGGTAATTGTGGTAGTTGACTACCAGGAAATTTGTCGTCGATATTTACTCAATGTTCTCAAGAAACTGTGTCTTTCTCTGTTACTGCTCAACAATCAGATATTTGCGCTACATGCGCTATACGCGCAATCTGCGCTGTATGCGCACTTTTGCTCGCTTCCAAGAACATTTCACTTGACCTCCCAAAAATTCCACAGCAACAACCACATAACAACCTAGAAATCGGAGCCGGTGAACTATTTCTCTGATCACGATATTACCAAGAGCAAAAATAACCTGAAGATATTTGACCCCGGAATGTCAAGCCGTTTTGGCCTGAAATCCTCGATTGATGTAGGTTCACAGCCCCTAAAATTTAGCGAGAGCCATTTGAATGAGCATAGCAAACACCGCTTCAGGAATTTTTATACCAACAACCTCGACGAAATTTGGGAATCGGAGCCGGTGAAAGGATTTGGTAGCTTATGATCTATGAAAACCAAAAATAAGCCCAAAGTATTTAAGCCGGGAACATGGAGCCGTTTCGGATGGCGCTGCGTGAGGTAGGGAATGTGCTTGGGAATTAAGCGGGCTTTGGCAGTCCCAACTTCGAAAATTTGTAGTAAAATAAGCACGCCCAGATTCGAGATTCGGAGACGGCTATGCTCTTTATTAGTATGGTTATTATGAATCAAGAAATTAATCCCAAGAAATTTGAGTCAGGAACCTGGAGCCGTTTTGGATGGCGAAGCGGGACTTGATGCTATGAACAAAATCTGGGAGGCTCAGGCGAGCAAGCGCACGGTCAAGAATCCCTCTTAAATAATGACGTCCATACAGAGAATCAAAGCCAGTTAAGTACTATCATTGAGAACAATAATCTCAAGGAAGTTGGGTCACGAAAATCGAGCCAATTTCATCGATGCGCGAGAAGTCCATGCCCTTAGCGCCAGTAAGCAGAAAACATCATATCTGCAACCGAGTAGAGTGTCCCGAGCCGTAGGCAATCCCACTATGCGAGGACAATCTTCGAAGACAGCATGTTCAGACACGTCACCAATCACACGGCGGACAGGTATCAAGTACAATTATTCTACCTCGATCATACATCTAATATTTACAATATTGGTATCAACAAACATTCAGGTGACCATAACCCCAGAAACCACGATCTGTCTACGGTAAACGCCTTTGGATGTGGCACCCAAGCCCCCTTGATTTGTGTTAGATAAGCTCACTACCGAGTCTTATCGAAAGCAAAGAAGATGCTAGTCTTCAGTATCGTCGAAAGAAACAAGTCCCACACCAGTGCTGCAAAAGGCACCGTGAGGGGTAGCAGGAGTGCGATCCGTCAGCCGAGCGTATGTCAAAGTAGGTAGTCTATCGAAAGCAGGATGTGCACGAAGTGCTTCGGCTTCGGCTGCAGGAAGATCGTCGATGGTTTCGACTTTCTCCACAATCTTGCCCTCACGAGCCTCGACGTAGTCGACATCAATTGTGCCAGCAGTGAGAAGGTTGTAAACGAAGACTGGTCTTGTTTGACCATGTCTTCGAGAACGCCCAATTGCTTGGGTTCTCGCTGCTACGTAGACAGCCCTAGCGTCAGATCCAGTCGTGTAAAACGGCTGTAGGAATAAGACGTGCCGAGCATTTACTAAGTTGCTAGGAAATAGTCAGCACACGTTTCAAATAAGATCAAAAGCAACAGAGACTCGTACCTTCCAGCTGCTCCGGCATCGTCAACTTTCAAGATCATGACTTGAGTCTTTGCATTCTCCTTGAATTCTTCAAGGACCAGAGACGCGTTTCTACAATCGTCCAAGTCGCAGAATCCGATGTTAGCCGCCGCTAGAGCCTTTTTAAGTCTCGACTCTGTCTTTTCAAATTGGACGAAGACCAAGACCTTCTCAGCCTTGCCAAAGCTGTTGATAAGATCCACCACGGTATCTAGCTTTGTACCGAAGCAAGAAGTATCATCCGCAGTTGAATTGCCAGCCAGGGAAGCACCGTTCAATCTCTGGTGATGCATATTAAGGGCTCCACAGTCGCTCGCTGGACATTTATCGGAAGAATCTTGCCTAGTGACGCATGTGGCACATAGGGTATGCCCACATGTGGTAAGCACAAAGATGTTGGCTCGGTCGTCGACAAGCCCTGCGCAACCGACACAGCTGTAGGGACCATCGTCCTTGATATTGCGGACGCTCTGGAAGAATCGGAATCCTCGCGTCCGTGCCAGGACCTCTTGTGACATTTTGTTAAGAGCGCTCGTGCTGGTCCGAAGATCAGCATCAACAAGAACGATCTCTCTGCTACTGGCGGTGACGATAAGTCCATCCGGCTTCACAGGAAGTGCTTCTTGGACTGGATCATTTTGGTCGGCTCTGGGATCCTTGTAAAACTCTGTCCAGACTTCTTCATTTGCTTGGAACTCCTTTGAAGCATTCTTAAGTGCCTTCCGAAGATACTTGGTAGCCTCCGCGTCGCCAAAGTGGTTCTTGCTGATACGTTCGACGAACTCTCGAAACAAGTCAAGCTCCGCGTTGTTCGTGACGTGATCCGCCAGCCACAACGCCTTCTTAGCTTCTGTCGTAAATGTGCGTAGCATATCGCGGAGCTCGGCATGCCGCACGTTGGCAACATAATCACTCATCTGATTAGCACTCATACTACGGTCGATAGACGCACCGTTCTCCGGGTCGGGGGAAAATTGTGAAGAAGCGCGCATAAAGAGCAATTCTCGGCCATCGAGGCAGAAGCCCAAGTCTCTGACCATCTGTTCCCGATTTCCACCATTGGTGGAGGTAGGTTTACCCACGAAGTTACTCGCAGCCACGTTCTGCTGTAGCTCACTATACATGGCCATCTCCGCGGCAGATTGCGAAATGAGTATTGTGAATTCATACATGGGGAATTGTTCACACCGAGCCGCATCCTAGAACATGTAAGCATTATTCACGTTACCACAACAGCCAGAAGCAACTCACCGATCTGGCAAAGTGGAAAAGGAAGCGCTTGGCTTGTTCGTGATAGTGTTCACGCAGTGCTGCCGACGAGACATCGGCCAGGGCTACCATCTGCTCAGAGCCTGTCGAGAACTTAGTAACGTTGGCTCATCACATCCTCGGCTACTTACTTGTGAGTTTGGAGAACTTGTCACTATAAAGTTCTGCAACCATATTCGAATAATCATCAGATCCAAGGTTGATGTGAAGAAGAGTGGCCATGGCTTTGACGTAATCAAAGCTTGCCAGGCGTGGCGTTGCCGAAAGTATCCAAGTCCGGTTGGCTTCGAGTAGTTCCAAAACTGTCAACAAGTGACTCTTGATGTAAGTAAATTCATCAATCACTAAGCGGTTAAAGGTGAACATCTCGAATAAGGGAAATTTAAAGAGAAGATACTGCTTATTGGGATCATCTCGAGATTTTGTTCCCTTAGCTCGAGTCTTTTTTCCCTTGGTTTGCGCAATTCCTGGAAATTTCCACTTCCAACTAGGATCGTAAAGCTTTGGTGTCTTCTTGGTCTCCTCTTTGGGAGCGCCACCTGTGTTTGGTGCAGTGCCATCATCCGACAAAGTTTCAACCTCTTCCTCATCAGACTCGAGGTGTGCATGCTCACTGTCATGATTTTCGTGGACCTGAGCCTCTGCCAACCGGGCATCTGAGTTTTTGTAGGCTGCACCAGTAACGTGCCTTGAGGGAACCGGAACCTCTGCAGACATGGCTGCTGCTTTACTCTCGTAGAATTTCCCTTCGAGGTAATCCTCGAATCCCTGCGGATCCTGTCTCAGTTGGTCTAAATTCTCTGCCACGCGATTTAGCGCGCTTTCGTACCAGATTCGTGTGAGGCGACTGTTCTTCATCGTCGCCGGAGGAATCATGCCTGCGAACTGCGCGAGATATCCGAAGTACGTCTCAGATTCGAAAATGCTCCACGCAACCACTATAATATCCGCGTGAATGAAATCTTGGATGGTGTACTTCTTCAGGGTAACGAGATTCTTGACGGCCAAGACAATTGGGGCGCTACCCATGAACTTCTCAATCTCGCTTTCCCACTGGCCAAGCAAATGGGGCGGCATTAAGATCAAGGTTGCTTTTGTGGGAATACGTTTCGAGGGCTCCTGGGTCATTCTGCTCGCACTTTGTTCTTGATACAAACCGGAGTTCGAAGCGATCAGGCCCAGAGTCACAACGGTCTTGCCGAATCCAACACCTTGTGCAAGGACGCCGCCCGCGACCGTCTTCTCACAAGTCGCGCGTCCTTCAAGACGATAGCCTATATCGCGGACCACGCCCTCAACGATTTGCTCCTGCTTAAAAGGACGCGGCTTTTTCTCTTGTAATATCATCCATTCCAAAGCGCGTCTCTGCTCTCGTTGCAGCGCAATGCCTGCTCTATCGAATGGCTGAGCGGCCGTTGCCATGTTATCGGTCCGTGGCATGTCATAGATAGAGACGTTCGGCTTGCGATTAGAGTCGTCATCCGTGATGAGTCGCCATGAGAGCGAAATTCCAGAAGAAGGTCCCGTCGCTGCAAGGAAGGCTCTTGCTCGGTGGGCGAGGGTCATGGGGTTTCCTACCAGACGGAACTCGAGCGAGGTGCCCACCGAGTTATCTTGCATTCTGAAAAAGGCAGTGAAACATTCAGGACGATGTCTGATAGAATCCTCGTACTCTGCAGCTTTCTTTGGATCCTCCTTCGCAACCAAATTACTTGCTGCATTTCTGCCAGGCTTATAGACCCAGTGCAGATTTGGTGGACTCGGAGCACAATTTGAGCAATGCTGCATATCGTTCGGCAGTGCATGCCACTTACTAGTCGACTCGGTATGGCCGACTAATACACTTGATTTGGTGAAAAGCCATCCCATCTCACGCCAGAAATCGGCTTGGATGATGCGAGTGACTTTCTCCCACTTACCCCTGAGGAATGCATCAGGCACTTTGAGTGGTAGCTGTGCGGAGAGCTCCAAAAAAGAGTAATTGTTGTCGCAATCGAACACTGCTGCAGTTTCCAGTTGCTCGGCAATCTGAAGTTGCTTAATTTTGGTCGCAGGTCTTAGTTCGCATAATAATGTTACGGCTGAGGCCCAGAATCCCGGGACATGAATAACATCCTTCTCCACGACAGGTCCCTCATAGAGCTCGAGTGGTGTCTTATCGATGGCATCTTTAACAACACGCTTCTCTGGTTGTCTCCAGGTGAGGAGTTGCGCAAATGAATCGCGATACACGCCGTGATCTAGTCTCTGGAATTGAGTGGAGACAACGAAATGCGTATCATTAGGTGTTCCACTACGTAAGGGGACATCGAGGAATAATCCCAAAGGATTTGGCTTTCCAATGTCTGATTGGCGGATGTGAAAACTGTTGAAGGCTTGACCACATGTCGGAGCAGCAGTATATACACCGCAGATATCTCTTTCGAAGTAGAATCCGTCATCACTGTCCTTGAAATCAATGTCGAGCTGTATGGTCGGAAATGTTCGCATATTATGTTCAGCGACCAGACCGCGTTCGCATTGGAAAGACTCGATGGGTTTGCCAGACGACGTTAGGGTGACGGCAAAGTCTCGCGACTTTGGGATCCAGAGCTGCCAACGTCCTGCAAGGAAGTTATCCCCAGTTGGACGTAGTCGAGCGACAGGGAATCGTCGAAAAAATTTACCGACTGGACTTCCCAAAGGCTCCTTGGGCACATTTGCATATAAGCGCCATTCAACACCTTCCTTGGAAACAAAGCCTTTGACAATGGCATCAGGTGAATCATAAAGGACCTCAATGGACCATGAACGTCGAACCTCCCGTAAGAAGACTCTCGTTGATAATGCACCTTTGACAATTTTCAGGGCCCGCTCCCATTCGGATTCCGTAGCGGACGGAGGTAGCACGTCGCTCAGTGCAGCAAGGTGACCCTCAATATCGATTGACATCCAGCCAGGTACATCGAGTTCCCCTGGAAGTAATTCCGAGATATGTCTGTCCAAGTTTGAGGGGATCTCTCGATGCTTGAGTTGAGATTTCTTGAAGATTTGGTACGAGTGCTGTGGTTCAACACCACACTTTGTACATGTCGTTTGTTGACAGATTTTACACTGCTGAAGCGGCAACGTGGTCGTCTCGTTCTGCATTTCGCAGTAACAGTATTTGAGTAGCGCAGCTGCTAACCTAGTCACGCTTGCTACTGATGTTGACTTGCAATCATCTAGGCTGACTTGGCGAGGAATCAGATATTCCCTGCCCTTGAAATCCACAGAAGGCTCTTCTAGAATGTTTGAATATCCATCTTCCAATCCGAGCCTAGCATAGAATGTCATTAGTGCCGCTAATGTGAAGGCCGTGACAACGGTGGAGGTCATCGCGTTTCCAGCTAGGTCGTGTAAGAGGGCTTCGCTCATATTAGAATAGTCCGCGAGATGAGTCGGCGTGGCTTGGAACATCAAAGCTTCGATGCCAGTAATCCTACGACCTTCAACGGTCGAGAATAACAGGTTGTTTGGCATGCAGCATCCGATTGTCGATTGCTTCGTAATGTCAGTGACTCGATAGACATTCTGGGATAGCTCCAGGATCCGACTATAAAAACGTTAGTAAGATCAGATGACGGGGATGAAGTTGCATACCTGTAATATCTGTCATCAACCAGTCTCCGGATATTGCGGAGATGTGCGATGTCGATTGAATCTGCTACGCGCTCAGACATCGCCAGGAAGGACCTAAACCAATCCGGCAATTTTCTTGACCCATCAGAGCGCCATTGTGTCACAGGTCGGTTGGTACCAAAGTGATTTACGGCCCGATATGAGTCGTGCTGAATGCTTGCTTTTACCCATTCCGACTTCTTTCTCTCCGTCACAGCGACCTGTTGCTTCAGGACAGACAAATGGGGATCATCTGATCTGAACATGAATGCCTCTGCAGGGGCGCTTGGGGCTCTCTTAAAGGATGTGAACAAATTCGAGAAGTCCTGTAATAGCTGCCAGGATTCTTGCTTGGAGTCGAAGAGGTCCTTGCGAACGGCTAGCATATAGCCTCGAACACGCGTATGCGGCACGTAAAACTGTTTGCTATCAACGCGCTCGAATTGTGTATAATAACCGACATCTTGCAGATGCTCGTCGATACCGACGCGGGGATTTTTCGATTTCGTTTGTGCCTTTCCTAACTTTGCATGGACCCACGGAGCACCACTAACATTCTCGAGAATGACCATTGCGGGCTTGTATCGCACCATATAAGCTAGAATCGCGTGAAAGGTGTCTCCAGATTCTCCCTTGTCCTCGAGCAGCTTCTTGTAGTTGTTTAGCGACGAGAAGTCGTCGCAAGCAAAACCTGCAATTAGCACGTGCACCTTCTCTTTGAGAACAGTCTTCGCGCCGTATGACGTGGTACTTGCAAGAATCAGTATGATTTAGGACTAGAAGACAATAGATACTTACAGAAGGAGATCGCCTGGGTCTTCAGCGCCTAAGATGAATTCAACTATGTCTCGTAAGATGAGCTTCGTAGTGCCGTTACGATTGATGAATGCAGCCTTTGCCGGATGAATTTCGGCCGCAAATGCTTGACGGAAAGGAAATAATGACTGATACTTCCAGAGAAGGGCTGCAGAAGATTGTTGTTAGACCATGCATGTACTCGAGGGGGAGCTTTACTAACCACGTTGAAACTCTAGGAGGCCGAGCATTGGTGCTTCGCTGCCTGAGCACATCGTCGCAAACGTGAGGCGTTTATCCAATATGAATTTCAACATAGTCTGGATGTTTTTATCGACAGCTTTATCTGCCATGTCTTCGAAGAACTGCGAGACTTTATTGAGGGGAGGTAGATTTGAATTCCAGCCATCGACACCATGGCGGAAATTAGACTGTGCGATGGGGTCTTCTTCAGCTGCATACGCATCTTCAGCCAATTCATTCGCTTCTGTTTCTTCTTCCGAGTCGGTCGGCGCAGTAGCTACGGATGCTTCTTGCTTTCCTTTCGAGTTCACTTTTGGCTCAGCAGATCGTTTTCCGGATTTTTCGAACATCGCTGACAAGTCTAAATCCAAGTCGGATTCTGCATTCGATTCATAGTCCAATAAGTTCAACAGCTCCATGATTGATACTTTAGCTGTGTGTTGAGGTGCAGATCTTCTGGGTTTCTTGGACTTTGTTACAAAGGAGGACCTCGGTTGAGCTTTCCGCTTTGGAGCCATGCGTGCCCTCGAGGTTGAGGGGAGATTGGAAGATATGGATCCGACACCAGGGTCCATGTCCAGCAAAGGCACATCAGCATCAGACCCATCCACGAACTGGCCAAAACGGTGAAGCATCGGCCCAACATTGGTGAAATTACGACGTGTTGGTACATGGTTATCAGGCAACTGATACTCGGATCGGGCTGTAGTAGAAGTTAGGATTACATTAACTCTAAGGATAAAGCACAATTCTAAGGATAGACACTTACCAAGGGGTGTAGAATCATCTGAATCATTGTCAAGTGCATTTCCAAGCCCATTGTCAATCGCAGCAGCTTCTGGAGCAGCGTCCGGCATTTCCGCATCGCTCTCGCCATCAGATTCATCGACGGTGTCTCGTTCGAATTCCGAATAGCCGCTATCTTCATCATCACCGTGATCACCATCGTCTTCGTAAACTGGCTTCTTATTTCTGGCGCTCCTAGCGGGTTGACGTCGAGGTGGATCCATGTTTGGTACACGCCTTATCGCTATCAGAGAAATCGATTAGCAGTCTGCTCCAAAGGCATTATTCAGATATCGAGCAGTGATGCAAATGACAAAGTAGAACGCAAGAGAAGACCAGCGCGCGACCCCCGACGCAAGAATGATCCTTGAATTAACCCAGATCAAAGCTCTCGAGAGCAGGAGGTTCGAGAGTCGGCTGAGCTAGGTCTTGCCGTACAAACAGTAAGAAAATGGGATATGTTTGAGATTATGGTATACAAAGGCTGTATGGGTAGCAAGGTAACAGGAATGAAGGATCGATATCGCAGCCAGAGCCGTAGCTAGGGAAGGGATGGAAGACCTACCAGTTGCGAAGACGCGCGCGGCCCCCAAACAAGTGTACTACAATCTTGGCCAAGTAGGAGTATGTTCTCCCTGTATGTATGCGAAGTTGTAGAAGATAGCAATTTGGGATGAAGCTTGAAAAAAACGTTGTGGAGAGTGTGGAAGATGGAGCTTGGAGGGGGACGGGAAAGGATCGGTTGAGCAGGATCTGTAGACAGAGGCTGCGGCCGGCCGCTTAGGAGCTACCGGGTAGCTTCGAAACCTTTCCACCCGCGACCTTCAGCTGCGTGAAGCGGAGAGCTGAAGAGGAACGTCAGAATTTCATCGGGCCAAGATATGATATCGTTCAGGACAAGATCCATGCTTTAGCCCAAGCACTTGCAGTCCATATGAACAGGTTATATATGAATCCAACAAACCTCTCCTGGCATGGCCGGCTGACAGAGACGAACAGACATACACAAGGGGCGCGCAAAGAGATCAACAGCATCAGCTTACCTATGACTATACCACTCCAATCGGATCTCCTTCCTGTTCTTGGATTGGCACATACCGCGGCACCGTCCTTTTGTTGAAGATTGGCTACCTGCTTTGAGAATATCAAAGCCATCGACTCGAGAGCCTTGTGGCAAGCCACTCCTTTTAGGATCAAGTTTGGTTGTACAACGAAGGCGGTGGAATTGGCTGTCGATTGGTCTTCCCATAAGGATAGTTGGCTGGCCCTTAAGACTTTATCCATTCGCGCTGAAGATCTGGAAAGCACAGAGACCTCTGTTCGTGATGTGCATGGCGTTCCGACATCACGCTTGATCATTCTGGGGCCACACTGTGGAGTTCGTTTGATTCTAGGAAGCCTCGCATGAGGCAGAGGTCTGGGAACAGGCTTCTCTGAGCCAGAGTCCTTGGCGCTATCCAAAAGCTCTATGAATTTGACGGCCTTTCCGAATACTTCATCCTTGGTGGTGTCCGCTCTTTCAAGACCAATGGGTGCTCTGAGCCAAGGCGGTGGACTCTCGCAGTCAGAATCCGTCTCAGAGGAGATCTCTATCACATCGGAGATAGCCATTCTTGCGTCTTAACTTCAGGGTGATGGCGATCACCCCACAATCGTACATATACCAGGTAATATGTCCTCAAAGTCAGTCAGCTTCCAGAAAGCACCATGGACAGCTCTCTCTCTGTCTCTGTCTCTGTCTTTCACACGGCTCCAGTGTTCAAAAAGCTTGGACAATGATGATAGGGCTCGGCGGTAGACTTGCTGGCCCACCTGTCTACCAGCAAGTCCTTCGCGCGGCCACAAGTTCAGAAGAGCTTCTCGAACATAGTCCTGGGACCAATTATGCCACGGCCCTAGTGACACACGAATAACAGCCGCACTTGGTAAGCTTTTCCGGCCATGAATTCAGAAGAACTTCAATCATTCGGATCAAAGAAGTCCTGACATGAATTCAGAAGGGCATTCCCGGCCCCAAATTCAGGAAAGCTTCTCAGCGCCGAACTCAACAAACAAGATCTATCCGGCCCTAGATTCAAAAGTGCTTCAGACTCACAAAAGCTCAAGAGCCTCTTGCCCTCAGCAAGGCTTGTCCAGCTACAAGATTAGAAGAGGCGAGCTTCTCGAATCTGAAGCCCGCGTGAAATGCGTTCCACAATCAAGGCTAAGTTACGATTGGGCGACAATGGTAGCGGACAAACACTAAAACACAAACAGAGCAAGATTGCGACCAGCTGTAGGGTTCTATGACTTATGCTTCTGGGTGACTCGAACCGATTTGTGTCTCTGTCTCATCATGAGGTAAGCATTTCAAGATGCCTATGCTAAGTTTCGATACAGGAATGCTTACTGTTACTCCGAAACCAACAATGAAGCTTTGCCTAGGTGAGTCCGAGGGAGAATTTTATCACGTGATTGAAAATGCTGGTGCTGATCACCCCTATTCACAAGCGAGGCCTACTTGGTTAAGGGCGCTGCTAACGAGACCCAGTCCAACGTCCCAGGTGAAGGATGGTGGCGGTGTGGTAAATTTGACGCTACGAGCTGAGGTTAGTAAAATATGGAAACAAAGATGAAATTTGGCTTGTCCATTTGTGTTGGCCCATGAAATTCTACTTACCTCTTTCATGCAGCAACATACAGCATGGCGCCCTGAGACTGTGCGGCTTGACCCTCGATCCTGGCGGGTGCTGCAGCTTCTCCTCTATCATAAGGCAATTTATTATGCAGCTTAATAATTCGCAAGTGCGTGAATAGACTCGTAAGTAACGTCTGTCTGAGGCCGCCGTGTCTGAAGATGCAATATAAGTCAATGGATTGGTCTGAGTGCACAGAAAATCAGACATAGTGCTGTCGAAAAACGCTCTCACAAGTTAGGTGTTGGAAGTAATGATTTTCACTTACCGCAAAGAAAAGAAAGACTGCTGCCCTGTATTTTGACTCTTATGGTCGAAGGAGTATCGAGCTCTCTCAAGCTTCAACGGCGCAAATGCATTGGTTGGAAATTTCCGCAATGGTCCTCGAAAGTGTGCAAGGCAGGTGCCAAGTTGTACATGTGCGCAGACAACCAAAAAACAATGTCGAAAAGATCGTGTTTTTGCTCCCAAGAATGTTCCAATGGGGAAAGTCCCACACCAACGCTCAGCTGAGCACGACCACAGCCTGGAGGCAGGTGGGAAACTTGTCTTGCAAGCAGCTTAATAACTTCGTGGGTATTCTCGGAGCCCCAGGCTCTTTCAAATATTGAAGAGTGGTTCCCCGTGTGCAATATAGCATGTATAGACCTGACAAGTGTTAGAAAGATAGCAATATTGACAGACAAGCAAGAGTGATTAGAGTGGAGAATATCTCGGACAACAGCCTGACAGGGCTGGCATGAAATCGCACACTGAAGAACTTACTCTCAAAGATAAGTAAGACAGTGGATGTTAGTTGGCTTGATCAACGTAGTGTTGAGTTGGTCAGAACGCAGAAGCTTAATCGTGTTGTAGAGCAACGAGGTAGCTCTGGGAAGGCTGCAAAGTTCGAGTGCTTATGTTAGCCCGAGACTGATCTTGTTGTTGATGTGGAAAGTGTGCAGAAGGAATGGTGGGATGTCCGAGGTTTATATACTAGGATGGGGTGAAGGACGAGAAGAGTCAGACTAACGGCCTGAGGTTGGTGCGTGATGTCTTAGACAATTGCTTGTGGAGGTTGTAAGGATAGATGGAGTGAACTAGAAGGACGAAATTTACATACCCAAATAAGGTGACGCAAGCGAACAGACGGGCTGAAACCCTGAGGCTACTTCGCAAGGCATTGGCTTGCTGCTTCGAAACCCAACACCCTTAAGTAAGACACATCGTTGGTAACATAGAGTCAAGAACCATGAAGTAGAGTTATGAGGTATGATGGCGGTCCCACAGCTGGGGACATAGGCGAGACGTTGGCCTGGCGTGGACTTGATCGTGAGAGAATGCTGCACAGCGCTCTCACTTTGGTCTTCTGGTATTGTGCTTCAAGTCTGCTCAGAAGCTTGCATCAGTTGTCATGGCACTACTGGATGTGGGTCAGAGAGGTATGAAACTGTCAATGTACGGGGACGGAGAATTTACGAACCTGGACCAGTAGCGGCAAGTGAGAGACCTCGGACTCGTTGAGTCTGCTGCACAGAATTTCGTTTCCAGTGTGTATACAGCATCCGATATGGCTTAAGCAGTGCAACTTCAGTATGAGCCCTAGAGTGCTTGAAGTAGTCTCACGCCTGCGAGACCCCAAGGACTTGTCTAGCCAAGTGCTCTGGCCATGGTTTGATTCAGGAGAACGCTCCTGTTTCGCAACCCTATTGATAGCTAGCGCGTGGAGAAAGATTGTCAAGTGGCTCGTCTTCGACATTGTCAACAGGGACTCGACACTACTCACGCTCAAGTAGATAAGCTCACCTGGTGGGGTGTGATCGAGAAGAGCAAGCCGATATGGGAAAAAGAGTGTGATCGAGAGTTGTTGAAGGTCGAAGGATATCTAGAATGAGATCGTTTGTGGATCGGAGAAGCATTCAGAGTCGCGTTTTTTGGCCGTAGGCTCCATTAGGAAAGTTAGACGAGAGTGATCGGCCGTAGTCCCAATGGGGAAACGGCAACCTGGATCTTGGCTGACGGTGTACTGAGAGACAGAGGGAAAGAAGGTTTGAACATAATAGCGAATCGAAACTGTCTTCATCCTTCTCTACTCTCTACTCTCTACTGTCTACTCTCTACTCTGTTAATTGAGTCTTGTGTGGTGTCGGGATTCATCTAAGCCTCGGCCCGTACTTACTCTGTTCGTTGGTCATGGACCGTGCACCTTTGGCAGGGAGAGCTTGGATCAAGACGAGGAAATTATTCTAAAAGTGGACATGGGTGTCGGAGAATCGTCCTGTGTGTGGAGATGATGGAACTGTGCTTCTTCTCTTTGGACCTTTGAACCCCCTGCCTTTGTGCTTGTGTTGAGCGTGAGACCGTACAGAACTTGAGTTATTCCCATAGACACAAGTCCGGAATGAAACAAATGGGGCTGGACAAGGACTTTTTGAGCAGTATTGAAATATTCATGGATGTTTGATGTGTGGGTGTCGGCCGGAATAACGTGTTTCCCCTTATCACAAGCGATAGCACTCCCTCTTCTCTACCGAACATCATTTTCAGCTCGATGCAATTGCTCATGCCATGAGACAGATTGCTGTATTTCTGCAAGCTCTATGGACACGGTCTGCTTTTGCCACCAGGCCTTCTGGTCGATTTGATTTCCTTAACTCGGCCAATAACCTCACCTCCTCTGTCGAGTACAACAGCTCACAAATACCAAAGTTTTCAAAGATGGACGGTCTCAACCCAGTGTTGGCTCCTGCCACCGAAATCCAGTCTCTCCTTGAAAATGGGGCTATCACGAGTGTGGAGTTGATCGACACCTTCCTGGCACAGATCAAAAAGCACAATCGTGCTGGACTTGAGCTTCGTGCCCTCAGTAGTGTCCCATCAAGGGAACTGCTTCTTGCAAGAGCAGAGATGCTCGACAAAGAACGACGTGCTGGAAAGACTAGAAGTCCATTTCACGGTATTCCCATCACCTTGAAGGTCTGTAGATTTCTACAAGAAGTTTACATGATTAGCTAACAAGGACAGGATGCCATTGTAACGGATTTGTCGCTGGAATGAGTAGCGAGGTTGGATCGTATGCTTTTAGAGATGCAGTCCCAAAACAAAATGCCGAAATTGTGGACGTGGTAGTGTATTCCCGCCTTGTGTGTTTGGATGATGCTGATAGTTGGCAAAGCTGCTGGAACGGTGTCTCATCATCATTGGAAAAGCAAGCCTCACGGTTAGTCTATGTGCTCCGGGAGCATTCACGTAGCAATGCTAATTTAGAACAGGAATTTTGCGGTCAAAAGGATGATGGTCCTACCATTACCGAAATCATGATCTCGTGACTGATCTCAATAGGGGACAGGGTGTCAAAACTGGTTGGTCAGCCACCAACGGGCAATCCCAGTCAGCGGATGTCAAAGGTGGGGTCGCGAAAGACGACTTGATATACGGATACACCGTAAGATTGGACAATGAAGCCCTTGGTCGTCACACTAATCTTGGTAGACTCCTGGAGGCTCGTCGTCTGGCTCCGCCATTGGAGTATCTGCGGGATTCACACTGTCTTGTGGTACAGAGCATGATGGTTCGGCCATAGGTCCGGCTAACCGAGCAGCCCTGTACGCAGTGAAGATGACTCACGGAAGCGTGCCGACGAAAGGCGTCTTCCGCATTACCTCCAGTATGGACTGCCTAGCTGGGATGGCAAAGTCAACGGCAGATCTGGCACTTCTGTTGGAAATGATGCTCACCGAGGAAGCTCGTAAGCACCTGCCTGCAGATGGGTATAATTCTGCGTTGGTACATTCATGGGATGGCATCTCGATTGGTTTTGTTGACCCTTCCCTATGGCGACTGCCTGCATCAATATGTCCACCCGATGAGGATTCGATTGCGCAGCAAGAGGCGACTATTAATGCTGCCATGAAGAAGATGAGCGATCTTGGAGCACGAGTTGTTTATCCCGTGGAGCTTCCTCCATATTCAGACTTCGATTTCGACACAGTTTCAGGTTCGTTATATGAATGAATTCGAGATCTCAATCTATAACTAACAAACATATAGATTATGAGTTTACGGAGACGTACCCAGAATTTACTTCAAACTTCAAAGAACCACCCACCAAGAATCTAGCTGAACTAATCGAGTTCAATAAACAGCATGCCGATTTGGAGCTGCCAGCAGGTGAGTAATCAAGTGTTCATAACATGGCCCTCAAAGCGCTAAGAATCGAAGACTCTCCGTCGCAATCATTCTTGGAAGATGCTCTTAATTCGAGGATCACCAGCGAGGATTATACGGCAGCCAAAGCTCAGATGAGAAAGTTAGGGGGGCCCGATGGTAATGATCGAGCTATGGGCGAACACCAAGTCGACGTCATAGTAGCGCCTTCCCACAGTCCCATTTCCGGTGTCAGCGCCGCAGCAGGTAAGAAAGCATTAGTAATATTTTGTACTCATCTCCATTCTGACTCCATTGTCTAGGCTATCCTATTGCCACTGTTCCACTTGGAATGATAGAAAAGTACAATGCGCCTTTCGGAATCTCCATTGTCTCGACGGCTTTCGCAGAAGACAAGTTGTTGCGATTCATGAGCGCCTTTGAGGCGACTTTTCCTCAGAGGACACCTCCTTCGATGTTGCAAGAGGAACATGCTTCTCTATAGTTGTCGCCGTTCCGGGTATGGTATACGGCAGCAACCATTGACCATCGAGGGGTTGATATCATGTCGTAAGAGCGAAGCAACTCAGCCACTACTCAACCTATCGATCACAATGAGTCGAATCTCCACGCTTTGCCTTGGGCGAGCATCGCCACTTGCCTCGGGATCAACAAAAGCTGCATGAGCACAGTCTGATGCATAAGTTAGTGCCATGTATATCGGAGATCCAATCGTGTCTCAAAATTTGTCTTATCTTTTTCCTCTGATAGCGAAATCGAATTGCAAAAACAGGGTCACCTCATCAGGAGACTGATCGCTCAGCCAATACCACTGTTGTTCTGGATTATACCTCACCCAGCAATTCTCGCTAATTGTGCGAGGCGTCACAAGATCTCCTTGGACGAGGCTGCTCATTGATATGGTTCTGCAATCGCACACAGAGCGAGAGGACAATCTTCCACCAGCCGAAGTGGCCGCCACAAACTGGATCCAGGTCGGCATATTCCGAGGCTTCATCCTTGGTAAGATGGCGCCGAATCCTATTATATCCACCGTGGTGTGAATGATCTGGCAGAGTATAAGCATAGTATGATAGTTGCAACCAAGACCTAGCTTACCCATGTGAACGATGGTAGCAGGCAAGCTTGTAATCTCTGAAACAGCTCTATACGGAAGGGCTGAAAAGTTGTTGGTGCGTGTCTTTGGAAAGAAGGAGAAGTCAGTCATTAGAAGAGAACCAGGTGGCACAAGGCGTAATCACCGCGACATCATAGCAAATAATTCGGTCGGCCTTCAATTTGGTTTGAAGCAAAGTAACGCATTCTTGGGCATACTTCAAATTGGTCTCTTCACTGCCGTCCAATACTGACAGAAAATTGTGGCTGATCCACTCGAAAGAATTGTCTTCCAGTGTAAAGCTCGAGATTGAGTCTCTGACATTCGTGATTGTGATATTATCATGAACTGTCGCCTCGATATTGCTCTGCTTATCTAACGTGAGGTATGGCAGCTCAGAGATGATGTAGGGCTTCTCGCCATCATATCGCTGGTTGTCGGAGATGAAACCAAGGGAGACGGTTTTCGACATGGCTTCTTCTGAAGTTCTATGATTGCAGAACTGCTATAATTTTAGAAGGGAGCCAGACTCATTTATCCCGGCCTCATACCTTGACAATCGCCACCGCTGCAAGTTATCGCAAACGGAAAAATACCGATTTTCCCTGCGATGATTAGGATGACCACACCTGTGCTGTACAGACTTCGGGCGGCGCGACTAGCTACGAGTTTAGGTTATTTATGCTATTTGGGAGTCTTGCACTGTACAGTGAGGTGACCGTTTCGAAAGTATAGAGCACACTCGTCATGTTCAGAAGTCTGAAGCCGTGCGAATCACACCACCGTGTGAAGTGAGGATGTGATTGGCAACATTCTATTGAGCCTCAAATGGACACTCAAATTACGGGATAAAATTAGGCCGAGTGCACCGCTTCAGACTTCTGAATACGAGTACACGGTCCAGACGGGCGGCACAGACTTTTGACACCTCACTGTGCAGCACATGTAAAGCATTGAAGATATGATTGATTATTATTAAGCAATAGTTGATTGAAAAGAAGTCAGCTATTTTTCTAATTTATGTTTATTATTAAATAAAATGTAAAAATATTACGGAAATTATATAAATAATAAAAAAATATATTAATAAATTTAAAAATTTGAAATTTAATACCAGCTGGCATTAAAAGCCCCTGAACTAAGCCTAAAACAGCGCATAAAAGTGGATACTATGGAATTCTAACTAACACTTGTTATTGCTTTCGCAGATTTGACTGATGTACGTGTATCCTCATGTCCACATACTGTGTACAACTAATCACTCTATAATCATGCCATCCACTTTACCTCCTTCTGCAGACTCCCGGAACAAATTCGAGGACCTATCTGGGGTTGATAGTACTCAGTATTCAAATCCGTACGATGCCTTGATCGAGGCGTGCCGAGATGACCCTGTAAGCGCTTCATGTCGCTGAAATGAATGCCCTTGCTTGACAGCCACTCTGCTGTATCTTGGCCAAACCGCTCGAGGATTGCATTTCATTGTTAGCTTCGAGGCTGACTTAGCTCACACTGTGCAGGCCAAGCTTCAAGACAAATACTCCGCACACCGCGTGACACGTAATAGTCAGCAAAAAGAAAAATTGCTCTCGTCGGACTTTTCGGGATTGATCCTAGATCCCATTCTCCAAAGGTTGACAGACTCTTCTGTACAGCCAGGGTTTCGAGATCCGAGGCACTGCTTAGTGTTTTGGGCCAGACCTCCAACACACATACGCTCTCTGGTGGAAAGGGTGCAGCACAAATTGCTTCGTCTGGCACCAAGTACGTACCAATCTATCTTTCTCCTGTTGTCAAGCTCACATACTTTTTTGCCCAATCTGCATCAATAATATGAGTTGCATCCTCTAGACTAACACTCTTCAGACCTTTGGTTAATGCCCTTGCAAAACCTGCACCTGACGGCCCTTGAGATTACACACTCTTTGACTGAGCCAGAGATAGAAACCATAGTTTCTCAGCTTGGCCAACCAGTCATCAGATCGATGACTGATTACACTTACAGTCACCGTGCTCGCTTGATCAAGCCCATGATCTCTTACGACGGAGCAGCCTTGGCATTGTCTTTCCTTCCTGCATCCGGAGAAGGGCTACCTTCAAAGGAGAGCAGTAATCTGGATGAGAGAACGCGAGAAGAGGACAGCTTCACCTATCATCACTTACGTCGAGATTTATTCAATATTGCCAAAGAGGCTGTGCATATTAATTCTCGTTATGTGGTTCCCAGCTCTCACATCACCGTCGGACGTTTTCTGACTCAAGATGATCACGACACACCAGGGAAGATGGAACTGTTCATCAGAGAGATTGAAGATATTAATGCTTGGCTTCAAGAAGCGTATTGGCCGGAAAACGGAGGTGATAGGATAGAAGATGGAGAGTGGATTGTAGGTCAAGAAAAGGGGCTCGATTTCCGGCACGGCACGTTGTGGTATGGAGGCGGCACGACCATTAGACTTGGAAAGGGGTTTTAAACAATCAAACTGCGCAGTAATACGTTGGATGATTTTCTACTTGAAATAAAGAGACAGAAAAGTTTGCAGAACCACACAAGTCGACTTTCAATCTCGCTTTATGCGCTGGACTGAGGTGATATCGCATAACAGTTTTTGTGTATTACTGCAACCATCGGATATGCAAACTGCATTCAGACTAGAAGTTACCAAGCATGGCTGTTGGACCTGGAAGTATGTTTTCCTTACGAAATTGGTGTATATGTAACTCCAACAACCAGATCTCTGTCGTTACCTATGTTTGCATTTCTTGCTTACACAACTACCTATTCTGTTTCGGGCTAAAACGCTTCCATGAAGATTCCAATAAACTCTGGGTTATACCATTTTTCTAAAAGAAAGGGGTATTGATAGAAGGCCATCAGGAATAGGTAATAGAGCCAAATTTGACAAAAGCTGCAACCGGTCGAAAGTTGAAATAATTGAAAAACAGGCCATTTTCCCTTTCAGAAGTCAAGGTGAAATAAAGAAAATACTCTGAAGAAATGTGACTTCTCACTCAACTTGGATTTAGCTTTATGCATATCTGGAATATGTGTCGTTTCAGGCAAAAACAACCTTTCTGAAATATCAAGGTCACAATAAGTTATGCTACAAAAGCAGTAAGTAATAGAACAGGAGACATGAGTGAGCAACATGCTCTGCAGACAAAGGCAACGGTAGTGAGAATAGTTCAGAAAGAAATGTTCTTTTGATTCAGTGAAGGACAGTTAGTGAGTTGCCAGAAAGGGGTGCCATATGGCGCGAGATTCCAATTGCTGATGCTAGCTAGGTATTCTCTGCCCCAGCTCTTTCTCCTTCTCTCTAAGCTCACATCGCCATTGTGACTTATTCGAGCGCCATGTCTCCTGTCTTCGGATGTGATCGAGAGCGAGCTCACACATGCAAAATTGGCCATATCACTTCGTAGGGGGTGGAATTGGTATCAGCAAATCTTGCTATGCTCCTCCAGTGATGCAGAATAAGGTACAAATCGCCGTTCCATCACAGCGTTCAATTGCCCCATCCATCTCAACCACGTTGCCCACGCAAAATCCACCCAATCCATGCCCAGGGAGAGAGGAGTCGCAGATCATCTAAAAGACCAACGCAGCACCCTTAGTCTTCTTGTCACCACTGTAACCAATCAGCTTCATTCTATCTCGCAAATATTCTGCCTTGGGAAAATGGCATACCCAAGTTCGAAATGCTTGCATCGCTTCAATGCCAGTTGTGCCTTCGTTTTGCAAGCTGTGCATTCCAATCTCAACACGACCTTCTTCGTAGTCTTGGCCTTCTTGTGGAAGACTGGCTTCGTTTGACCACCATAACCGGATTGCTTTCGATCATAACGACGCTTTCCTTGCGCGAACAGCGATGCCTGTCCACGTCAGATTTCAATTCCCGCTGGCTTCGTTCTAGAGAACTACCTTTCCTGCCTTGTATTGAGTGACCTTGTGCTGTGTGTGCTTTCTGCAGTCCTTGCCCTTGCAGTAGGTTCTTCGTGTCTTAGGAACGTTGACCTTGATCTGTTAGCCATTATCCTGTCTCTTGATCTGTTGCCACATGGTGGTGTTGCGGCAGCTGTTGTGGTCGAGTTCCATATTGAAGTTGGATTTTTGCCTCTCGCAAGTGTCTCCTTTGGAATATCTCGCTTCGTACAGATCCGCAGACTCCAGACAGCTGATCGGTGGGATAATGAAATGGAATACAAACCATCTTGACGGTGTTCGAAGTTTCGACGTGTCGGGAGGTTATTGTCGGGGTTGGAAGATCTCGATATTGAGATATTTCGATATCAACTCGTTGTGGGCTTGGCGATCGCTTAAATGGGACTAGGTATTTCTATCATGTGACACCCATAGCGTCCCTGCAAAGGTTGCCAGGTTGCAGGTGAGGACGAAATCTCGAACTTTTATTACCTTGAAAGCACAGGATTAAACTGATGGCCTCTATTGGTATGTGCTGTTTGAGTTTGATTTACCACTGGGTGCATTGCCAAGTGGTGAAATCGGAGGAAGTATCCCAAAATCCAGGTATGAGACACGATAACTCGATTGATCAGACAAGATTTCATAGATATCTTGCCTTGCCAAGTAGAATGTCCCTGGAGGTTGACATATACCTAGATAGTACGAAGTCGTAGGGCAATAAGTTTTCCAAGTACAGATCTCAATGTTCCATACTTCCTCGTACTTTGATATTGGTAAGTTGTATTTTCTGGTCATTGCAGCATTGTCGGTTCCATCAAGTTTCACAATATCTGGAGGTGGAGCATATTCCCCCCTCTATTCCCGAGTTACAGTTTGAGCTTACTTTCCATGCGTGGGCTATCCTTTATCATATCTAGCTTCCAAACAAGGTCCTCAACTATTTAGGACTTCTTTTCAAGACGAATCTTCTCGGTAACGGCTTATTCATTTCGTTGTAGTTTCAAAACGCCTTATGCTTCTACTTTTTGATTTTCAACTCTCTTCTCTAACAACCTAGCTTTGAGATCCATGTTTCCTTGACTATCATTTTGCTGCTCAGCTTCTAAAGCCCACTGCGATTGGGAATTCTACTACTGTTAAATGTTTACGAGCACATCTTCAAGCTTAGGCGGGACCCAAGTCCCACGTCCTTGGCCTGGGGGATTTGAGCACAAGTACTGTTAATCATGATTAATTCGTGACGAAAAGTTATCGTGATTTAATACGAAAATATGCTTCGACTCTTTCATGTGATATCTGCTTGTGTCCCGGCCACTGAAGGGGGGGCAGTCTCGAAGCATGATTACCTCGAAGGAAGGACCAGCATTGAACTGGAAGCAAGTTTTCGAAACATGAAGTTCTTAATGTCCCACATTTCCTGGCACTATGACAATTGGTAAAGAAGGCACGGGGTCCGACAAGTGTGTACTACTTAAGACTAGATCCAGATTAAATACATGTGAGAATTGTCAGAAGGGGAGAAGAGAGACTTCTGGATATTATAGGTGAGAGGCATGCCTCCGAAATCGAGGACTTGACAGGCTCATGTTCGCTCGCGATGTACTGGCGGTCATTCAGCTCGAATGCGACCAAGAAATTTGCCACACTACCAGCACCAATTACCCATTGCCTGGCCTAGGTTCAACGCAATAATCAGAAGAGAAATCTTCCACCAAAAGTTTCAGCAAATCATGTTCTTTCATTTATAACATCACGTGGCTGATTCCGTCTTAGCGCCTTCGGGCGGCGCTTTCCCCGCCAGTCTTGTTTACAAAGTCGTCAACACACGTCAACTTCACCCACGTCAACCATCCTACTGCAAACAATACCTCACTTCCCTTTCAAAGCACATACATAACGATCGCGTAGCTTCATCTAACTCAATCGCATTATTCAAAATGTCTGGGGCGTCGACGTACTTGCAGAAGATGAGGAAGGCCGAGTTGGTGGAGCTCGCTGATTCCGTAGACTTCAAAGAGTGAGACTCCCGCATACCTCACCTTCCTACGGCGCATCTGCTCACATTCCACAGATACGATGGCTTGAAGAAAACCGAACTCGAAGTCGCGCTTGATGAGTATCTGACGCAGAATGCCTCGCAATTCTCGAGCGAAACGCGACTTGCGCCCTTCTATAAAAGAAGCTCCCCTGTGAAAAAGGAGCCATCCACATCATCCGCGTTGGCAGAGATTGACTCAAAAGTTAAGTCAGTCAAGCGAAGGGTGACGAAGGCTGCAGAGGAACTTGTTGCGACGTACGTAACGCGCCGCTATGCGCGTCAGTCCTACCCTAGAATCTTTGTTGACATTATTCTAGAGATGATTCGGAGGTTGAGCCGGCTACCACGCGCTCACGAGCTGCTTTAACTCGCACTCCTCGAGCTTCAGCATTGTCAAATCTGTCGTTCGCTTCAAGTGTACCTTTACCGCCCTCACCAGCCGTTGTCACCGACGCGATTGAGCGTCACACACAAGCCTTGCGCTCGCAGGTTGGGCAACTGGTTGAGAAGGCCGGTTTCACGGAGACCGCCGAAGCTACGCGTGAAGCATTGTCAACAGTTGTGACTGTCCAAAGCCTCGTTGTTGCTTTCGAGCTTTGGAATCTGCGAAAGGAGGTCTTGGCTGACCGATACGCGTTTACCATCCCATCTATCGGGTTACTCGGTACCCAGCCATACGACGTCAAAGTCCCTGATCTGTTTCTGCTTCTGACCAGCTCATTCTGGGGCCCTACCTCCCTCTGGGCCACCACCAGTCTCATTATACCTCTCGTCGCCGCTTACTTCTTCAATCTGACTTCCAAGCCCTCAAGAGGTCGTCAATCCGCACATTTCAACTACACTTTTGATCCATTGACATTCAGCATTGTGAAGGCATTGCTGACCTACGTCATCTATGGCCAGGATGTGACTTTTGGCGGCTTGGTAGATCTCGAGTATGTTGCAAGAATCAATTCCGCAATTTTCGGCGGCTATCAGGGTGTGCTTGTCGGAACGGGAATTGGAGCCTTGGTTACTCTGTATGAGGCTGTTCTCAAAAAATAGGCCCATCTAAGAGCAAATGCATGCAAGTATAAGCAAGAAGATGGCCTAGTATATTTTGTATAGGATGCTTGAATAGCGGCGTACGTGTTCTGGTCGTTGTTTTGGCCTTGGTCTCTTCTATTGCTGGGCAATTACTATGACGTTGAGTTGGTGCGGCGAAGGGGGAAGACGCTTCATTCACATCATTCGCTCTTCTCTCGCAGTTGTTCTTATGCGCTGCACGTGGTCTCGGGAGAGGTCATTGGAAGGCGTTAAGGCGTGGCGGCGATGGGATACCTTTTTGTGTTTACAGTTTTTGCTTTACTCTTTACGTGTATACGAACGGGAATGGATTAAGGTTTTAGTTATCTCGCCTTGAAATATTTAATTCGCTGTGTTCATAATCCTTTCTTTGCGATGTCTATTTCAATCACACAGTGTCCCCTATGGCTTTTCTACGACCCTATCACCACCCTGGCACCTAGTCAATACTCATGGGCGCACCTTGGACAGCAACTAATTCCCGACCATCCTGAACCATTGTTAAATGCAAGCTACCACCAGTGAATGGACTCCAGTTCGAAAACGAATCCGCAAGCTGCCTCGACTTGTTCGGATTTGCCGGGCTGCTACTGGATACGGTAGTATCGCACGGAGCTGTGGGTGTCGCCAGATCCTTCATTCTTTCGGAATCTCTCTGATCCGCGAATCTCACCAAAAAGTGAGCCTGAAAATGTTCACGCCCTCAATGTCATCGATACCTGCTCCCACGCTCGAATGACGACAAGCGGACCGTACTTCGCTCGCAGCGACGGCTGATGACTATCATCAGCCATTCAATCCTCAGCCTTGCAGCATGACTTTTCTGGCTGAACCTCCAGGAAATTGTTCGAAAAATCAAAAGGCATCGATCACATGACATCAGAAAAGTTCGCTGCGCCCGACTTAAGGTCGACTCCGCGAATGCTTCGCCAAATCGCCAAACGCCAAGCCAATGACAGCCCATCAACGACATCTTTGAGCTCAATTCAATTAGCCAAATGGTAAAGGCGTCACTCAGCCTTCGGACTTCTTTTCTAGAAGGACCAGTGTCCTGGATGCACGTTCTGTTGCTACTTGCAAACCACCCTATTTCAAAGTTCTGTCTCAGCCTTGATGTTGTTCAGCGGTTGGCTCGCACGCCTCGTCCAAGGTGATGTTGGCTTTGAGGTAGAAATAAGCTTCTCTGTACATGGAGATCTGTCAGATTCTAGACTGCGTTCCAATGAGACCCTGGTCTACTCAGTCTTCTTCCTCGCCGGCAGAATAACGTTGTTTGTCTCCGAGGGCTCAGTTTCTTCATGCCTCATCTCTCTCTGTAAGGTGTTGAGGTCAGCAGCCATGCTTAGGAAACGAGGTGTCAAGTCTGGGTCTGGGAATAGATTCGATGTCACTGCTTACCTTCCTATCACATACAAAGTTTGATCACGATGTTGTGGTTTATGTTTTCCTATATATACGAAAGGTAAGTCCGTTGCAGAAAAGACTTTCCTTCATCACAACACCAACAACACAAAAACAGCAACCTTTTCCTACGTTTCAATTTCCTATCTTTGCTTTATTTCCTTACTCGATTTCATATCTCACTTCAAGAAACAACAATCTTTCAATCTCCAACTTCACAACAGCGACTTTCACTCTCACTCACTCACTTAATTAACAAAAAATACCAACAAAATGCATTTCTCAACCACCACCATCCTCTCCACCATCATCCTCGCCTCCTCCGCTTTCGCAGGTCCCCTCGACTCCCGCGACTCAGACGACTCCTCCAACCCAGATCTCAACATCTTCCCCACCACCGCCGACGCCTACGAGAACTACGCCATCTGCAAGAACAAGATCACCAAGGACCGCTTCCCAAGTCTCGCTGCCCCAAGCGATGAAGGCGGTTGCGTCCGCTACTACCCCGGGATCGACATGACCGGTGTCGTGACCAGTAAGTAGAAACCCTCCATTTTGCCCCTTCCTCCTACCTCCACATCTTCACTCTCTACCTCTCAAGGCAGATCACAACACTAACGTCCAACAGTGATCGACCTCTTCTTCAAAGACGGCATCTCCAACGCCTGCGACTGCGCCGCCGCCTGCTTGGACCGCCCCCTCACCTGCACCAACTGGGTCTTCAAGCACACCTTCGCCGGCGCCGCCATCGACTCCAACAAGCGCTCCTGCACCCTGTACTCCTCGCCCAACATCCCCACCGACGTGACGCTCATGTATCACCTCAACGGCTCCGTCGGCACCGGCGTCATCGGCATGAACCCGCAACAGGGCGGCGACGCTCCCCTGACGTTCTTGGATGTGAATAACACTATGGTGGACAAGTTTGGTGTTTCGGGGTTCATGAGCAGGGATACGAATGGGTTGCAGTATTGTTAGAGCGGGGATTGGAGAGCTGGTGTTAACATTGCATTGCATAGCGTTTGGTTTTGGGTTGAGATGAGATGATGGAGTCGCTCTTTACTGATTTTGGATTTTGCATAGCTTTGGTGTTTTTCCCTCTTTTGCATTTTAGATTGGTTACTCATTGGTTCGGTGTGGACTGTCCTTATTGGTAATATTGGTAATGTTTGGATATTTATAAGACACTCCTTTGGTATTGTACTAGGATTGGAATGGCAATTGTCTTCCCGTCAACTCTTTCTCCTCGCTACTTGGCTGTGATGTGATGATTTGAGAAAGAACATTTGGTAAAAGACTGAAGGTCCCTTATCTTGCGGTCAAAGACTTTACTACCTCGAATCTTACTGGAATAGAATCTACTTTATCCTCTGGGTTTCATCCTTCGATTTAAATGACTTCGGTAGACGAGCAAGATCAAGACCGGATGTCTCCTTCTTCCTGTGACAATCGCTAATGCTTTTGAATCCTAAAACGTTACCAACAATATTGGGTATATCCACCACGGACTATTTATAACTCGTAATCAGGAACTTATTCCACTCTTTCCAATACGCTCAATCCCCGCCGATCCCCATTCCCAAGAATGCCAACGAAGCAACATTCATGGCCGCAATCAACACCCAAATCAACCACCCAACCACACTTGTAACCCATCCATTCGCCATACTGATAGCCGGAGGCCGCACCTCACTCCCCTCAACATCACTGCTCATTGTAATTACACTCTCTCCGACCTCCGTTTCAACCATCATATACTTACTAAACCCTGTGTACCAAAGCAACGGGAACGTCATAAAAATTAAGGCTACTGAAAGCACAACATTGCAACCATTCAAAGCAGCAGCCATTCCCTGTCTTCCCTCTGCCGCTGCAATAATGATGCCCGGGACGATGGCAACAGAACGAGTTAAGAGACGTCGATAAAAAGGTCGAATTCGCCAGTTGATTGCTCCTTCTGCGATCATCTGACCTGCCATTGTTGCTACAATACCTGCACTTATTCCAGAGAACAACAGTGATAGAGCGAACATTGTCCCAGCCGCCTGTGAGATGTCCTGTACGAAGAGTGCATACATACCAAACAAATCTGCGTCCTGTGCCGATTCGTCAAGAGATGCGGCAGCGATGATGAGGATGGCAGAGTTGACAAACACGGCTACGATGAAGAGGGTAACGCAAAGCTCAGCGATAGAATAGCTCAAACAGGACTTGATAGCTGAGAGTGAAGGTCGGTAGAGCTTGATTCCTTGAGGCCTGGAAGTGGTCATTGCTTCCCGGTAATGAGAATTTTTGATATCGAAATGCCGGAGACGAGCTTGTGCCATGCCTGAACCAAGGTAAAGCGTGTGAGGCATGAGAGTACCGCCCAAGATGGCACATGATTCGTACAGTCTAGGATGATGTGAGCTTCGTGTCTGCATGAATGGATAAACTTACCCATTAGATACGAATATTTCTCTAGACGGGAGGAAGCCATCCATCACATGCCGTGCAGACGTGTTGGTAATCATAGAAAGCTCTATACAGAAGCAAATGAACACCGCCAGCACAAAAGCGCCAACGAAGAGTTCAAATCCACGAAGAGCTCGTAAAGAGCCATCCGGCCTGTAGAAGAAGAGGATGAATAGAGTGTCGACAACAGCTAGTGCACAGCCTGCGACGAGCGGTATCTTCGGTATCAGGATATTGATAGCGATTGCAGTACCGATAACCTGGACTGAATGAGTATGTTAAGGAAGACAAATCAGAAAACAACATACTTGGCCAATATCTGTACAAACGATCATAGCTTCGCCCATGATCCATAGTCCTATGTTGAGCCAGCTTGGAAGATGTGCTCGATTCATCTGTGCTAAATCCATTCCCGTGACCGTTCCAAGCTTGACGGCAAGTGACTTGGAAATTAGTATGTAAGATAAGACTCATAATAAGTACGACATACCTGCAGGAAGATAGCAATGACGTTGGATACCAATACCATGAATAACAGCTTGTACTTGAATTCTGCTCCTGACGATATTGCGGTCTGGAAGTTGTCCGGGTCGATGTACGCCACACTGATGATCGTTCCCGGACCCATGAATCTTCCAAACTTCCATATCACTGCTGCCACATTGGCAAAGCTCTGTTTGTTGAGGACATCTCGAATTGTGGAACGAGGTCGTGGTTGCCGTTCGTACTCGACGACAACGTTCTCCGCTTTCTCGTCATACGTGACTTCTGACATGTCTTTGAGATCTTTTGAGACTGATACTCTTGAAAGAATCTGTTCAACGGTATCCATGTTGGTGGACTTCAACGTGAAAGGTGCAAGATGATTGAGATGTCGAGCAACAGCGCTTGCTGCAAAGTAAATGTTTCTCGGGCAATTCAGAAGACATACTAGACCGTAGGGTAGTCGCGACCATGCGACTTTCTAGTCGTCCACAACTCACTTGTCGGTAACGATTGCATCGGGAGACATGTCAATTCTGGTGTGGAATTCATGACCACTGATAGGCTTACATCAAGCCATCTCAATGTCTTAGGACTTTCCGTCCAATGAGACTTCAGGTATTAGAGATAGTCTTGAGTATCACAGCAGACCGACAATGTGTCCAGGGGTGTAGTATGCAGCAGAGAAGCAGGTGTTGAGGATGGTTGAGGTATCAATCTGCATGAGACCCCTGGTTTGGAGAGACATTCTGGCAAATGCAGATTGGCTGCCGCTATTTGAGCGCTTTCTTGAAGGAAAAGCACATCTGACTGAGGTGCATCAGCCGCATGGAAAAGGAACAACAGACTTGATTTGCACAAAAGCTTAATTGAAGCATGCATAAAATGGTAAAAAGTTTAAAGATTAGATAGATAGAAACTCTTCGCCGTACTAGAATTCCTCGTACGTACCTGGTCTCTTAGGTCGATTTGGGGCTGAAGTGGCTTCGAAGAATGTCTGTATCGGGGCAAGTCAGATATCGATAGTCCCGAAAATCTGCAAGCGCGCCACCAGATGCACCAAACAGAACCGAGGCGGAAGGACAATGCTGACTTGGCTGCAGCTGAAAAAGGGAAAGGGAAAGGGGATGCTCGTTCATGCTCGCTCGCTCATCTCCAGTTCTCACGCGATGTCTTCTCCAAAAACTCTGAAGCAGGAGGAATCATCCTCTTCGTCATCCTCTGTCCAAATATCAGATGTTCTCCTCTTTTTGAATCACGTTTGAAGCATTGTTCTGACTTCTCGAGGTTTCATCGCATGTCACTGGCTGCTTCTCATAAGGTTGGCGTTGGGTGCCCTACAGTAAAACGTGGGGTCCTGAGCTGAGAGAAGACAAGCTTTGAGGATGTGCAGCACGGTGCTCGAGCCTATCGATTTCCCCCTGAATGTCACCAGAACGGCCCAGACATTCATCGCATCCTGGTTCTCGTGTCCAAAAATGGCACTTTGGCTGAGGCCATCGATCAATTCCTCCCTGGACCGTCTGATTTAATTTCGATAGACCGTGTAACTTGGCGGGGTGCACCACCCCTAGTCATCGCATTCATATGTTCATGTAAGCTCTTCTAAGATTCAATTCCCAGCTTCCTCTTTTCCTTCAAGATCCCACGATAGGAAGGCCACCACCTCTCAACAACTCACATTCTTTTCTTGCCTGTTGATTTGCGTCGTTTTGTATTCTACACTCGCTTCTCGACGCCAGGCATCTCAATGTCTCAGTCCGAATAGCCATTCACCGGTTTTTCTTTTCCTGCCGCGGTGCCACCTTCTCCTTTTCGTCGCCGTCTATTGTGTGACGACGAGCACCTTGATGTGCACGACTCCTACGCCAGATTTATCTTCGAACCTTTTTTCATAAGCAAGATTCGTCAAGATGATCGACTACGATAATGTGTTCTTCAACATCTCGGCCTTCATCGCGGGGTTGTTCGTGTTGGAGTTTGGTGCCGACAAATTCATTGACCACACGGCGAAAGTTGCTGCTCGATTGCGGATTCCACCGACGCTGATAGCACTATTAACTGCTGGAGCAGAATGGGAAGAGGTATGTGGGAATTACTGGCAATCTGCGAATTCTTACTGATCTCGTATAGTTGGTTGTTGTCGTGGCTTCGATATCTCAACACCAGTCGCCACTCGCCCTGGGCAACATTCTTGGAAGCAGTATCTCGAATATTTTGGGAGCCTTTTCCCTAGGTCTGATTTTCTCTCCTGCGAGCATTGCGTTCGACAAGTCTGCGAAGATCTATACTGGAGTTCTGCTGGGTCTGACAACATTCTTTACGCTGTTCATCCTGTTCTTCCAACCCCTAGGACGATTCGGTGGAGGACTCTTGATTGTTACGTTTGTGGCATATTTCGTCTCGATAGCATGGGCGATATACCAGGGAATTGTGGAGCCTCCAGAGCCGGAGAGTGATTCGGACAGTGACAGCGACTCGGATTCTTCAGACTCAAACTCGGATTCCGACTCGGACTCAGATGAAGAATCATCCATTCCTATGAAGAAAAGCCCACCACACCTAAAGCTTCCTCATTCTCGCTCTCACTCCAGCAGTACCACGACCCTGATCCACGATGCCAACACTCCACCCACCGCCGACTCGCCCACAGACTCGGACAAAGACTCGTACACCAAGTCCACCTCCCATACAATCTCAGCCCTCCCAACCTCGCCCACGTCCGCCACTCTCCCCGACGACATGTTTGACGAAATAACCCTCAACAACGTCAGAACCATAACCGCCAAGAACGACAACCCCTCCAAGAAACACAGCACACCATACCACCTCGCCCACCTCACCCTCGGCTTCCTTGCCCTCTCCCTCTCAGGCTACATACTCTCGCACACCGTCTCCACCCTCGCAACCTCCTTCTCCCTCTCCTCCACCATTCTCGGAACAACCCTCCTCTCCCTCGCCACCACCCTCCCCGAGAAACTCGTCTCCATCGTCTCCTCCCGCCGCGGCGAAAATAGCATCATGATCGCCAACACCGCCGGTTCCAACATCTTCCTCGTCACCCTCTGCGCCGGCGTGCTCTTCCTCTCCGGCGACCTCTCCGCCCTGAAGGACAGCGTGAGTCTATTCGAGGTAGGCTGCATGTGGGGCAGCAGCGCCGTCTTATTCGGCATCGTCATGACTGGGGGCAAGAAATGGATGGGCTACATCCTGTTCGCTGCATATTTAGCGTTTATCGTTTTGGAGTTTACGGCTGACAGGAGATGAGGAGAGATCATGGATGGCGTTTTGGATGGGAGATTGGATCAATATTGGCAGGCGTCTCGAATGGGAATATTACAATAGAAAGGTAGAAAAAGGGCGAAGCAATTCTGGGCATATTGTACCGTATTCAAACTTAGCGCCTCTTTTTAGCATAGCCTTTCAGATTCGATACAAATGAAACAGTTACTTATCAAATTTGTCCCTCTCGTTCAGTCCTATCATACTCTTGCTTCATTCTCAAGCTCTCGTTCTTGATAGCAACTCCAGTTTTAATTGAGGCTCAGTTATGCCATTGACTTGGCCGACAAGCGAGGCGGCGCAGTGAGATAATGCTTGTCACCCTGTGGAAATCTGTCATCCTCTGAATGACTGTCTCGAATTTGATAGTCCGAGATATGTAAGATCTTGTGACAATGGAGATCTTGAACGACTGCTTATTGCTATACTTTCCGGGCGAGAGGAGGGTTGGGAAAATGATACTGATTCGAATATCATCAGTAATCTCATGTTGCCAAAAGGAACGGCGAATGCCAGACTCAAAAGTTTGGTGCCTCTCGTCTAGAAAGGGGCAACCTCCAAGCGAGAACGTGGCGAGACTATTACAAGGCAAAACACCACAGACCGAAACAGAGTCATGTTCTGACGATATTATTGCTAACCAAAAGCATTCAAAGGTATGCAGAGTACAAAAGCCCGTCCCAATTTGTTGTCCTTGCCTTATCCTTCCATGCCCATGCCGTTTCGTTACATCATCTCAACCATACAATCTTCCCTCTAAGAAGTAGAAGGGGGAACAGCAGTGTTCTGGGTTGTCTCAGGTCTGGGGACAGCACCGAAACGAGTGTTACCTTGGTCAAAGATCTGCAGATATGTCAGCGAGGAGCAGCAAATGGTAGCAAAGCAAGGTAACTTACAGCATAGATTCCCTTCAAGAAGGTATCTCCCAAGATATCAAAAGTCATGGTACCACGAGATTGAATGCCACCATAAACCATACCATTGCCAGCATCAGCGAATCCCAAATCTTCCTTTTGAACGGCGAATTGAGTGCCACCAACAGCAAAGGTGACAGTTGGCAACTGATCAGCAGTTGTGCTGGATGGGAAGGTATAACCTTGCTGAGTGTTGTCGTATGTTGAGCCTGGAATAGCGGCATAGATGGCTTTGCACACAGCGTCAGAAACCAAGGCAAGAGTGGTTCCGGTGTCAGCGATGGCAGTGTTGCCAGATTGCTGAACGGGTGTACCGTTGATCTCAGCGGACTCGGATTGGAACATCCAGAACCCTTGAGAGTTGTCAACTGGGGTCCAGGCAATCTCTTGACCGGAGGCCGTGACAACATCCTGATCAATGTATCCGAAAGTGTAGAAGCTAACTCCCTTGTCGGGTTCATTGGCATCACGCCAGCTGCCAAGGTTGGCAGTGAAGAGTTCTGCAGTGGAAGGGATATCTTGTTGAGTGATCATGTTCTCGACTGGTGTCTGAACAGCAGTTGGTGTAACGGTGTTGATGGAACCCCAAGCAAGACCCAAGAGTCCGTCGCCAGCTCCTTGAATGAACTGGGTAGACATGGTCTTGGCCAACTCAACTGCCTGGTTCTGGATAGCCAGCCCACCAATGCTCACAACATCCGTTCCAACATCACCTGAAGCAGAAGACGAATCTCCATAGGAGATCTGCCATGTTGAGCCGGATTGTGCCTTGTATGTGGAAGAGGCCTTGGGGTTATAGATCGTGTGTCCAGCGCTCTTTCCTTGAGACTGGATGGAGGAAGACAACTCGGTAGACCAGACCTGCAGATATTAACTTTGTTTGCTTGCAGATGTGGGATCGGAGCTTACCCAGAGATCAGCAGATCCGGTATCGAAGTCGAGACTGAGAGTCTGTGCTGGAGTACCAATTTGAACGGGGCAGACTGTACAACAGATTAGTACTGCCAAATGCTGTGAAAGGATATATGGAATAAAGCGTACGGTATTCGGAATCATTTTGAACATCCTCGGCTGTCACTTCACTACCATCTGTGGTTGATGCGTCTCCAGATGTAGCACCGCTCGCTCTCTTGGCTAGGACACGATGTGTTGTAGCCTTTCCACCGAACTTATGAAAATGGCCATGCTTTCCAGATTGAACGACCTTGTTCATCTGAAAGTATGGACCAGGCATGGTGGGCTCGAAGCCCCATTTCTGGAGGAGGTAGACATAGGATTTGGGACCGGAGCGCTTGTACTTCTTGTTGTGAACACGCGGAATTCGTTGCAAGCCTGACAGAGAAGACATGATGCGTGAAGCCAGGATGAAGTTATTGATAAGAATAGGGTAAGTTGTCTTTGTTAAGCTGAATAATACTGGATGGAGAGAAGGATGTGGGATAGAATGAGAACTGGAGGAAGATTGAGAAAGAGGAGGGGGAACGTCTCCCATAAATACTTACCTGCCTAGTTAGTGTAGGAAGGCAGAGCCCACATGGACAGTGAGAGTGCGAGTACGTTGTGCCTGGCAAGAGCGAGGCAGAGTGAAGCAAGAACCAGAACCAGAAACGTGGATGATGCTTTCGGCAGGCGTCATCCATCGGTTTGCTCCTGGTCCTGCAGCAGCTGAATGCATGACTAGCAGCTAGAAGTACTTCGTAAGGTTAGCAACTAGGGTCGGGAAGGTGGGACGAATCGCTATGACCGGCTCTCCCTTGATGCTACGGCCACTACTATCGTCTCCACAAATGTGGTGGGAGAGGTTCAAGCAGATCTCGCGTCACCACCCATAGCGGAGGCGTGGAAGTGAAGCTGGATAACAATAATGAGAATACAATAGCTTCGTCTCCTGTACTGCTCGCTCATCTGTCCCTGTGTTCCTTGTGGCCCCTATGCGCCAGCTGTGGATTGTTTCACGTCACCTGGACCGACGAGTGATTGGAAAGCAGCTCGTGGAAGACAAAAAGGGAAGGGTTGATGTAACGCACGGCATCGTTACAGTATCGTCTACCCTTGCAGCCATCGATAAGAGATAGAGGGGGATTAGCAGGCCCAAAGCTCGACAGCAAACTCTAATGGCCAGGAAACGCTCAGTGGTTGTCACAAACCCGGTCGTGATCCCATCTCCTGTGCAGCTATGCACCCTCAAGAAGATTAGTTTGGATGGAGGCCGCGCAATGCCCCTTTCTTCCAAGGCGGCTCTGTCTCTCTTCATCGCTGCAACACCTTATCAGACGGGCGATATACGGTCGATCGATTCAGATGTGCTTCTTTTTTGAGAGTCGTTTCATGCAGCAACTGGCGACATCGACGTCATCTGCAGCCGAGACATAGCGTTCTCCTTGGACGGTTGTGGCTTGCCGTCCTCTCATACGCCCGATCAAGCTTCTGACTGTGCCAAATCCAGCCTCTCCACACCACAGAAAAGGGGGGAGATGCCAGGATCTAGCGATGCCGAAGCAGGAACAAGAAAAGTCGCATAACACACAGCAAACGTGTATCAATCAGTGACCAGCAGTGAGATGTCGCCAAGAGAGTTGTGGGGACATGATGGGCATCCATCCACTGGTTTCCAGGCTCTAGCTCAGCACAGTTCAGACCTCACTCCACTGCGGAAGCGCCACTGAAACGATCCGTTCGGGGCCGAATAGCGGGGTGCCGCTGGCATCTTGGTGCTTGTCGAAGCTTGGAAGAACAAACCACTGACCCCATCCTGCTTTCTGTGATTGTGAGAGGAAGCCCTGTCCCTAGTTGCAACCACCAACCCAGACCAAACCAATATTCGCCGCTGATCTCGTCTTGAGATCAAGATTCGTGATGTCTTTCCGTTCGCCACATTTCTATTTCTGTGTTCAGAATGACGTTTGTTTCTCCGTGGGCGGTTACTTGCTGGTGAGGCTTGGATTCAGGAGACCCCCACCGTATGCATGTCTCCCATACCTTGCCATGATTTTTGCTTGTCGTGCAAGAAAGAAATCTTCCGAAACAATGTGCCGTCGGCACATGGCTGGTGTGTCCGGGGCACGCGAGCCAAGAATTTTCTTGCCTGGTCCTGGTGTTTTGTTTTGGTCGTTTGTAAGAAGAAGAGATGAAGTTGACGTTCACGCTCGGTAACAGAGGCTGCAGTTTGACATGGTGTAACACTCGCATGAGTCTAGAACTTTATCTGAGATGACTGAACTGGCTTGTAACCTCCATGATAGACTTCAGAAATTACTATTGAACAGTCAGTACACCATCAGAGACAAGAGTGACAAACTATCCTGTACAATGACGAAGCATTCAAATCCGTCATGTGTTCGAGTTCGAGAAAAGAAGCGTCGATCGATAGCCTCTCTGTGACCAGGTGACTGCACTTATCTTGTGGTACTCGAGATAGCTGTTGAAAAGCATATGTTTCGTGGAACACGAGACCTGCTCACCGAGAACTTCTCGGTGTGCATTTCTAGTACGACGTGCAGTGACAGTGTGTGGTGCCATGAAAATGAACCAGAAGAGTAAAATGTAACTGCGACTAGGTATATCTTCAACGTCTTGTGTCACGTAAAAATTGGGATATAAGATAATATTGTTCCATAATTTGAGGGACAATATAAACGGGTTAATTCTAAGACGCAAATAAAACTTGAAGGATAAAATCTTGTCAGAACGATGTGCACTCCTTTTACGCCCGATTCTCGAAATTGTTAAGTTTTCCAACTTGTATTGTCCCACAAGCTCTAGAACAATACTATTTTATATTCCATCTCTTGACGTATATACTAGTCGAAATTGAAGAAAAGTCGACAGCAAGAATGCCACGAAGAGAAGGCACTGAGATGAGAGCAAATGTCAACTGCATAATCAGATGACCGTATCACTACATGTTGTTGAAACTAGAAGAAATGTTAAGGTTGGGTTCTTGAAATCTAAAAATTCGCAGTACCTTGAGCCTACTGCTGTATAACCTCAAAGGCGCAGCAAAGTCGGATTGGATGCTTCCTCGCCAGTGTTGTACTAGAGAAAGCTTCACGAACGAGTTTCGGACGTCTCACGAATTCCAACAAACTCCGGTGCCAGGTTCGCCCTCGTTCAATTACTCTTCTAGCTTGACCTTTCCCCACTGAAATCCCCTCACCCCATTACTGAACCAGCACTCCTCTCCATCAACCAAGTCCCCAACCTTAACAATTTCCTCAAAAGCCAACCCCTTCTCCAAAGCCCACCTCCTCGTAGTCCCAATCTGTCCACCACTATGATACCGCGGCGTAACCCATCTCCCTCCCCTCCAGAAGAAGACGGTCGTCAAACTACCCTCCATGATCTCTCCATCCTTCTCACTGATGATAAGAACCTCTTTTTTCTCTGCCATGTCTGTAATCCCAACTCGTTCTCGAGCAAAAGTATACATGTCTCGACTTGTGGTTTTGAAGCTCGTGTGTAGGGATGGAGAAGTTTTGATGGTGTCTGGGCGGATTTCCCATGCTTGATCCATTGGAGGATCACCATAGACACTCTCGCCCTCGCCAACTGTCAAGGCGCCACCTGTCAAAGGACTGACTTTCATCTCTGGCTTTCCTTTCGGTGGTGGTAGTCTGTTGGGAAACAGATTGAATTCTGTGACAGCTGGTACAGAATTGCTTTCCACTGTGATAAGTCCTTCATGGCTCAAGAGAATCCTGACTTTCATCGGTGTCTTTGACTGTGTGTCGATCTCTTTGGTCAATTTGTTGAGCAGGTGAGTGAAACCTTCTTGACCGCTGAGGGCATCTACTACTTTAGTCCAGCCGAAGTGTTGGGCGGCTTGGAGTATGCGGTCTCGGTGGTTTGGCAGCATGTAAAAGGGTGATCCGTCCTTGGCTTCGATTGGCCATGCTTTGGTGTTCTCGGAAATGGACGTGAGGAGAGGATCATAGCGGAGGGAGGAGAATAATTGGAAGTCTGGACTAGCCATCTTATGATTTCTGGGTGATTGTTAGTTGTTTTGCGTTGTGGATGAAAGTCATGCCAAAGACAAAGCTTGAGAGAAGGGATTTTGAGCATAGGTAGTGGAGAGTAGTGAGTCATACACTTGATGTCGCTGGCACTCAAAACCGTAACCTTAAAGATACAGCGTTGGAATGTTTTAAAAGACAGGACAAATTGATTTCTCAACTTCGAATAGACAATGAGCAAGATCCAAAATTTGGGCGGGTTGAAAAGTCTGTATCACGTGGTCTATGCTGCTTCTCGACCTCGGGGGCTTGGAAGTTATGGCACGTACGGAGAGGGTACTATCCTATCTATGCCAGTATATACCAACCAGACCGCAAGAAATATACTGCTAGAAAGGTACAGAACATAGATAGATCGGAGCATTTGCAATTTGCAAAGTCACTCACTCGCATTCCAAATTTCCGAGATCTGCATGCAGCAGATGCTCAACTCGTCAGCTCGTGAGGAAAGTCTCCTCTGGAAGTATGAGACGAGGGAGGTATCTTGAATTCACTTAAGTGATATGAGTGTTCGCCACAGCGATGTGACCTGCGCTTGTGCTGGATTGTTGTTGGGATAGGTAGTTGGAATGAAGTGATGAGCAAAGCTGGACTCTCGCTTATTCGTGCGAATACGAACATCTGACAGAACTGAAAAGAATCGCGGTACGGCTTTCTCATATTCCATCTTTAGAACTAGTTTGTGAGTGTTGTCTTCGGTCGAGAATCCGTAACATTGCTGAATCATTGTTGCTTTCCTGGAAATTAGGAGGAAGACGAATTGGACTCCACTAGCATTGGCATCGGCATCACCATCTCATTCAGCAAAATGGCGGTCCCCGATGTTGTAGAGTACACATAGATATCCATACTGACTAGTCTGGTGGGAGTCGTTGACATTCCAGTCTTCTCTTCTCGAATTTTGCTGAAGTGGTTGACTTGATAATGTTGCTTCCGAAGAGCAGAGTATGGTCAACTACGATTATTGGCCTTCTTTATCTGAGCTAGTTGACGCAGTATAAAGATACTATGTCAAAGAAGCTCCCCGCAGGTAAGCTGGATTCTGCAGCATGTTCTGGAACTTTGATAAGCTGAAACGCTTCGCCAACGCTGTCAACTTAGGCAGGCTTGTTATGCTGAATCCAGACGCTACGTGCTCCGCAACAGCACCTCAATCGATACAGACTGAGATGATTCTAGATCTATAGCAAAGAAACAAGATATATAAAGATTGGGAATCTGATAGATTTTCAGCTGAAGGGCAATCGAAGTGCAAAGCAAAGAAACAGCTTCGCCGGCTGCGGAATTCCTCATGCGCCACCATCTCCACAAGAATGAGACTGAGCCAAAGATTAGAAACAAATTCCAGACCTAATGTGGGGATCGACTCTTCTTCTTGCGGAATGTGTCTTTCATGCAGAGAACAATACTAAGAGAACAATATTAAGGGGTTCGCTTAGATGGCCGGTTCAAGAAACAATGTTAAGGAAATCCTTTGAAATCAATAGAACTACGACCATACATCCGATTTTGGAGCTCGCCAGGCATATTCCGATCCTGATGTCCACTACAAAGACATATAATTAAGGGGCTCGCTAGAATCGCTGCGTCAGGAAACAATACTAAGCAACTTCTTTGAAAGTAAACAAACTATCAACAAACGATCGACTCGTCTCTCAGAGTACACATGTAACTGTCATCATGTTCACAAAGATTTGCGGTTCAGGGGCTCGTTTGTATCTCTGCTTCAGGAAACAATATTAAGGATAGTCCTTTCAAGCAAACAAATACTCGACAACGATCGATCCTCTGTCCACTACATAGTCATCAGCTCCTGGTCTGTCATAAAGCGAGGCTTTATCATCTCTTGGAAAGTAAGAGCCAATCGGACTCTAGTTCGAAGCCACCATGTGAGTGATCGACCAGCCAGATATCAAAGAACATGGACGCGAAGTCGGCGAGACTCAAGATATCTAGCTTCTTGTGGCTTGAGATCTGATCCGAGCTGGTACTTGCTTTGTGCTACTCCGGAGAAGCTTCGAGATAACACCTACTCCTTGCCTATAAATACTTGGTCCTCCTCGATGTTTTCCTCTTCTTCTTCTCTCATTACCACTCACAAACACACTCACACACACTACAAACACCAGTCTTCAGACAAAACCCACACACAAAACAAAATGCCTAGACAACAGACCATCGTCGTGCCAGCTACTGGCTGGGGATCCGGCTTCTGCGTCGTCCAATAAGCGACCAGCCAACCATGCAGTCGACCCAACCTCTACCACATCAACCGACGACATAGCATCTCGGGACAATATCGTTTGGCAGGGCAGGAGAGGCTAGGAGATTAGGAGAGGGAGGAGGAGGAGTTTCATTTCTAACGAATTCGATTCTATGGCGGGAAGGTTGACAGATTTCAGACACCGACGGGGACGCTCGCTGGTTGTACTTTTGCGATTATTCAGGGGATTCAGAGGTGAGGAGATATAGCATACTGATATAGGGACATATATATTGTTCTTATAATAACATAGTATCACTTGCATTAATGTTTCCCGCAAGTTTCGCTCATGTGATATGACCATGGAACCAAAGAATAGGACTGACAAGACAAGACACTATCTTAGAAGGAGTACACGTGGACCCAGGATCGTTGAATAAGATTCTCTAAGAACTCCCCAACGATATTCAGGATTTCCTTGTTATAGTTCTAGCTTGATCCTAAGACCAAGAGCTGTAGTTGGAAAAGAGTTGATATGTCGAGAATGATGTAAATGCTCACATCCCCGAGGGAGGATTCAGGAAGCTCCTTTATATATGCTCTTAGCTTAACTTGAGCTTCTTTGTGCCAAAGATTGTGTTCCTCGGGACATTCCAAAATGCTGTTTGACCCATTCGCATTTCAGAATAGTAACAATAGTAAAATGTACTTAGATCGGAAGTGCCGGGTGCAGAGACGATCAGAGATCTTGCCTATAAAATTCAGATTTATTTTCTCTAGAGCTCGTACCAAATATCAACAATATTTCTCTGAGAGAACTCAACTCGCGTCGTGCCCACTAGGGCAGATTGGAAAGAAGTGCAATGACATTCTCCCAGTTCGAAATTGCAATCTACAATAGGACGTGCTCGTAAACATATAGGAATATCCTTACTGAGAGAAGTTTCTTGATTGCAGGAGGAAGGATGGTCTGCGTTAGTGTCATCTGGTTGCTGCCGTGACTTGGTAGCGAAGTTTGAGCTTGTGCTACCCGCAAGCTAAATGTCTGAAATGGCATGACATCTTTTTTAGCGATTTCATCAACAGGAAGTCTCGTCTTGTCATCTCATTGTATTTGACATTGTACTGTACTCCTCAGGCCATTTCAAAATCGACAGATGTTTGAAGGTTGTGTCGAACGAGAAAGGAGTTCATGGGTGGGTCAAAATAGGGACTAGCGTGCAATTACTTATCCAATGATTGGGTCGCAGATATTGGCCGACGTAGTCTATCGCGGAATCTTTTTCTGGGAGAGCTGTTTGCTTGCTGAACTGCAATCATCCTCGAGTCTGCCGAGTTATCGCGCAACTCATCCAATCTCTTTCTTTCTCTATCGCTTCCTATTTCCCTTTAATAATTATTCCCCATGTCGGCCCAGAATCCAATCACTACGGGGCAGGGCGTCCCAGATTTTGCGTCATCAACACCTCCTTCTTCAGTATGGGATCGAATATCGACATGGGCATCAGAAAATAAAGCTGTGGTGTACACAATCGCTGGTGTGGCAATAGTTGTCACAGGAGCCGGCGTGGCATATTACTTGACTGATTCGGTATGACGACTGGAGGCCGACCTGAAGAATGCAGTGGCTAATCTACAAATGTCAACAGAAACCCCCGATTTCCAAAGACTCACCCAAAAAGTCAAGCAAGAAGGAGAAGCGGAGGAAAAAGGAGGAAGAGAAAAAGTCTGCAGATGTGGAAAAGGCGGAACCAAAGCCAAAGGCGCCAACCGTCGAATCCGTCGATGAGCTTCCAGAAGTGGATGAGAACACAGTTGGAGACCTCTCAGAACAGGACAGAAAAGACTATGCTGCCAAGCTGAAGGCTGCCGGAAACACGGCTTACGGAAGTAAAGACTATCCAAAAGCCATCGACCTGTATGGTAAAGCCATTCTCTGCAAGCCGGACCCAATCTTCTACTCGAATCGTGCAGCCTGCTTCAACGCCCTTGGACAATGGGAGAAGGTTATCGAGGATACGACTGCTGCTATCAATCTAGACAACGAATACGTCAAAGCCCTGAACCGAAGAGCCAACGCGTACGAGCACCTCGAAAAGTTCAGCGAAGCTCTACTTGATTTCACCGCAAGCTGTATTATCGACGGCTTCCGAAACGAATCTAGTGCACAATCTGTTGAGCGTCTACTCAAGAAGGTGGCAGAGGCAAAGGGGAAAGCGATCCTAGCTACAAAGGACAAGAGATTGCCCAGCCCAACCTTCGTCACCAACTACCTCCAAAGTTTCCGAGCTCGACCTCCGCCAGCTGGCTTGGAGTTGGATGCTGAAATTTCAGAAGATACTGGCAAAGGACAGCTCCAACTAGGTCTGCGATCAATGGAGAAGAAGACTGGAGACGGCTACGATGAGGCTGCAGCTGCTTTTGATAAAGCCTTAGAAATTGGTGGTTTGGAGGAGCATGAAGCATTTGCTTACAACATGCGCGGCACATTCAAATACCTTCGTGGTGAGAATGTATCTGCGTTGGAGGATCTCACCAAGAGCGTCGATCTGCAACCATCTTTGACACAGAGCTTCATCAAGCGAGCAAGCATGCACTTGGAATTAGGTATGTGAGAATCTTCGACGAGCGAGAATTGTCACTAATCTGAGGATAGGCAACAAGGACGCTGCGGCAGATGACTTCGAGAAGGCTATGGCACAGAACAATGATGATCCCGATATCTACTACCACCGTGCCCAGCTACACTTTATCCTAGGCGAATTCCCAGAAGCTGCTAAAGACTACCAAAAATCGATCGATCTGGATAGAGACTTCATCTTTTCACACATCCAGCTTGGTGTTACACAATACAAAATGGGATCCATTGCGTCGTCAATGGCTACATTCCGAAGATGTATCAAGAACTTCGATAAGGTGCCCGACGTGTACAATTATTACGGAGAGCTGCTGCTCGATCAGCAAAAGTACCAAGAAGCTATCGAGAAGTTCGATACTGCAGTAGAGATGGAGAAGCAGACTAAGCCCTTGGGGATGAATGTCCTGCCGCTGATCAACAAGGCACTGGCTCTCTTCCAATGGAAGCAGGACTTCGCCGAGGCGGAGAAACTATGCCAGAAAGCCCTGATCAGTAAGTGTTTCTAACTCCGAGTATGCTTCCAACACTAACTTGTCATAGTTGATCCTGAATGTGATATTGCCGTTGCCACTATGGCACAGTTGTTGCTCCAGCAAGGCAAAGTGACGGAAGCTTTGAAGTACTTCGAGCGTGCTGCTGAATTGTCCCGAACTGAAGGAGAGATTGTGAATGCGTTGTCATACGCCGAAGCCACTCGAACACAATTGGAAGTTCAAGAAAAGTATCCACAGCTTGCCAACAGGCTGCAAGGGATGGGTGGGGGGTTTGCTGGTCCCATGCGTTAAGTGTTGGCGCTTGTACCCATTGGCAGGTTGGACTGTGTTGACGATAGATGGCTTCTTGGGATGCACACGGCTGAGCAGCGGTTGGAAAAACTGCATACAACGATTGCACTTGTAACTAATACTCCACTTCACTCGCGGAAGAGTGTGTATAGTAAAGATGAATGACGCACTTTTCAGTCAATTTCGCCTTGTGAAGGCTGAATCTTCAAGTCAGATGTGTATGTTGAGGGTTACCATTCGGGTCTCTAGGAATATTGGGATTTCCAACAAGACTTTAGGCTTAAGTAGCCTTTCCCAAGCCACCAGACCTCAGTGTTGGGTCTCTTTAACCTTATCACTCGTCTCCAAGTGGTCGTGATAATCGGCGGCGATGCGAGGCGGTGGCAGATTTGTGACACCGGCCATGATTTCGTCCTGGTCCAAGGCACACAAAGGTCAAAAGGTCGCAAGCAATAGACCTTATACCAAATCCAACAGCCACTTACTCATTGTCCCACGGCGCCTGAGAACATCGTGCGCTTCCAAAGCACTGCGCCTTGGTGTTCGTGACGCCGAGAATCTCCCATTGGCTCTGAGCCTTTGAGCGCTTAACCAATGAAAGTCTCCATCACGATCAGCACAATCAGATCTCACCACGATCTCATTGACAAACGCCCATAACCGCAACCGCAGTACACGACCTCAATCCGGATAACAAGTGCGTGTATTTCCAAGCACATGGGCCGCCCAACTCAGATTCCAAATTTACGCCGTCCACGCTGTCGGCAACGGGTCCCGACATTTGTCCAACATCACTACTGTAGAGCACCTTATTTGATTGTAAGCTAATTGTTCCCAATATAGACGGACTTTGGTCGGAATTCTCTCCTTCCGAGTGTTCTATTTCCGGTGTGATTATGGCTCTTTTGCTCGCATGCGGCGTTCGAGTCGCGGCAAATTAGTCGACATTATCGTTAGGTCGGACCAGCTCTCGAATGCGGACATTTGGGGAGGTCAAGCGAAGAGCCGACCAGGATGGCAGCGAAAGAGGCAAGTGCGTGAGACATGGACATGGTCTGAGTGTTCGAGAAGCTTGAGGGACATTGACAGCAGGGTGGCAGATGCGCGTTGGAGGCACAGAACAGATGAAAGAAAGAGCACGGTTCTTGGGAATTCTCTGTTTCGAAACATTCGAGTCGCAGGTTACGAGGGAATTACAGATGACGAGAAGGGGAAGGGGGATGCGATGATGTTGCTGGTGGGACAGAGCGACACGGGGATGAGATTCCTTCGCCCGTCGGAGAGAAAAGAAGTCGGGAAATCTGGGAAAGAGGGCTTGAGGGTACAGTATCTCGGAAAGATGCTGATGCTGTTGACTGTACTCGGCAAGGTCAGATCTCGCCTCGCGGGCGACAATCTTATTTGACGCGCAGAACGAATTATTGATGCTGCTTTGGGCAGACGCAAACGCGTGCAACACTGTAACACTTTGGTAAGTCGTCTCGAAAGAGCAGCGGTGGCTTTTGAGTTTCGGACATCGACTTCTGGTTGTGTTCACCGTACGATGTGTGCAGTTCAGGAGGGAGGGAGGGGTTGGGGTTGGGGTTGGGGTTGGGGTCAGGGAGGCTCGAGGTCTGGAATCAAGTGCAGACAGAATAGGGGGTCTCGGTAAAGTCGATCTGGAGGATTCACTGGAATTTCTCATGGATGAATGTTCGCGATGTCCAAGCTTCAACTCGAAACATGAGAAGAAACAAGAAGAAACATCAGATAAACCCCACGTAAGGTTACTCGAACAGAATAGATTCCACTTGGCAGCCTCGTGGTCGGGAAATGAGAGGATGAGGGGGAGGCAGATGTCAAAGTTCATCTGAAGTTTCGAAGATCAAACGTCTCCTGTGTCCAAGATTCCTAAAGATCTGAGAACCAGCAGAACCTGTACGAAAAACCCCCCATCGGTAGCGATGCTGACATGCAGTCGGAGTGGGCATGGCAGGGCAGGGCAGGGCAGGGCAGGGCTGGGCTTGGGCTCGGGACCAGGATCAGAAGCTTCCAGGCGTGTCCCTCTCCTAAGCAACAAACAAACACTCTTCTGGATCATGGCGGCCGAGGATTGCCTCGTGCAAAGTCTTCCTGTGATGACGAACAGCCGCCGGCTAATCCTGACGAGGGCGTACGTCTGGACGTCTGGAATCAAGTCGGGCGCAGTCAACTTGCCCAAGTGTTGGTACTCGTACCAGTGACAAACGTAGGTAACAAAACCAACAAAACCAACAGAAGAAAAAGCGTAGCACCAAAGAAGGTTGCGGAAGAGGAGCCACGGGACTGGATGCGGGAAAGTTATTTCTCCTACTCCTAATGGCACGGCCCAAGCGGGTGAAGTGAGTACAGCAACTCCACACGCAAGAATGGACTGTACAGTACTTATCAAAAACCCCTCCAAGGAACGGTACCAAACCACCCCATCTGCAATTCCCATGTCGCTGCATGCAGCGGCGTCGAGGGTGCATCTCGACTAAGCCTTTTCCAAATTCAACACCACCAACATCCCTTCTCGTCGTCGGCGGACACTCGCAGTCAGACTCAGCATGGCCGGCCGTCTCGCCAGACCAGACCGTGAGCCCTAGGCGAGGCGAGGGGGGCAATGGCGGTTGACTAGGCTTTTGACGCGCTATTGTGGGTACCAGCCGTGCCCCATGCCAACCCCCCCATGCACGCTCGCGGTTGCTGCTAAATTGGATTCCTCAAAATCTTAGAGTAGCTTCCAGCAAGCATCCTGGGTCCCCGTCCAGGATGCAGACACCATGCTGGTCAACGTGAGCCGGAGGGGTCGCGCAAACGGTCGTCCTCAATCTAAACTTGCAGGAAGCAGACAGATGTATAAGATGCTCCTCATCCGTCATGTAAATTCATTTTTTCCCTATCAAGCATCAACAGCTCTCTCATCTCCTTATCCACACTCACTTTCTTCTCTTTATCGTCTGAAAGGAGATCAACAGGTTGCTCGTCCTTGATAATACCTTTTTTCCCATCCAAAATTCCATATATTCTTCGACAGTTTCGAAAGTCTCTCGGCGTCTAATTATTTCGACCCTCCAATTCTCTCAGACTCAAGCTCGAATTTTACCTGTACCATGCCTTCCGTACGCTCTGTTCTCGCCGGCCTCCTAGCCACTACCCTCTTCCAACTCTCTACGGCATCACCGATTCCAATAGAAGAAGCATCAGATTGCTTGCCTAGCAAGCCTGTCGCAGTAACACCAACAATTCCTCCCAGTGGCAGTAAGTTACTAGACATTGTATTTCTTCTCTATACATACTGACTCAATACTTCAGACGTTCCAGACCTCCCAACCACCAACCTCACACTTTTATACGTAGCCATCGGTCGGGGAATCCAAAACTACACATGTACCGCAGCAGGCGCAACACCCTCAGCAGTTGGAGCAATCGCAACCCTCTTCGATGCTACCTCACTCGCATTCACAGACGAGACAGCCGTCCACGCCATCCCACCCGTAGCAGTCTACATGCCTCAACCAACATCCAGCCTCGCCCTCAAAGCCGGTGTCTTCAATCCTATCGGACACCACTACTTCGATGCCGCTGGAACCCCAACTTTCGATCTCACCGCTGTCGACAAGATCCTCTTCGGAGGCAAGACTGGAGATGTGAAGGCACCAACCACAGCGAATGTAGGACCTGACGGAACTGGTGCTGTGGACTGGCTTCAGTTGACGAAGAAGTCAACTTATACTAGTGTTGGCGTTCAGGTGGCTTACCGACTTGTTACTGCCGGTGGAAGTGCGCCAGCCACCTGCTCGAACTCAAGTCTTATCACCGTGCCGTATGCTGCCGAGTAAGTTGTCCTCTTTCCACCGGCTTGATTTTATACTAATCATTTACATAGATACTGGTTCTACAACTGAGAGATTTAAAGCATATTTACGGAAGACAAAAATTTCACTGTCCGGAAAATGGGAAGGAAATAATAGGAAATCAAAAGGGGAGAAGGGAAGGAGGTCTGTGCATAGAAAGGGGGGTTCGTGTATATATTTGATTTGAGTCTTGCAGCACTCCAGCGCGCAAAGTTGTATTACCGCCATTTTGATAGCATTTACACCAGTTTTGAATTCATCATTTACATTCACATTTTACCTGCTATCTTTCGTCGATGCCGACCGAGTGCAGTGTTCTCTCGAGGCGAAAATTAATCCTAGACAACGGCAAGCGTAATGTGTGCGAAACTCTAGATAATCGAGACTACCACAAGCAATACAAAATCACGCATCAGTACCAGGCGCTCAGAATGAAAGTCATATTTCAAAAATCAATATTAGATCCAAACAAGCATGTTGATGTTGATACCGTTTTAGAACCACAAAATTTGATACTTTCCTCGGACCAGATCGCGCGCGCTTGAAGATGTAACCCCATGTGAAAATTCGGAAGCGGCTACACCAAACCCCAACATCTAAAAAACGTTGCAAACATTAATTACAGTATAGGTTTGTACCCTTAGCATTTCTCTTGACCCGCCGGACATTCCTCTCGGTCTCCTCGTCTGTTTTCTTTTCAGCAATTTTGACTCGGAAAAGTACTGGGGTGATGATCGGCATATGTGCGGTTTTGCCAGGTTCGAAACTCTCCCAAAGGAAGTCATTATTTGACATCTTCAAAAATCTCACTCGAGATACAGACATCCAAACTCATCTACAGCGAAACACCATAGGATAGATACTCATTAACATTTTTCATTCCATGATTTCTTTACATGAACTTTTATTCCAACCTTCAACCATCTACCATTATCCCATCCACCACCTCACGAGTTCCTCACAGCACCATCCCGAATCCCACCCTGTCTAACATTGCCCCTGACATCGTCATCACCTCCTCTCTCAACCCTATCAAACTCACTCTTATCCTCAGGTCCACCCACGGCCTCAAAATCTCTTGCTTTGGTCGGCTGTCCCGATCCTTTCAAGATATCACCACCTTCCTCGACGGGAATCTCGCGGTTATCTCCCGCACCGGATGCCGCGCTGCCGTAGGTGACAGAGGCGCCTGGAAAGCGGGTCTCGACTCCCTCGTTGACGCCGGATTCGTTGGCTAGAAGAGATGTTAGTGGGGTTTGATAGATGGGGACAAGTACAGAGGAACATGAACACCAGGAAGTAGAGCAATTTTGATTATTCTAATCCAAAGACTTGATGGACCAGGAACAAGAAAAGGGGAAAGAGAAAAGCATACCGGAATCGCTGTTATTATAACCTCCTTGCTTGGCTTGATGGGAGTTGAGTTCGCGCTCTGCTTGCTTGGCAGCAGCCAGAGGATCTTTGTTATCGTATGAAGACATCTTGATTTTTATCGAACAAACCCTTGATGATACAAATTTTAAAATGCTCGTGTGATGGAGGAAGAATCAAACAGAAGAAAACATCTAAGGTGCTCTGAAGCACGTTACATCATAGTGTTGATGTAATGGCAGCTGCTCGCGGGCGCCAAAACTTAGCATATGGACCCCTGAGAACGGCCAATCACTTGATCCCATATCATAAATGCGAGATGTATATAGCATAGAACAGCGAAATGAAATGACTAAAAATCATCAATTTCGTTATGAGATTTTTTCTCGCTCTCTGGCGTTCGCGACCCTTTCCAAACCCCTGGATCCAGCCTCATTTACCCCAGACACACTGAAAAGTCGACGCTGTATGAATGTCCATCCCCAAGTCGCTTCTTATGAAAGATGAAAACTCTATTGACGCATAGCATCCAAACCGCCTTGCAAATCCTGCTCCAAGCCAGCACCTCCTTGCCCGTATGCTTCCTGGGGTCTGGGGTCCTCGGCTCCCCAGCTACCACCTCCTGCTGGAATTGGCACTGCAGGACCTTGGTTTTGTCCTTGTTGACCTGGCTGGATTCGCACATGCTGTCTGAATCGGGCAACCTCATCTAAGATCATCTTTCGCATTTCACCTACATCTTCTACGACTTCAAAGTCGAAGTTGAAGGTTGTAGGGCATCCAGGCTCGTCAGAAGCATCATGCCAGATGTGAAGATAAGGGTGTTCGAGGGCTTCCTCAACAGAAATTCGGGAAGAGGGATCGAATGCAAGCATGTGGTTCAAGAGATCCAAAGCATCAGGGTTCGCGTTGGGGAACAAGTTCGGGAAAGGTCGCTTTGGCATGAATGGAAGGTTGCGGACATATTCTTGAGCTCTTGGGGAGCCAATGCGAGAGAGAGTCTCCTCGTTTGGTGTTCCGAGGATGTGAAGGATCTGGTTGAGCTGGTCCACGTAATCTCTGCCCTTGAAAAATGGACGTCCGCCGAGTAACTCTGCGAGAATGCATCCTACAGACCACACATCGACTACTTGTGTCAGCTTGATCTTCCTCACAAACGAGGTACAGACTCACTAGCTTTTGTGTAACTCTGGAAACTCAACATGATCTCAGGAGCACGGTACCATCTCGTAGCAACATATTCAGTCATGTATCCAGCATTCTCCTCCGGATCGACCGAAAATCCTCTAGCCAGGCCGAAATCACAAATCTTCAACTCGCAATCAGCGTTAACCAACAAGTTTCCAGGTTTCAAATCACGATGTAGGACATTCGCAGAGTGGATGTACTTCAGACCGCAGAGGATTTGGTAGATGAAAGATTGGAAGTGGGCGTCAGTAAGAGGTTGCCCAGAACGAATAATGGCTGCAAGATCGCATTCCATGAGTTCTGCCATGTGTCAGAAGCTAGCATAAAGTAAGGCCTGGTAATGCAAACCTTCATAGAGATAAGTTTCGTTGAAGTTATCTGGACGAGGAATATCCATATCATAGAGACATGTAATCTGCAGCCATCAGAGCCATTCAATCTGTCTTCCAGCTATGATCTCGACGTACATTGCGATGTCCTCGGAAATGCTGTAGCAGCTTGATCTCACGTAGCGCACGCTTCGCAAGAATCTTCTTGCTGAAGACGTTGGTTACCTTCTTGATCGCAACCCCTTCATTGGTTTGGCTATTCGTCGCAGCACTGCACGAAGGTAGGTCAGTTTTGCTGATGCAGCTATCCATTGAACAGGTGAAGCTTACCAGACAATGCCATAAGCACCCTGACCCAACTCCTTTGTCACTGTATATCTCTCGTCGACGATGAAATCTTGGTTGAAGACCTTGAAGACCTTTCTACCTTGAAGGTCTGCCATTTTGTCGAAATGTGGTTGGTTGTCGCAAAACCTCGAGTTTGGGGATTGATTTCGAGTCACGGATTGGTGTTGGAACAGCTCGATGTCTCTCTCTTATCTGCAGACTATGCGCATGAGCTCCTTCCCGTAATTGTAGCCGCACACGAGGAGTCGTCCAGAGAGTAGGCACGATACGCAACAGCCTGAGCGGGGAAACAGAAAATTGACGGCGCAAGATCAGCTGAAGGGAAAGAGCGCCCTTTTATGTTCGCGAGGATGCAGAGATGTGCTTGGGCAGGGCTGAAAAGTCAGAAGTCAGAAGTCAGAGAAGATAGGCTGGCCTGTTGGAAGGCCCGAAGATGATGATGGTTTGGAGTAAGCCGTAAGTAAGTTCTGAGCAAGCTGAGGGACAACCCCACTACTTCACTACCTCACTCCTCGCCTAATCAATCCAGTAATGTGGAGCTGGAGAATACAAGGCTGAGTCAAAGGAGAAAATAACATCGCACACCCAAGACAAGCCACATTCGACTGTGTTTGATGCTCAAAATCCCAGTCAATGACACCATAGACGCGAGTTACCCCTTTTTCGTCAATTAATGCGATAATGTGCTTGTTCTGATTGGCCAGTCGTGGTGTGGCGAAGCATATTGCACTGCTATTCTCGTCGGCGGCTAGAGATCGTAGTCTACGGAGACGCCCGCACTTCGTTGGTCACTACTACGCTACGTTTCATCACAGATTGATTTAGCTGTCGGTAGAATTTGATAATAACTTCATGCCAAGTCAACGATAATCTGGCAGATAATTCTGTCTATGGATCATTCCCGTCTGGGATAATATCTCAACTATCGTCAGACATCACGGGCTCGACTACTCAACCATAAAGGAATAAAAAGCCATGCAAAACCAAATATAATCATCCTTATCACTTCACTTTGGATTCCCCATTTCAACCCAGTGGGAGTCTCCTCCATACCCCATAACCTCGGATAACGTTCGCCCCTTTTTGGCTTTTTGACGGTATGGCAAGGTGAAAGTTGGCGAGGATACGTCTGCCGTGATTTTATGCTCATGAATCAATTGTTCGAGATTTTCTATGTCTTCAAGCTGTTGATCAAAACTTGTCTGGATCCGAGGCAGTTCCAGCTGTGACGGATGCCTCTGGGTTGGTGTGTAATAATCTGGTTCCTGCTGCTGTTGCTGTGTCTCGCGCTTGTAGTGCAAGCTTTCCGGGTCTTGGCTGTACTTCTGCTGCACGGCATCTAGCCTTTGGAGGAGGCTTCCTACCCTCTGCTGATGCTCTTTCCATCGTTTTGCCTCAGCTGTAAGCTCTACTGCGACAGGCCTTGTTTCATTCGAGGTGCTCACGTAACCATGGTTTTGTTCGGCAGAAATTTTCTGTAGCGGAACGTCCATGGTCTCGCGCTCTTGGTTCAAGGCCGCTTCTCTCTCTCCACCAATTCTAGAGTCCCATGAAGCTTGTACTTCGCTGACATATGTATTAGGGATGTCTAATACATCCTGATCAGTCTTCTGGGTACAAAAGAGATCCGAACCGAAAGTTCGATCTGATGTTCGTCCTTCATCGTCGAAAGCTTCGGGAAGAGGCACAACTGGAGGTTTCTGGAGAGCCCAAAACTCACGCCTACGACTCTTCAAGCCATCACCTCCTTCATTTATCTTATCCTGTGACGCAGGTTGCCTCTCGGTGATTCCTTTACCTGTCGCTCCTCTTTCGGGCGACCCAAGTGGTTCACTCCCTGCTTTCCAATCTGCTTGGTTTCTCCGCTCCATCAACAATCTCATATCCTCCTCCTCCTTTACCCCATACTCCATCTTCTCCAGCCCTAAAGCATCCAAGATATCCAGCACAGCGTCTGATTCCCAGTCTCTTGCCGCTTGCCATGGTTTCGAGCACCAGTCTTCTGCTAAGTTGTACCTTTCTTCAAGATAACTTTCCAACCATCCTAGCAGGGCATCTCGATCTTCAGCTAGTTTTGGACGGAGGTCTCGTGGTGCTACTTTCTTTGCTAGCTTCTGAATAATGTCTGGAAAACCGTGGACGAGAAAGGAGGCAATGATAGGGTAGGGAACAGACGGCTGAACTCGGAGACGAAGAATACACGCCAGCAGGAGAGTATCTCTCTTCCAAGGCGCATTTCGGTGGATTTTGTGTTTTCCCATGAGGAGTGCGGTCTAGTGTCAGAAGTTGTTGTTGAGAGTTTAGCTTGTGTCTTGTTGGAAATTGCCTCGGAGACCTTCGATCATTCTTGTGTACTAGGTTGCGTGAATCATTACGAGTCGGACGGGATACGCGAATACTCAGTTGCGTGAATTACTACGAAACGGACGAGACATGCGATTTACTTGTGCAATATCTCTAATGTAGTTGTGAAGCATGACTTGAAGTAGTATAGTATTTATTATCCCTTCGAATTCAAGATTCTTTTTCGATATATAATCCAAAGGTTTCGAATGTTGATAGTTTACCAAAGTTAACGATAGCTGCAGATATCAAAGGGTACTAGATTGTGTGTCCTCATATCAAAGATAATGGCCAAGATAATCGTCTTGATAAATCAAGTAAACTATTCCCAACAATTTCAAAGAACTATCTAGATGCAGGCTTTCAATCATTCTTATATCCTCAATTGCGTGATCAACCACGGACCGGGCGGGATATGCCACCAACTTGAGCAATGCCTCTAACGGAGTTGTGAAGTATGATTCAAAACGGTATAGAACTTGTCATCCCCTTACATTCACGACTTTTCTTCGTTATGTACACTATTCAAAGAATTCAAATATCACTAACTTATTATACTCGGGATTGCTGCAGGCGTCAAAGAATACTAGATTGTCTGTCCTTCTGTTGAAGATGATCATCCTGGTATGTCAACTAAAGTATTCCCACAGCCTCAAAACTCCATCTGCACAGATGTAGGACAAGAATGAAAAGACTGTGTCGCTGTTGAACATTTCTGCGTTCAGAATGTCTAATATCTAATTACGACTTGTACTTCATCAATGGGGGGGCAAGATAATAGCAGATTTTTTTGTTGGGCATCATAGTAGGTATTAGACCAAGATTCGATTCACGTGGACTTCAGAAACAAGAGATTCTTGCAGCTGTGCTAGGGCTGCATTAGCATTCTGCTGGGTATCGTCTACATAAATCGTCGTCCCTAATCAACTATCGTCACGATGCCGAACCCGCTTTTGCAGCTGCTTTCTTCTCCTCGATAGCCTTAAGCTTAGCCAACTTCTTTTCCTGATTCTTTGTCATCTTTGGGGTTCCTTCCCCGGCAGCCTCGCCCCCGGCACTCTCCCCTTCAGGTTTTTTGACAACGATGGCATTTGGATTTCCTCTCCATTCCAGCTTCTTCCTCGCCATAAAGACTTTGACCACATCGTCCGTCACCGCCGCTCTGCGTTCTTGGAATCCCTTCACGTAAGTCTGCAGCTCAGCTATGCACTTAGCTTTCAGCTCCCCAGTCAGCAATTCACCCTTGGTGTATGCAACCCGAATGCGCTCCAACTCGTCATCATCCTCGAGGAAGAAAGTTAAGTATTGGTAAGACACATCCTTCTCCGCATCGCCACCTTTTTCTCTTTGTTCCGCCTCGGTCACCTGGCCACCAGAAAATGCATACCTATTGATCTTGTTCTTGATCTGATTTGGTTGATCCTTCATGAAGATAGCTGAGCTATCAACCGAGGCGCTCATCTTAGAACCAGGGCCTTGTAAAGCGTCGAGAAAACGTGCGTGTATAAGAGCGGGCTTGGCGAAGTGCAGACGTGCTGCAACATCTCGAGTCATCCGGAAGTAGGGATCTTGATCAATAGCGCAGGGAATAATGGCGGGAATCAGGTTTGTTTTCGACTCGTCGGTGCCGAAGATGTGTGGAAACGAGGATGCGAAGGAAGTTGCGCCTTGAACGGCTCCAAAGTGGATTTTACCTATGCAGGAACTGGGAATGTCAGAATGTTGGACAGACTACTTATCCAGGTCACATTACCTGTCATTGAAGCCAAAGACTGCACGAGCCACATTCAACGTAACATGTTTGGAGATTCGAGTTACGTTTCTGTAGAAAGCTCCTCCCATATAGTCGTAGTCGCTGAACATGAAGGTCTTCTTTGGGTCGAAGCCGACAGCAATGATATCCTTCGCATTGTCCCAGGTATAGCTCGTAACCTCCTCGATTGTTCTCTTCTCGGAGAAGATGTACTTTTCGTCGTCCGTAAGCATGATGATCAGTGGTACATCGAACACATCCTGTAACCACCTATGAGTCATTAGCAATTGTGAAGCAGTTTAGCATAACACCAGCACTTACTTGGTGAATTCAAATGGCACAGTATGCCCAATATGCATGCTATCGCTCGACGGTCCCCGGCCGGTGTAGAGGAAGAAAGGTTCTCCTCTTTCATGGCGGTCCAGAATGTAGTTAAGATCTCTATGGCTGAACACAATTCCTCTCCGCATGAACCTGTGTGGCTTATGTCCAGTGACCTTTTCGAAGCGTACCAGGTCCTCCTCCAGAATCTTCTTTGTCCCGAACTCTTCAATAAGAGTCAGATAATTGATAGCTTTGGCAATTCCATCTGCCCCAATTTCTCCAGCGACATTATAAGGGTCGACCGTTTGCTTGGAGCTCTGTTTCGTGGGCGCATCTGCTGCCAATGCAGCCTGCACAGAGGGTTCTGGGTCGGCCATGGTGAGGACTACCAAATGACAAAGTTACGAATAAGTTTGTTTTGGTAGGGGACGAATTCTCACGGTGGAAGTTGTTCTTGGTGGGGGTGTTGTCTTTTTGAGGTGGCAGAAATTATAGACGGGAAATCGGCTAAAGATGACTCCCTTCAACTCAATTAGGAACACAACACAATATGTTGCAGCAATTCTACGAGAAATATGAGATCCGAAATCCGAAAATTGCCAGAGAAGCAGTAACTAGCAAGGACTTTAGCTATCAAAGATGAGAAAAAAACAATGTCTCGTGCCATTCGCCATTTACCCCAGATTTTGCCGTATTAGTACTAGCCTCGTCGTAACCCTTGTCAGAATGTAAAGTGAGTTCGGATTTGCTGGTCTGCCTCGTGCTCACGCATCATTACATCTCTCCACCTCAGCACCCCCTTCCCCTCCTTTCTCGAACCATCAACTTCAGTTTCTCATTTTTCAACCACGAGCCTGTAATGCATCCACAACATCCATAATGGTCAAATTCTACGAATCGAACTTCTCTTACGACTACTCCTTTCCGGCCGTCACCCTAGCCTACTTCCTCCGCTACCCAAACCCGTACAGCACACATGTATTGTCAACAGACGTCATCTCACGAGAAGTAGATGCCAATGGCCGTCTTCGCACCCTTCGAATCCATCGAAAATCGTCAAGATTGCCGTCTGCCGTCTTGAAACTACTTCCAAAGAGCGTCCTTGGAAACATCAGTGGCGGCAAATCGGAAAGCTATATTCTCGAGACGAGTACGATTGATGTTAAAGAGGGATGGATGCATACCGAAAGCAAGAACTTGGATTGGACTGGTATATTGAGTGTCGTTGAGCGGCAGGAGTATCGGAGGCACGTGCCCGTCGATGAGGGGGATGACTTCAGTATTGGGGCTGGGACCACCGGAGTTGTAACCACAGTCAAGTTTAGGAGCAGACTTGGAGAGAGATTCAGAGCTAGGACGGCCAGAAAAGATGAAGTGGAAGAAGAGCCGAAACGAAGCTTCCTAGCAGCTTGGAGTACTGGTGGAATCCAGCGTAGTATCGAAGCTATTGCGAGTCGCAAGACGGAAAGCCAATTGGGCAAGAGCAAGGAGGGCATGAAAGTGGTATTGGAAAGGTTGCGTCGAGGAGGCTTGGTTGCGGTTCTTGATGGTATGCGAGAGGATAGGAAGCTCAACTTTGTACATGAGTGAGCATTCAATGGATGGGAAACTTCGGAAGCACATGGTAACGACGAATACTTTGCGAACATCGGTCAAGCCTTTTTGGCCCTCTTGTACAAATACACATTTGGGAGCGCGGAGTCTGGGAAGGGAAATCTTGGCGTTTGTTGATATAGCTCTCCTATCCAACTATTTACAATCTTTGGAAAATCTTACGCTGCGAATTTGCCTACTTACCTAGGTAAGAGCAACATTTTTCGTAACTTGCTTGCCATTTAACCTTATGCGAGGAAAGGGAAGATATCACATCCCATCTGCAGTGTACCTCCCCTGGTCATATGTTAACTTGCTAGAAATATAGAGACATGCTGCTTCAATTTGAAGAACGTGCACAGACAGAATTTATATGAAAATTCAAAGTCCGTCAGTAATAGCATCCTTCAAAGCAACACAAGTTCTCTCCTCTTCAAGTCAAAGTAAATTGAGCGAGTGGCAAGAAACTAACATATGATCAAGGGGTACACTGTGAGGTCAGGACAGTGAGTGAAATTGTCAGATTTTCCCACATTTACGTATATACATTAATTCTATGTTGTCTAACATGATATAGGCCCCATCTACTCTCTACATTCTCCACTTCTTTGTTGGTGGAGCAGTACCATTACTCAATGTAGTGACATTTGGCTGTGGGTAATTATCTGTCGTGAAAGGAACTGTACTTGAAAGTGAATCGATTCTTCCAAGCAAGAACTCCAAAGTTCTGTATGAGGCAGATGGAGCATACTGGGGAATCACTGAAATCGGTCAGTGGTTGCTATTTCGCGGAAGTCAAGTGCACTTACTGTGACCCGAAAGGTCTACGCTGACCCAGGTCAGGCCACGCTCTGTGTGTGTTGTACCAAGAACACCTGCTGCTGCTAGAGTTGCTTGGCTAGGATTATCATGGTATGGGACGTAAAAAGGGTCTGAAGGCTTGGTAGTGAATCCTTGAGCTCCATTCCATGTCATGTTTTGAATCATCATGAGAGTGCCATTCGAGATCAAAACCATATCTAGTGCCTTTCGAAATCTCAGCAAATGTTCTCGCCAGATGCAGACTTTCAGGAATACGTACCCCGTGCCCAATCACAGTACGCTTGCTTCTTTCAATAACACCTGGCAAAACACTTACTCCTGATGGAGGGCTATTATCCGTACCGTTGACGAAAACATTGCCACTTGCACATTCCTCCCAGTCGCCAATAGGTGCATTGATAGCTTTTTGAACGTCCGTTCTATTAAAATAGATAGAAGCCCCTTCTGGAAGATAGTCAAAAGATCCGGGGAAACCGAGGACATCCCAGAGCACTGGGCAGGTTGTTGCTACTTGATATATATCCCAACACGGGTTAACGTAAAACACCTCGTTGTATATGGTATCGAAGACATCACAACCGTCTAGTGTGTTGCCATCTGTATCTTGTCCTGGAAGTTCGGAAGGAAATGGACCCGGTGGAGGAAACGTGAGATATTTGGTAATATAGTCGGTGTATCCACAAGCATCAGACATACTGTGGAGTTGAGCTCTGAAGGTGTCGTTGAATGGCATCAGACCATACCAATAGTCCACGAACTGGACAGCTGGGATCTGCTCCTGTATAGCATCATAGGATGTCGAAGGATCGTAGATCATCGTGGCTTCTAAGTTGTGATACTAAATCGGTCTTAGAATATTCTAAGATTATTGAGTTCTCTTAAAGACTTACGGTGGTATCATTCTTGTTGAGCATGGCATCTGCGATGTACGGGACGTAATATCCAGCTACCCAGATGATTAGTACTGTAGATATTGGAGAATGAACGGCGGGGAGGAGTTCATTGATCACTATCCAAACGCTTTCCACGTTCTCGGATTTTGCTGTAGAATAAACATCGACCTACCGTAGCTCTCGCCTGTGATGAATACGCGACGGTTTTGTAAATCAAAAGTGTCTACGAAATTCTCCCACCATCCTAAGAACTCTGCCGCAATATCACTCTCGCCGGTGGCCTCCGGAGTACCCTGGGAGAAGCCTGGCCGAAGAATTAGCACTGCTACATGCCAAAAGTCCCTTGGAGCTAGGGTCATGAAGACAGAGCACGTACCTGTGCCTACGGGCTGCTCTACCCATACAACGTTTGTCAGACTTCATACTGTCAGTGCTTCTGAATAGTCAGGAAGAGAGCTTCGTACTTAACCCAGGTCCAAGGGTTCGGAACAGGGAGGTATGTTCCACTGGAAAAAATCAGTCATCTAGATTGTACACAGATTCGAAGTCCGTACTATTGCCACAAGAATGGACCATTTTCCTGAAGGAGACCTTCGAGAGAGCTGCAACCTGGCTGACAGAAAGGAGTAAGCTCGGCATTCATCTTTCTCCAGGTGAACACTCACTCCTCCATTCAACCAAATCAGGATTTCGTCGCTGGCTTCGGTATTCGTAGAAGGGAAAAACCACCAGTAAAGTTCCCTCGTCTCGTTGGCATCCTTTGAAATTGGAAGCAATCCTGCATATGATTCGCCTACATCAAAATCGACATCTGGGATCGCTGACCCATTTACTTGGAACTCTGCATTGGTTCATTAATCAGTAAGGGTGCAATTCTCTAGGTCCAACTTACTCGTAGTGGTGTTCGTGAGGTAGCCGAATGAATCAGCCCGTCGCTGCTGAACATGTTGCTCTCTTCGTCCCAAACTTGGATGTTTGTCTGCCTTTCCAACATGCTTGAGACTTCTACCAGAGTGCTGTGCAGCAGAAACTAAAGTGGTTGCCACTGTCAAAGCAGAGATGAGGGCCGAGATATACATTCTTCCCAGCAAGTCTAGGTCCCCAATATCCAAATAGACTTGCTAAAACGAAGAGGTTATGGTGTGAACTTGCGGGGCTCAACAAGCTTATGAGGATTTCCCCGAAAGCTCGCGGAGCGAAACATGATGTTGTTATGATGACGAGGAGGACTCATCCATGCAACTTATCCATGCAAAGTCAAAAGCCCACTCGAGCCACTAAGATTCTTTCGCCCCGCCACTGCGTGGAGTCTCCAATCTGTCACCTTCTCGCTTTGTGCGTTAAATCATGGTGAACATGGAACGTCCTGTCGGGCTCTGTACATCATCGGATATCTGCATGTCGATCGATACCGTGTGAAACTAATTACGGAGGCCGCCTAGCAATACCCACGAATTGGCCACCGATGATCCACGGTAGTCAGAAAACAACCCAAGATCAGAGAAGTGGATCAAGACCTCGGGAGATTCATTGCCAGATTCTACAGAAGGGATGGTGGAGTGTTGAAAGGCATCGCTCAAAATCAGCAACGGCCTTCCATTTGGGGTCTAGCGCTCGCCAGTAGCCGCCATGGACACCCTTACCTTACATTCGGGATATTAAAATCTGTTAATAATGAAGATCTAAGCCGATTTTGGTGGGTCTGAGTGTTCCCGGCACTCCTGTGGGGGGCATATGCCGACTATTAAATACAGTACGTTTCGACAAAAAGTAATGCGGAGTTCGATACGGGTCGATATGAAGCTGGAAGTTGACCGAAGAGCAGATTTCCCTCAGAGCCGCACCAGAGATGATCGAGGGGACGGGACGAGACGGGACACCAAAAGCCCCGCCTTGTTGAGGCTGAAAATACTTGTATTGTAACTTCAGACAGGCATTGTAAATATTTTCCAGAATAATTGTGGACCAACATTGAGCTTTAGCTACAGTGATGTGCCGCTCTCTGCTGTGCGATTCGCTTGCAGTCCCAGAATCCTGATCAACACATATGAGTAGATATCACTTCCCTACCATATTCGGCGGTTATAGAGAGTTCAGTCTCTCGATCTTTTCGAAACTGGGAGAAAAGATCTTGGATTCATGCAATTCCAACCTTGTCGCCTGACCTGTTCTCGACGGCGAATGCCTTGATGGCATCCCAGCTCCTACAAATATGCGTGGAATTTGCTCCGGTAAACCCAAGGCGCCTTTCAGTGCCGTCCGGGTCTCGAACAATCTCTGCAAAGTCCAAAGTTGTGTCTCCTGCGCAGAGAATCGACTGCCTTACTTCTCGAACATTAGTACTGCCATTCATGTCTGCTGCTTGAAACTTACTGTAGTCTATGCAGTGATATTCATGCCCATCGCCAGCAAACCTAGACTTGTTTTTCTTTTCATATTTCTTGATCACATCTCTTAGTACTCCCTTGGTGCTGTCAGTACAGACTCCTTATCAACAATGCAGTTTCGTACTAAGCAGTGTAACTGATGAGTGATGGACAGCGAGTATATCTCGCCTTTTTCTGAGTCATTCTCGATACTCTTGCTCTGTGGCATGTCAAATCGTCGAGGATAAGGTACTCGAACAAAACCAGAACCCACTGGATATCATTAGTATACCCAAAGGACTCTTGTCTTGCAAGATCTTACGCGGCAGGAGATCTCTCCATAAATTGTCGGCCTCTATCCCAGTGTCTCCATATTTCGTCGGGAATTCAAAAGTCACCTGTGTGAGTGGAACTTTCCTTCTTCGTCAATTCTACCCCTCAGCTGATAAAACATATTAGGATCTTACTTTCAGGTATGAATGCCTGTGGAGGTAGCAATTCATCTTCTCCTGGTTCAGGCCAAAACTTCGAATGGCCAATGTCCGTCCAGTTTTGGGCCTTGTACCCCACTCCAAAGCCAATGGAGAAGCATATCGCAGCAAAAGCAGCCAGAAGAAGGCCCGTCCTCACTGCAGCCCTCACAGATGATTGCTTTGATGTACGATCGCTCTCCTCGTTCACTTCATCGAGTGGCACAGCACTGTACTGGTTGTTGGACATCTTCATATTCTTGCTCTTAAACGGACGTATGATCGAAATGGGACGGCATTAAGTACTTTAATTATGGGAAAGTATCCACTGGGGCATTTCGGTCCGGTGTATACTGAATAGGAGCTAGTTCATAAGGAGTTGAAATGATTCATTTATCCTAAACAGGCTGAAGTGGGTCGCAGCTGCCACGTGATATTCTTCCTCTTGCCTGATCAAAGGTAGGTACTCACATAGTCGAGACTAGGAATCGATAGTGGAAAGTGAATGATGTAAATGTTCACTGCATTGACTGTAAAGCATTCTGTCTGAAGGTGGGCAGGTCAAAGCATCCTACGATCATCTGATATACCAAAACCTTCCAAGTCTCCAACTCCATGTTGACTAGAGTGCCAACGGTCTCGAAATAAACATCGAGGAGGGTTTGTGTTGTATACACTTAGGAGATAGTCGAGAAGTATGCCTCAGACATTCAGTGGCCAATGAGAAATTGAGCCCCTCTACCTTCAGCTGATAATCCGTAGCATGCGGTCGTCAATTGCTCAAGGAGCTTCACCTTTCATCATGATGGGATAAGGCAGATGGAGTCTGAAATCCAATCAGCAAGTCAAAACAGGGACGAAGATCATCTCTGCTAACTAGTATAATCATGCAGAGACATCTATCGGCAAATCATGGCAATCTGAGAACAAAAGAAGTAGTCAAAGACCGATCTGTTGACGGACTTTGCAGGAATTAAATTGGCCTGATATTCAACCAAAGTTGAGAAGGGCTGCTAATAATCTAGTACGCATGGTTATGGTTGGAGTATCGAACTTTGAAGGTGAAATGGCAATGAAAGTAGTCTGCCGCTTGACGCGTCCTCGACAGCCAGAGGAATCTAGAGGTACAAATTTCCATACATGAGTGCATCGGTGCCATCAATGAAACGCTACGAGAAAATCGCGAGAAAATCGCGCGATTCTCGAGACCTAGAGTGAGAGAGAAAATTTGACGCGTTCAAGACAAAGATAAGCATAAAAATCACAGGCAAAAAGACTTCCGTAGAACAAAGCCTTGTCAAAAGACTGGAAGTGCTAGTAGAAGTTCGCACAAACAAATTGGTGTTGACGATCCATAATGGCCATCACTTTAGCGTAATAGCGAGACGAGATTTTGATATGGGGGAAGGCTGACCTAGTAGCAGAATCCGCTAAAGGTCGTATAGATTGAAATAAGCATTTTTTTGTCATACCAATATCTAGCTGAAGGCGGCCACCAGGCTCGGTGGTTCAGGACAAACCTAGTTTGGCTGATGGAAAGGGCGTCGAGAATAACCCAGGCTTGGGTTTGATAGGGAGCAACCGCTACACGACTGCGCTTGCTCCTGAAGTTTTTGCTCCTTTAATCTATTTTGCTCGCAATCTTTTTGATGCTTTTGATACTTATGATTGGCTCTCTCTGTGGACATTTTTATCTTTGACAATTTTGACAATTTTTGCCCTCGCTTAGCTAAACGAACTGGATACAAGCAAGTCTCTGGCAGCGAATCGAACCATAGCACTGCGATTTTGAGGGCTCGTTCTATTTGGCATTCTTTTCAATTGTTGTCCTCAGCTTTCCCACATTTCCCGTATGATGCGTGAGCAAAGAGCGTACCCAGATATTCAGAGCCGTCGCGTTCTTTAGGCGAGTACACTTGACGCTTAATTGCTTCAAGATCAAGAACAAATGTTCTTATCTACTTGTTCCGGTGCATTCTTATCACTTTACCAGTAAATCGCTCCAATGTGCAAGCAGAATGCAATTATTGTAGGGCTTTCCCTCTTCAATCCACACATCATCTACTTAGACGGTGGCATACAGAGAGTAAGAACAAGCATTGTAGCAAAGCAAAAACATGAAGCTAAGGAGATCGATACCCCCGCTCAAAATGGAGTTTTGCGTGTCCCATCATCTGGCATTGTTGGTTGCTTCGTCCTCCGCGAGCATCGTCTCGATCTCACGATCTCCAAGCCAGGTCTTTACACTTTCTATGATTTTGTCCAGATCATCTCCACCATCCATTACATCATCCAAATTATGGACACTGAGACCACTTCGATGATCCGTGACTCTTTGTTGTCCCCAATTATAGGTCCGAACTTTATCTCCACGACCCATTTTCGCAATGCCAATTACGCCTCTCCTAAGTTTGACAACCTCCTCCTCTCTTGCTTCTCTTTTCGCTTGCGCTAGCTTAGATCTTAGCAACTGCCAAGCTCGTTCTCGATTTTGGTGCTGTGATCTCGAGTCTTGCATACTAACAACGGTATTCGTCGGTATGTGCGTAAGCCGGATGGCGGAGTCGGTCGTATTGACGTGCTGACCGCCCGCTCCACGTGCTCTCATAACGTCTGTTCGTACATCTCCAGGATTGATGTAGTAATCACTCTCGGGGTCATTGAAATCTGCATCTCCAATATCTTGACCCTCGCTGCCTGACTTCGGCAGGCTTGGAAGGACCAGCACACCGACAGCACTTGTATGTGTCCGGCCCTTGCTCTCGGTAGCAGGTACTCTTTGAACTCTATGTACCCCAGCTTCGCTCCGCAGTTCTCCATATGCTCCTGGGGATTCTACCTCGAGAATAGCTTCTGCAAGAGGCGGTTGTCCATCGGAGTCACCATCGGCTGTTTCGTACTTGAGCAAGGATGACCGCATGCCCTTTCTCGAGCAATATGCTTGATACATCCTCAAGAGATCAGCTGCAAATATAGCCGCCTCTCCCCCTCCAACACCAGGTCGTATTTCTACTAGACATGGCAGGTCTTGGAAAGGATGCTTCGGCGTCAAAGAGGTAGCTAATCTTTGCGACAACGTCTCGAGTTGTGAAGCCGTCAACGACAAATCCTCCGCAGCGAGTTCACGGAGCTCAGAGTCTGTTGTGGGGTCTTTCAGCAGGGAATTGAGCTCTTTCAAAGAATCTTGGGCAGCCTCCCATTCCTTCAATGCTTCCGATACGCCTTTAAGTTCTCCGATGCGTCTCGCAATCTTAGCATCAAAGCTCTCAGCTGTCTCTTTGCTCAGCCGATCCTGTTCCGAAGCAAGATTTCGTGCTCGCGATAGCAGTGCCGGTGAGAAGGAGCCATGAGTAGCTGGTATGGTGTGAGTAGGTGAGACTATGTCGTTAGAATTACACAACTTACCAGAGCTAGAAAATTTAAGCAGTCGCCGCCTGGCAGGCTTCAACGATGCATTGAAACATCGTCGACAAATGTATGGAGCTCCGAACATAATCAGTCGCATTTCTTGAAGCTCTCCTGAATGTGACTAAAATTTATGGTTACTGCAAAGGCGGTAGCCCCTTTTGGAAGGTCAACACCCCTGAAATAAATGACGTTCTGCCATGAACATCGGCCGCGGCCGTGGTGGGGCTTCCCCCCATTGCCGAAATCGGGTCGTCTTCTCTTGAGTCTGCATCTTTTCTATGATTCATATTTATCTCCTGCAGTCTTACTCATTTTCTTATACTTTTAGGATTTTAAATACCCATTCGTGCTAACTTCCAATTCCTAGTAAGAGTACTCTGTCGTGCATTTCAAAGATGTCTCGCTTACACTTCGTTTGTAGATACTTGCATACTTCATTTCGGAAAGCTATGCCTTTGAATCTCAATTCAGTATATCCGGCAACAACACCGGAATTCCAAACATTTCCGAGCAGGAGAAGTGTTGTACACAGCACCCAAGGCATTGTTGCTTGTACACAACCTTTGGCCGCAAGATGTGGACTTAAAGTTCTTGATGCTGGTGGAAATGCTGCTGTGAATAATCATGACCCCCCACTTTCATGAATAATTGCTGATAACGAGCAGGATGCCGCAGTAGCAGTTGGTATGAATATATAATCTCTCTTGAATTACTATCTGATCAGCTTGTAGCTGCTGGACTTAATTTGACAGAACCTACCTCCACCGGAATTGGCGGTGATATGTTCTGTCTCTTCTACGATGCTAAGACCAAGAAGATCTCAGCCATGAATGGTTCAGGCCGTTCTGGTATGAAATGCACTCCGGAAGCAACGCGGAAAGACCTCGGCATGCAAGATGGTGACACTGACCATATGCCACTCGACAGTGTCCATGCTGTAACAATTCCTGGCGCAGCAGCTGGTTGGGTCGATACTATCGAACGCTTTGGGAGTGGGAAGTTATCGTTAGAGCAAATCTTGAATCCTGCTATTGAGCTGGCTGAAAGGGGATTCCCGGTCTCCGAACTTGCTTCTAGAGGGGTATTTCTTTGTGATCATCCAGAGCCGAGCTGAACTAACAAGTCACCTAGTGGAGGAGGGGAGAGCAACAACTCAAAGACGCATCCCCAAACTATGCAGAGATGCTGAAGAAGGATGCAAACGGGTACCATGGACCACGAGCAGGAGAAATCTTCAAAAATCAAAACCTTGCGACAACTTTTCGGTCTCTCGCAAAGGACGGCAAGAAAGGCTTCTACACTGGTAGAATCGCTGAAGCTATTATCAAGGTGACTAAAGACAGAGGTGGGTTTCTAGAGCTTGAAGACTTAAAGCACCACATGGAAGTTGGGAGTGAACCCTTCGAGGCCATCTCTTATGTCTTCAAAGGACAGAATTACGCTAGCACCAAGGGAGACTTTGTCGATGGTTCATCAGGTCAAGGAGAAAATGAGGATGATCATGGTGTTGAGATATGGGAACACCCTCCAAACGGCCAAGGCATCGTCGCTCTGATGGCACTTGGTATAATAGAAGCCCTTGAAGAAAGTCAAACGATCCCAGTATTCAAGGAGGAAGACCACAACTCAGTAGAGTATCTCCATGCAGTCATCGAGGCCTTGCGTATTGCGTTCGCAGATGCAAGCTGGTGGGTCGCCGACCCAAGTCATTCCAAAGTGCCGTCGGCAGAGCTTATCTCGAAAGCATACCTCGCCGAGAGAGCGAAACTCTTCGATCCAACCAAGGCATCAGACAAAATTTACGATCGAGGAAGCCCAGCTCACAACCATAGTGACACGGTGTACTTCGCCGTGACAGATAAAGATGGAAACGGAATCTCATTCATCAATTCGAACTTTCATGGGTTTGGGTCAGCCATTATTCCCAAGGGCTGTGGCTTCACACTTCAAAATCGTGGTGGCAACTTCAGCCTGGAACCTGGACATCCAAATGCCATCGCTCCAGGCAAGAGACCTTACCACACGATCATTCCTGCAATGATTACCAACAAACACGACGGAAGTTTGCACTCCGTTTACGGTGTCATGGGAGGTTTCATGCAACCACAGGGTCACGTACAGGTTTTGCTAAACATGCTGGCGTTCAAGCATAACCCTCAGGCTGCGTTAGACGCGCCAAGATTTTGCATTGGCGCCGAAAATATGCCTGGAGATGGAAATAAAAGAAATGTTTATTTGGAAGAAGGGATCAGTGAGGAAGTGTGCGCGAAGCTTAAGGCTATGGGCCACGAGACTCAGATTATCAAAGGCTACGGGAGGAGTGTGTTTGGAAGGGGTCAATTGATTAGAAGTCATATGGAGGACGGAGTGGTTGTATATTCTGGTGGTAGTGATCCTCGAGGAGACGGAGCTGCTTATCCTGGTTAAAAGACTTACTTCACATATAGACACAGGTCACAACCAGAATCAAATTCGCAGTATTCATGAAATTAGCTATTGCGCTGTCCCTTTCTCTCCTTCAACGTGCTAATGTACACAAAGAGCCTGCCGATGACAAAGCTTCGAGAAATGCAGAATTCCATATAACTCCATCGCTGATATGCTTCCCGTCTGCGGTACCGGGCAGAGATTCACGCACAGAAGATGCCCAAATGCAACGAGCAATGACGAGTGATGCCCCACCGAGAATCGAGTCTAGGAGTACAGAGGAAGGAAAATGCAAGAGCCGGAACGAGAGCACAGAATCTTGGGGTATTGCTGCTCTGCTCTAAACGCCAACTGATGCTGAATTAGTACAAACAAAGGAAAATTATCGTATCGAGGAGAGGCTGGCAATGAAGCAAAGATCTATGAAGACAGCACAGGTATCTTGTTGCTCTCAGTCATCGTGGAGGTACGTGCAGGCCGCTCCTTTGGCACATTTGCCATCCTGATAGAATCGACATGGTCGCTTCTTGCCCCTGTACTCGCCACGTTCATCGAATACAGAGAAATTGCTATTGCCACCCTGCTTCGAGTTATGACCACCGCGTTGCTTCTTCTCATGAGATCGACCAGGCTTCGCATTTTCGTTGTTCCAATTAGCCTCCCAGCGAGCCTGGTTCTGAGCCGAGTAGCCGTTGGGGTCGTTTTGTAGGTTGGCGGCATTACCAGCCCAGCTGCTGTAGTCGGACGGTGCGCCTTTACTATCGCCAATCGGATAACCACCTAGGAAGTTCTGTAATTGATGGGCGAACTCTGGATTCTGAGAGATCGCAACAACTCCTGGTGGTTGTGCTGGAATCGCAAAAGTCATTTGAGGTGGTTGTGCAAATTGTTGCGGTAGCATCTGCGGGGGTTGAAGATGAGCAGCTGGCATCTGGGCAATCATCTTGGAAGCTTCTGCCTGATCCTTGATTGTCTTGTCTTTGATATATCCAGCCATCCATTCGTCACGCTTGGCGGGATCCGTCATCCAGTCTGGTGGTTGTGTAGGAGGATATGGTTTGTTCTTCAGAGATTCGACAATGCGGAGGACATTGGCGAATGCTTCAGGATCAAGGGCAAGTGGATTTTGTGGCTTGTCTTGCTGGGATTGGGACAGAGATCCTTGCTGAACTGGCCCCGCAGAGTGTTGAAGAGTCGGTGGGATCTGCATCGAGGCAGGTGCTGAGGTAGGAAGAAGCTGGTGATCTTTTTGTTGTCCCCACTGTTGCGTGGATTGACGACTGTTCAAAACTTGACGAGCAACCTCTGGCCCATATTGGTGAATCTCGTGAAGTCGCTGAACGAGCCATGGTTCGGTGGGGGCCTTCAGGAGACGCTCCGGCTGATAATCGTCGGTACCGTCCATTTGCGATAACTCTAAGTGCGTAAGCTCCTTCGGAGTTGGTGGGATATCACTCGGAACCGTGTAGATGACCATGAGTTCTACTCCTTCTCGGCGTCCTTGCGTTGCTTGTTCTGGAGTTGTAAAGAATCGAGAGCCGCCGCGCGTGACGTAGATATCTCCAAATGGTGTAGATGTGTTGACTTTGTTGAAATCGATTCCAATCAGGTCGGGATACGGAATATCGGGCTCGCTTGGCTGATAGTCCTCATCTTCATCTATCGGTTCCGAAAGCTGCCGCTTGTGCATCATACCTTCCAGACGATGCTCATGTGCATCCCTCAGCATTTCATCCTGCCGTCCTTCGTCTTCTGCCTGTTCATGCTTGAACAGTCGGATCTCCTCTAACTCAAGCCCTTCCTTGAATTTGACTCTAAGGTGTCTTCTGCTCTCCTTTCTTTCACGCCGAGCCTTTTCTTCCGGTGTCTCAGGTGGTCTGACAGGAGCCTCAGCAGCTTTGGGGGCCTCGGGAGGCTTGGCAATGCTGGCGAGGAGTGCACCCAGCTTCGATTCAGTTGGTGGAGAAGGTTCGCGCTTTCTCGGAGTAGGCTTAGAGACTGGTTTGGACGTGATTCCTAGTAGGTTGCTTCCGGGTCTCTTTGCAGGAACAGACTTCGCCAACATGGGGTTTATGCCACCAGAGCCATCAGTCGCGATTTTCTTGCTTGGCTTCCCATTGGATCCGTCACCTTCGTGAGGTCTTTTTGCTGGGTTACTGGTTTGCGAAGATGGATTGTCAGCAGCTCGAGCCCTGGCTTGTTCAACCCTGTCACGGATCTTCTTCTCTTTGTCTGCTTGCTCGCTGTCCTTCTTCGCTTTGGCGGCTTTCTCTTTTGCATTCGTGGTGTTCGCGAGAATGGCAGCGATGTTCTTTCTGGTCTCCTCGTCTCCTTTCTTGCTCCACCGCTTTTGGATACCGTCGAACTTCAGCTTTTGTAGTAGCTCGTCAGACATGGTTTGGAATTTGGCTAGCAAGCTGAAGACTGCTCTTGGAAGCTGCCCAAGGAAATCATTCGCCTTAGAGCACTCTATCAAGGTGGTCGTCAAACCATTGACCAATTTGTGATGACCTCCTAGGTTTTCTACTATGGGGGGATAGCCAAGCTGATTTGCAGCATCAATTGTTTGGTATAGAGACGCGAGTAGGGTGGTGCGCTGCTCTTTCAACTTCTGAAGCTCCGCTGGACGAGAAGCGGCTTCATCCATCTTTGTTGCGTTGGTTTTGACTTCCATACGGCGCACACTAAAGAAAGTTGCAAATTTCTCGATGGCGTCCTTGACAACATCAGAATTGGGATTGGAATTAGGGTCTTTCCAAACGATCCCAATTGCATCATATCGAATAGCCTCGGGGATTGTAGTTGGACGCGACAGGCCTCGTACCTGAAAATTGTTAGCTTTGTTGCGGGAGAAAGCACGATAGATCGAAAAAAGCGTCAGTGGCAAAGACAGTACGAGATAGCTCGATCTTCGATCTGAAGCTTCACACCACATCCAGAGGAGGAAGGAAAGGGCTTACTGTGCTGATATCCATTACGGGCATCTCGTCTTCCTCATATTCTGACTCCTCCGAAGAATCGCTCTCCTCTTCTGATGAGCTTGTCTCTGTTGGGGTTGCGGGTGATTTGATGGAAGTCAATTGATCAGTACCAGTCGAGTTGCCAGCCTTAGCTGTCAAAGCTCGTGAAGCCTGGCTTGTGCCCTTGTATTTGCTGCCTGTCAATTTTGGTTCCTTCGGAGATCGGCCTTTCTTGGTAGATACACGGGCAGGTGTCAAAGAAGCTAGGCGGAAAGTCAACATCGCTTGACGACCCCTGAAATTTTTCACACGATTGGACTTACTCGACATATCATAGCCCGGAACAATATCTTTTCCACTCCGAGATTTTCTGGGATGGTATTTTGGTAGTGTGTCTGTGACACGTCATATCAGTATTCTCCCTCTTTGCTGTGATGCACCCTTCTAATGGGCAGTCTTTCGAACTTACTTTTCAGACCAAGAGTAACCTGTATCGGAGTATCCTCAAAATGCAGGAAGGGGGCATAGGCAAGACGTGCTTGAGAGGAATTATTCGACCGATTGAGCAGCTCGGGATGGGTCGATCTGAGCGAATTCGGCGGAGTTGACGGTTTGACCTGCTGTAGACGAGGAACGGAAGCCAACTGAGTATGGGAGTCTGTATCTGTTTCCTGTCTCTTGATGTATGGCTTGGACTCTGCCTCGGAGTTCTCGTTGGGTAAGATTGGATATCTGACATTGTTGGCTTGATTTGATAGAACGTTTCCGTTCTGAGGAGCAACATTCTGAAAGAACATATTGGACTGGTCCTGTTGCCGTGGATGGAAACTATTTCCAATGCCGTTGCTAGCACTTCGTTGAAAGGTAGAGTTTGACACACTACGACCTACAGCTGGATTCTGATTTATGCTGTATTGAAGAGTCTGCGGGGAGATGGTGGCAGTATCGTTGGTCTGGGGTGCAAATGGGAAGGAACTCTCATGTCCATGGTATGTGGTGCCCTGCAAGGAAGGATCGACGTTGTATGAGGTCGGTCCAAAGACATCCGAGGGTCTCGCATGTTGGTATTGAGAAGCATAGGGAGAATTAGAATACGACACTGGAGGATATATTGGCTGCTGGGTAGTGTTATAGTGCCCGTGAGTAGGTGCTGGCTGACTGGTGGTATACCGTGAGTAGTCCTGGCTTGGCGAAGCAAAGGAGAACTGTTGCTGGTGTTGGTTTGCATCTGCTGGCCAGCCGGCATGTTGCATCAGGTCATCATAACCACCTAGATCGTCTGGCATGAAGCCGAAGCTATTATTATGTCCCTCCATGCTGAAGCGTAGCGGTAATGAAGGTTGTAGAAGTGATATAAGGGGAGTGTATCACGTGAATAAGGGTGGCAGAATCAAGGTAGAAGGAGCGGCTGTATTGATTTAGGCCTAGATCGGGCGTAGTGTGATTGGCGGAGATATTTTGCGCGATTTGATTGGATAGCTAGACGAGAAAGTTTGAATCAGCATCAAGCACTGAAATTCCCTTAAAGTCCGACTCGGGCGCAAAACAATGACCAAGGGGAAAATGTGCTGCGCGTTCTGTGTGTGTATGATTCCCTGCCACCACCACTGCGCTGGCGGATGACAACAACAACAATAACGAACAAGACCACCCCGTGTCACACTCTGCCGCCTGGCCTGGGAAGGAAAACCTGAAAGGCAGTCCGCCAAGCTCAGACACCCGTGGTATAGCAAGTTCCGCAACAGCAGCGCGCTCTCAGCGATCTGTGGTGTTGTTGACTGCGATATTACGGGCACCTTTCTTTTATCGCGTGCCGGGTCTGCTCTGCTCACGATCCCCGCCAATTCCCCAAGGACAGAGAGAGGCAAAGGCGCAGCAGCTCGTATCTAGGCAATACTGGGACGGGACTTGACTTTGGGGCACTGGAGTGAACTGGACAGGTGGCGCTGCTTCGCTGCCTTTTTTCGCGCGCCCTCGCCTTCGCCCTCAAGACGAGCAACGATGATGAATTGAAGTAGTGTGTTAAGGTGTCACCGTACCCTTTTTCTTTCTTTCTTCTAAAGGTGCTCCCTTTCCCAGGAGTCAACGCAACCCTTAAAATCGGTCACTTTGTTCAGTTCATTTGTACGATCATTTGTATCTGTTAAAAGTCGTGGCCATGATGGCCGGAAAGAAGTTATCGATGGTGGCAATTGATGGGGAAGAGGAGATGTCGTTGGAAGGAAGAAAAAGAGGACGGTCGCAGGAGAAGACACTCCAGCCAACCTCGTTTCGCCTTTTTGAGGCCAGGCTCTTACGCTAAGCCCCAAGGAGTGTTAGCGCTTCGGCATGGATCATCGAATATCCGTAAACCGTGTATGTGAATGTCCAAGGTAGAGAAAGTGTCCATTCCAAGTTCATGATCTGTCTTGATGCTTGATTCTGCGTTTCTCACTTCTCAACTCGTCTTCGATGGACCCTTGACATTACATGATACAATAACTTCAATTTGGCTGATTTGCAGCCTGCAAGCTCAAGAATCATGGCCCAAAGCCACAACTCTCTACGGGACCGCCAAATCAGTGAGTACTGCTGTGCCAGATGCTACGAAGCCCAGTATTGACCAAGCTATCTAGGATCGATTGAGCGCATGTTAAACTTGAATCGCGATGCTGAGGAGACTACGGACGAACATCACGATCATTCCTCTACGAACGGCTTGCCTGGATCCAGTGCGCCTATACTGAATTCGAATGGTGATCCTATATGGAAAGTGCTTGTTTTCGACGACCTAGGACGAGATGTTATTAGTAGCGTTCTGCGGGTGAATGACCTGCGAACATGGGGAGTGACGATGCATATGTATGTTGTTGCGGTTTGCCCCTCCATCTTCACTCAGCTTGCTGAACACAATTAGGCATATAGCTTCTACTCGACATCTAATACCGGATGTACCAGTTCTATATCTTGTAGAGCCGAATGCTCCGAACCTCAAGTCGATCACCTCGGATCTGTCGCGCGGCCTCTATTCTCCAGCATACATCAATTTCCTCTCGTCCATCCCACGGCCCCTCCTCGAAGATTTCGCAAAGCAGACAGCGGAGGCAGCCACTTCAGAGAACATCGCCCAGTTCTACGACCAGTACTTGAATTTTATAGTTGGAGAGCCTGATCTGTTTAGCTTGGGAATGAAGAAAGAGAATACATATTGGGCTTTGAATAGCGCGAGGACGAAGGACGAAGAACTAGACCATGTGGTTGACAGGATTGTCAGTGGACTTTTCAGCGTCATGGTTACGATGGGTGCGTGTTCTTAACAAATGATAGCTAGACCTGGGTTGGCTGACTTTATTAGGTGTTATGCCAATCATTCGTTGCCCGAAAGGTGCTGCAGCAGAGATGATTTCAGCAAAGCTTGATCGAAAACTCCGGGATCATATCCTTAACTCGAAAGACAACTTATTTTCAGCATCAAGTAATCGACCATCCACGGCTGCTGGCACTCCCTCCTCTAGGCCCGTTCTCATCATCCTCGATCGGAATGTAGATCTGATACCTATGTTATCGCATTCGTGGACATATCAATCCTTGGTACACGATGTCTTAGACATGAAGCTTAATCGAATCACAGTAGAAACACCAATTGATGAAAACAATGCCGCCAAAGGTTCCACGAAAAAGGCTTATGATCTTACATCCAACGACTTCTTCTGGACTAAGAACGCTAGCGTGCCCTTTCCACAAGTCGCAGAAGATATTGATGCTGAATTGAGTCGCTACAAAGACGACGCCAATGAGATCACCAAGAAAACTGGAGCTTCATCTATAGAAGATCTGCAGAATGACACCAGTTCCTCCGCACAGCATCTCAAAGCTGCCATTACTTTGCTGCCAGAGTTGAGAGAACGAAAAGCGGTTCTCGATATGCACATGAACATCTTGGCCGGACTCTTGACTGGAATTAAGAATCGACAGTTGGATAACTTCTTCCAAATAGAGGAAGGCATCATGAAGCAGACCAAACAACAAATCCTTGAGGTCCTCAATGACCAAGACAAAGGAAAGGAGCCAGTTGATAAGCTGAGGTTGTTTATTATTTGGTTCTTAAGCACAGAGCAAGATGTGACCAGAGCAGATATGGAGAAATTCGAAGAGTCATTAAAGTCAGCAGGCGCGGATACCACATCTCTCGCCTATGTCAAACAGTAAGTGGATCCTCGTTCACCAGTGCATTCAGAAGGCTGATATCCTACCAGAGTTCGTGCCACCACGAGAATGACGATGATGACCTCGGCCCCGTCAGCCGCTGCTCCCCAAGCTTCTGCATCTACCGATCTTTTCCGTGGCATCACATCACGCCTTACTTCGTCCCTCAAGGATACGGGTGTCGGCGCAAATTTTGAAAATCTCCTTTCTGGGGTAAAGAATCTATTACCCGCCAATCGTGATCTCACAGTCACCAAGATCACTGAATCAATTATGGATCCAGCTGGGGCAAGCAGCAGTGCTATCGCAAAGACAGAAAATTACCTTTATTTCGATCCTCGAAGCGCGAATGCGAGAGGTACAATGCCACCACCAAGCGCCGCTCGGAAGGGTGAGCAGATGCCTGGTGGACTTGGTAGCCACGGTCCCGGTATGCAAGCTACGTTCGGACAGCGGAGACAAGGGTTTAGTGAGTCGATTGTCTTCACAGTTGGTGGAGGAAGCATGGATGAATATGGTAATCTAATGGAGTGGGCTAAACGCACCGGCGCAGGAGGGAGCCAGGCCGAAAAAGGAGCAGCTAGGAGAAGAGTTGTGTATGGAAGTACAGAGCTCATCAACGCGGAGGAGTTCTTAAAGCAAGAACTCGAGAAGCTTGGGGCCGAAGCAGCGTCGTAGTCTTTAAATATCATCACATTTAGGACGCAAGACTTGAACTGTGAATTACGTACGTAAAGGGTATCGTTGTATTCTAGGAAGTTTCCAGCCGACTAGATAGCTGTGAGCCTCAGTGATACCCACATGATCCAACGACTTCATCCGCTATGCAGACCAGGCTAGGCTGGCTCGAGATTCTGATTCCGTACAGACAAGAAGAAGCTACATACATACATACAGCGTGAATGGTTCCACAGTTGGTGGTCATTCAACCATGAAAAGCAACGCTCAGAGATATTTCCACCGAAGACGACCAATGCCGCCATGCAAAATCAAGCAAGTCCCTAAACACCTCTGAACATACGTACAACCAAGAACCACATCGCGCCTAAGAACTTGAACGCCGACAATCCAGCCACGGACCATAGCACAACCGCAAGATAGATCGTGCTCTTCTTCGTATCGGTGACGGTGCTGCTGCTGACTCGCTCCAAACCGGCGGTGCTGAGAACGACAGCTACAAGTCCAAAGTTGCAAATAATCCAGAAGAGGACGACACGGGAGCGGAAACCCTTGTAATAATCTTCTTGGATCTCGCTAGCGGACATGACTCGCTTCTCTGGCGGAGCTTTACTGACAATCTTTCGCATCTCAGCCTCATATTGAGCGTTGAGATCTCCGTCATCGGTAGGGATGTTGACAGCGACCTTGCCATCTGCTTTGAGCGTTGCAGAGGGTAGTTTCTCGGCTTTGTCATCACCCTTGGTACCCCATGTGATATCGTGGGTATTGCAGAAAGCGTACACGTTCAAAATGTTGATGTAGGTCGGCGTCAGAAGGAGGTATTGGATGAACGAGGTGAACATGTGCCAGGGATCGAAGAACAAGAAAGACACAACAAACCAGAGAAGGTATGTCGAGGCTAGGGAGATTATTAGAGTGTAGAATATCTGGTTCTTGATGATGTCCGTCCACGTGAAGGAGTTTGTATCGATTTCTGATTGAATCGACTTCACAGTGATGAAAATTGAAGCAAACATTAGGTAACTGCACCTGTATTAGCAATAGATCAAGTCAATAGACGGATTTCTCTTACATCATGATAAATACCCAGAAAATAACCATGGACATGTAGGCTTTGTTTGATCCTTGAGGTCGATTTCCCAGGGCGAGTACGAAGCATGTTAGGAGAGTGAAGAGGTACAGCCACTCGAAGATAACTCCAAGCACTACACCAACTTCACCGAGTAGGTCGGAAGCGCCAAGCGAGGTAGTCAAGATATGAAAGACTAAGAAGAAATTTCCGATTGCGAACCATGCAAAGATCATGCTAATAGTCGTGTATGTGAACTCAACCAAGAACATGATCTTTCGTAAGAAGCTGTGGTCACTCCGGAAGAGCTGGTAGAAATGAATCAGGGCATAGACTGCAGCAAAGAAACTGCCATTCAGCCATCTTCGTCGTTGCAAAATGAGTTCCGCCATCTGATCCGGTACATCGGTCTCTCCAGTGGCAGATTTGACATATTGGAGGATCCAGTGACAATTTCGCTTGGAAACCAGTTCAAAGCAAAGAATTCGATCTTCCGCAAGATACATGTTGGCTGTAAAGATACCAGCATTGGCACCATGCATTTTCTCTCCGGCAAAGTACTTTTCGAGGGGTCCTTGGCCCGTCTTGTCATTTTGCAATGCTACATAGCGATATGCTGAAAAGGCGCCGGGCAAGACAGAAATGAAACCAAAGGCTGATTCAAGCGGTTTGTCGAGGATATTACTCATCTTGTACTCGAAATTTTGCGTTGCAACAAGCGGATTTAGCAGGTTTTTGCCTCCTGGTCCCAACATGGCTTTGATCTCTCCACAGGCGCCACCACACATTGGCTCCAGATCAAACGCCTTCCAGAGATGATAGATTGAATCCTTTCCTGGCTTGGTTCCTGCATCGATAAGAACGCAGATGTTGGGGTCCAGAACTCGGCCAAAGGCTTGGAAAAACCATCTGTGGGAGTTAATCTTCTTTTGATTCTTCTCCTTCAAGCAGAAAAGCATTTGAACCGGTTGCTGCTTTGGTCGCAGTTCAACGACATCCTTCTTGACCGAGATGCCGACTTGCGTTGTGTACTCATAAATATGTGCTGTGACATCCTTCCCGTTGACTTGTTGTTTCGCAATTCCATCCTGATAAACTCCCATACCGGCTAATACAGCTCTGGTCCTTGGGTTGATTTTAGCACGACCGTCACTAACCACGCAGACTACGATTTTTTTCCATGCATCTTTGCCCCATGTCTTGCTGTCCTTCCTCGAGCACATGTATTCAATATTCTTGAAAACTCCGCTCATCGTCCTAGCAAAAAGTACGTCGTCTTCGTTGTACATGGTAACAACGATAAATAGCTCGGTATGCCTAGGCTTAGCGAACAATCTTTGTCTAAGTGTAAATCGTTCTTCAAAGAACTCGCTTGGGTCGCACGTTGCTGCTGAGTATCTCATATGTGTAAACTCATCTCGCTCTGGCGGTGATGCATGAGGCACTTGATTCAACAACTTCGGGGGAATGGGACAGTCCAGGACGAGATTGCCGTTGAACAGTTGCACTTCCTTCACAGTCTTGTACCTCTTCAGTGCTGGAACGGGGCTTGGTGTGTGAGCGATACCACCAGCTCCATCGTAGTCTTTATATGGTCCTGGCTGTGAGTGTGGATCCGGTCCGTATGCAGTATCTTGTGCTTGAAGAATCGGGTGGTGATCATCCTCATCGTAGTACGGATCTGGATTGGTGGGATAATTCGTCAATGGATGCTCTTCATGAGGAGAAGGTTGGTAGGGCGGTTGATAGTATTGGTCATGATGTTGCTGCGGATTTATGGCATAGTCTTGCTGGTAGTTGTGGTTAGGGTCAAGAGGGTAGTGTTGCTCGTATTCTTCGTTATGGCCGAATGAATTGTTAATATTCTCGACGGAGTACTATATCTGGAAGTCAGAAGTAGCGCTTTAAACTTCTTCCTGCAATAACCTACCGTAGGTTGTGCCTGCAACCGGTCACTAGGAGTGTTGCGCCCCGGCCCCATGGGTATCTCCAGATTGTGTCTGCTTGGTGAACCACCGCCAGGTCTACCATAGGGCGAGGCATCTTCTAGCTGGTAACCTTGATGTAACGGATGGCCTGGCGAAGGTGTGCGGCCTGGTAAGCTGTTCATGTTGTAGTAGTCGTCTTGCTGGCCTTGGCCAGGATGATCTGTTAAGGTGAAGAATGTCAGAACAAGTTTGTTTATCTGTTGTCAAGGCGCAGCCTCAGGAGAAGTGAAGACGACGAAGTTCCTGAACTAGGCAGGACCAAGATGTTTGATCGTTATCCGGCGATCAAGGATCCAGCGATGCGCGTCTGCAAGAAATAGAGGAGTACAGGTACACACGCAAGGTGGGAATGGCAGTGAGGTTGTGAATGATACAGAGGTTGACCCGAGTCAACGTGGGCAAGCAAACAAGCAAAGCGTGCGAATCTTAGGATCGATCCGCGAAATTGAGGTACATACCTAAACGATTGTATGACATGGTTGTGACTTCAACAATGTGTGGGGTGTTGTTGCTTGGGTACAGGTAAGGAATGCGCCAAACCAGACCAGCTCTCAATGCGAAGACGCCCCTATCCTCCGCGAAAGGCGCAGTTAAAGTCTGATTTGGATGAGCTCAGCAGCGATGTAGAGCAGAGGTGAGGAGAGGAGAGTTGGACGTTGCTCGGATGTGTGAAGTCACTGAAGGGTGAATGAAATGATGTGAGGGAAGGTTTCAAAATTCAGGAGTGTCGATGGAGAAATGATGCCGCCGGCAGCAGCAGCAGCATGCAGGGTTGTTTACCTTGCGGGCAGCGAGTAGGGATTGGAGCAAGCGGGGGCTTGGCACCGTTTCAGACCATCATCAGATCGATTTGCAAGAATAGTACTGTACTACGTAGAGCTGTACAGTACATAGATGGAGGACGGATGACTGGCTTGAGTGGAGAGTGAGTGAAGTTACGAGAGCCAGATCACATCGCATGATAGCATCCAATGTTTTCTAAGGAAATCCTTGCGCCATCTGTGAGAAATCAGATTTCCTGCTTCCCCCATCGCAGACATTCATCCATCCCATACGAGTAGAACGCCCAAGTGTTTTGTCGGCGTGGCGGCTGGTGCTGGTTGCTGTCACCAAAATAGCATGGCGACGACGCGCATCAGCACCCGCACCGACCTGCATCTTGAGTTCAACCGAATACGCTCCACCTGGGCACTCCACTCCCATACCAAACTAGGTACGAAATGATGATGCTGCCCGCCACTGATGAGCCACGCGCGCCCGACAAGAAGGGGAGCCTTGCCATGCCTGTCCTCTACCGAGTGCTGTATTTGAAGGGGGCCATCCCAGACGCATCACTTTCTGAGGCTGTGCTCGCTCTGTCTGGCTTGGCAATTCACCATACGGAGTGCAGCGCTGAGCTGCACTGAACTGGACTTGGCTTCTCAGATGGGGGGCATGAAAGAGAAGCAATCCGAAGGTTTGTTTGCCTGGTGCCTCATCATCATCGTCAAACATCGTATCCGAGATCCTGCGTGCTGCGCCCTCGGCATTGGTCCGATGAGACGGCATTGCAGCGCCACATAAAGAACGACGACCAGGACATTGGAATCGCGAGGCACCAGGCTGATGGTCATTGTTCTCAGCCCAGGTCATGACGATGCTCTGAGTCGACAAATGTTTCTATACTCTTGCTTTGCCTACTCAAGCCACATTTATGGCGTATCGTGGGGTTTTGAGCCGAGAGACTCGTGAAACATAGCGACCGTTGCTCGTGCTACCAGAGCGAGATGCCTGGCTAGAAGAAATGTGAAGATTGTTCCACTTTAGGTCCTACTTCAAAAGTCTCCTTCAAGAAGTTCTTGGAGAACCTCACGATTTGCTCATACGCCACCTCGAACCCATCTCGGCCACCATAATAAGGATCTTCGACTTCCTCTGCTCTCTTCTTCCCACCAAACTCTCCGAATAGCATGACTTTTGCCTTTCCATCAGCTCGTTGTTGAAGTCTCTGGAGGTCTCCTAAATCACCTGTCAATGCTGTTCATTTCTCTGGGGGCATTGGCACTTTACGAAGGTTATCTCGATCCATAGCAAAGATGTAGTCAAACTTTTGGAAATCGGAGGTGTGGACCTTTACATCTCGTCAGTCTCCATACCTACTGCTCTCCGCGACTCCTCTGCTTGGCCGCTACACGTGGTACTCAACCAGATCCATGATCATGTGCTGAAGACGTCGTGCTGGTCTGAGATCTAAGATACTGAAGAGCTAGACAAGGGAACCGAGGGTAGGTAGTACTGTATTTCTGGAAGGGAATTTCCCGTGACTGCATACCTTTCGAGCCGCATGGCTATAATCAGTGATGCCGTTATCCTCGAGTGTAGACATAGTTCTTGAGTCCGGGCTACTGCCAGTATGATACGCCCCTGTCCCACAGCTATCCACTGAGCTTATCAAAACATTGTACGGCGGTTTTGAAGCCATTGAACGGAAAATCCTTGAGACAAAGTCAATATAAAACCGTCCTTAACACTGAACAAAAACATACCCTTCAGCCATAGTAGAGCGGCATATGTTTCCCAAGCAGACGAAGAGCACCGCAATCGATTCGGAAGGGGTCGTCATTGTCGAGACTTTCTCCAACTGGCGATTATGCAAATCTGGAGAAGCGAGGATATTCAGGAGTTGGGGCATGGTTTCCTACGGAAGCAGTAGAGACCCGAGACGCAGTCGCTAAGCTTGAACCGCAAAATTCGTGGCCGATTTTGCGACAGTGCTCAGATTTGGTAATATGTAAGTATTGCGCATAACGAATTGATTTTATGTACAATGTTTTTTAATGAAAAGATAGAATAGCTTTTTAATAAGTAGAAGCTCAAGTTTGATTGAAAATTAGAGTGTGTAGTGGCATATAATACTAGAGTTAGTGGAAGAGATTTTGGTGTTCTCGCGTATCAAAATCGGACAGGAATTTCGCCGCTGGAGAGAACGATTCACGTTTTTCTCACCTTCACACTCTTCGAGTCATATTAGATGGTTTTCGTGGTATGAATCTACGAACTTGGAGACGTGCTCCTTTACTAGACGCCTTCTCATTCTCCACGAGCGAAGAAGTCACAGTGGTGGTAGAGTTGCACCTCAATAATGATCACAATTCGGCAATGTCCAACAGTCAACGGGATATTGAGGTGGATATTAAGCAACAACCCAGTGTCATGGTCCAGGGCTACAGAGTTTCGTGGAACCTGGACCGTACCTTCCTGTTGCTATCATTGATCATAACTTGTTATCTGGAAATCCTGATCATTTTGCTATTGGGTTGTCATGGGTTTCATAGGTGAAGTCGGGTTAAGTGGGTTGATTTCTTCCCTTTTCACATTATTAGTTAGTGTTACCTGTGAAGTGCAAGAACACTACGTTAGAAGTAGAAACAATGTGCATAAGTTATTCTGGCCTTTCGGCGTTTCTTCGATGGTTATGAATTGTGATCTTACGACAGAATGCATGGTCGAAATTATCCTTGCATTACAGACTTTGATCGCATATGTCGAGTAAACTTCGTGTAGAGGGTAGAAAATGATTGATATACCATGAAATATCGTGAGAGCATAGAACATTCAACAAAGACAGAGCGAGTCAAGTATCAATTGACCAATTAGTGGGCCATCTCTAACTCGGTGTCTGAGACGGCCCGAGCCGAAGCTGGCACGTCCACACCACACACCTGATAACTGCGTTGTATCACTCCACGATTTGATCCACGGCGCCAAACTCCTCACGACAATATGTCGACATCTGCACCAAAGCATCTCATACTTGTATGCTGCCATGCAATCTACACTGGTGGGCCAACACGTGGCTTGAACGAACAGGAATGGCTTCTCGCCCCTTTTCAGCTTGGCGAAACCCCCACGTTTATCGAGCATATCAGAGCGGCCTTGAGTCTCCTAACTTTGGATCCAGAATCTTTACTTGTTTTGTCGGGATCAAAAACTAGACGAGAGACAGATAAATCTGAAGCAAAGTCCTACCTCGATCTGTGCGAAGACAATGACTTTTGGGATATTCTTCACAAGGACGGAGAAGAACGGAAGAGAGTGATACTAGAAGAACAGGCTTTGGATAGCTTTGGAAATTTGATCTTCGGTTTATTGGTGTTTTGGAAAAGGACCAAGAGATGGCCGTTGAAAGTCTCCATTGTTAGTCACGAGTTTAAGAGGAGGAGGTTTCTGGATCTACATGTAAGGGCTTTAAGATACCCGAAGGAGAGCGTGGTGTTCGTTGGTATTGATCCTAGTTATATGAGACAAGGAAGTAGGGACTACGATGAAGCGAGAACTAGGAGCGTGGTGGGTGGTGAGATGGAAAGAGGATTTAGAGAATGGGAGAAGGATCTCTCAGGCGTAGCTATGGTGCTGAGAGCGAAGAGAGTGGGAAGGAATCCCTGGAGCGCAAGTCAGGTTTGGTTCGAGAGTGATGAAGAGAGACTGGAGAGCGGTGTCAGAAGCAAGGTAGTCGAGTTTGAGCACATGGATGCCCAAAGAGGGGCCATAAAGGTCACTGAAGAAGTTCTGATTGAAGGAAGGCAGCCCTGGGAAATGGGAGAAGTACCATAGAGTGGTTGCCAGTATTCTCATATTGATCTATATCTTTGGTGCTGGTTTACGAGATGATGCCAGGAGGTTGCTCACAAACCTCGTGGTGTCTTCAACCATGCCCTTGCTATATGCGTGCCCAACTCCGCTATAGACGTTGTCTTCAATGTATACATCACCATCCTTGTACCAGCCACTCGTTGCTTGCTTGAGAAACGTCAAGAAAGGTTCCGAACAATGGTACGGGACCAGTTTGTCGTCGCCTCCCGAACAGACAAGTATATGCTTCCCTTTGAGTGTTGCATCAAGAAGTGCCTTTACGCGATTCTGTTCCTTGTCTGAAATGTTACCCTTGATATCTGCGGCACCAAACAGCATTGCTTTAGGGTCCCCATTCTCACAACTCGAAATGAGTGCTTTCGGGAAATCGGTACTGCCAAAGAAATCGATGCCACCAGTCGATGTATAAGTCTTGAGCTTTGAAAGTCTGGCTCGGTCGCTCATCATACCTGCAGAAGTTAGACCAAGACAGCGGTCATGAGGAGAATAAATAGAATTGTTTTCGGAGCAACGCATACAAGGAAGGGGGACACGAAGTTAACCACCCCACATAAATAAAGAAGCATAGATGGTGACTGCATCAGAAGATAGAGAATTTATGATCGTATTGAGGCACCTTTCATTCGAAGATGTAGCTTGATATGAAGTCCACGCTCGTGGCTCAGGTAATTAGTGTACCTAATCCTCGATACATTTGCTACCGAAATGGCACACAATCAGATCATCAATAACATACTATCAGGAGATTATAATTGTCCTCCAGATCCTGGAGGAGTTACAAAGCGAGACAAAGCAGAGGAGAGTACTGTACATATACGGAAGAAAATGTGGGAGAGTATCAGAAGCAACTTACGCATATAATCTGGGCAGCCGATGATCACAACAGCAGCAGTAACTCTTGGCTCGTTGAAAATTACCTTTGATCTCATCAGACCTCGTGATACAAGATGGAAAAGGAGGAAGACCCACCTGCCATGCAGCATGGCCACCTGAATATAACTTGATTCAGTCTCTGGATCCCAGGTATGGTTTATTAGGATGCGTACCTAAGGAGATGCCCAGCACAAAATGCTGCTCTAGAAGAGGATCATTTGGACCGTTCAAAATGTACGCACCAATATGATCGATGAGTAGGGTGGTGTCTTGAGCAGTACCCGTGATGATGCTTTGACAGTTAACTTGGGCGAATTTGTGTAGACCTGGGACAATGGGTACCTCCACATGTCTTGAGAATGGAAAACGTTTCCGCCACGCCACGCCTCATTCGCCAGAGGCTTTACACATCGACTACCGTGATTCCTCTGGTCAAATGCAACGGCAATGAGACCTATGCTATCAGATGACGCCCGATGATTCCAATCATTTATGCAACTGGAGGCAACGTTGGCCATGGTCTCTTTTGTTTGAAGACGGGGATGGAGCAGCCAGATACACGAGACGGATCTACAGGATGGCGGCAACTCTCCCAACCCATAGATGTCTGTCAGGATACCCCCAATGTGTATAGTCTTGACGGACACCGAGGACGGACTCGAAGGGCTATCTTGGAGAGGGTTAGGGGTCGCCATAATGCAGTGATTATGGTGTTGCGTCTTTGGACTGAATTCTGTAACCACAAATTACCTATGCTCTTGAAAATGAATCGTTGTAGAGCGTCTTCTTTGCAGTTGCTCTCAGTTACCTACAGAGATATTACAAGCTAGTGCGCACTTGCACGAGGAAGAGGTGTGGAGCAAAGCCGCAGAACGTCATCGCCAGCAGTGCCAATCCCAGTCGCGAAATTAAATGTTTAGAAACACGACTGACTGACCCTCCTCTCTTCACCGACTCGACTTTCGCTTTATGCCAATTGCACCGTGAACAACCTGATACCTGGCTCACCATTGTCTGCCATACCGTGAGACATCCATCCATCCCATAACACTTCACACCTCTGCCTGCTCCCTTTGGCCTCAATCATTCCACCAACAGACCTCGACACCGGTTACAGTATCTGAGACGACGTCCATCCGCCATGAACACGACAGACGATATTCTGTAGACAGAGATAGGACTGGAAAGGGTCACAGTCCCGGTTGGAGGACGATCTTGTAGCCTCGACGCATAACAACCGACAACGTCCCCGGAAAGCCCGTCGAAGATGGTTCAGCACAATGAAGAGTCGATTTCTCCCACGACGCGCAGTCCACGCTCGGATTCTCCTGGTATGTCAAACGGGAGCGGAAATGGATTGGCAGCAGTTCGACAGTCAGGCTTGCGAACTGAGGTGAGCTCTGAGAAGTCATCCCAGGTACCCCAAGACTTGGATCATGCTTCCTCTTCCGCAAATGGGCATACAAAGGGTCACAATAGCGAGGCAGCAGATTATCTCAATGGTGGAAGCCCCCACGAAGATTACAGTATGAACACACCTAATGGGTCGACCACAGCGAACAGTGCTCCGCAACGCCAATCTGCACTCAAGCAGGTCTGGGGCCCAGAAGGGAGCTCGAATGTCACAGGTACAACCACTCCTCCTGGACGAAGGAGCGTTCAATTTGCGCGGTCAAACACTGGGACAGACTTTGCGCATAATAGGCAAGATTCGTGGGAGGATGCAGAGACGCGAGAACGCCGTGGCCCGTCTCTCATGTCCAAACTGAAGGCTCTAGCATCTTCAGGGAGTCTGCAAGGTCATATTAGGAGCCAGAGCAACACCGCCAACTCGATTGACGAAGGCTCTCATACTGCACCCGTCACTCCAACAGCCGAAAGGTCTACTAGGCTTCCCCGGACTTTGACTGAGGAGGGAAGCGATGAGGATGCCGATGCAGAAGAGACTGCGGATGAAGAGATCCCAACTGATGGTCTGCGGGCTAGACGAAAGCAAAGGTTCCGGCGGCCTCAAGAAAGTGGGAGTGGGAGCCAAACTGCCCCGAATACTCCCAGAACTCGAGGTATGGGATATGCAGATTCTCCAAGCGGCAGCAGTCGTGTTATTCCATTCCTTGGCAGACGGGCCACAGACGGATCACTGGAACAAAGAGGTCACTTGTCAGAGGGCGAAGGTAGAGATCAATTGAACAACAGGAGTGCTTGGAGACGCGGAAGTTCATGGATATCTGGTGCTAGGGGTCTAAATCATGCAAGTAGCGAGCAGGGCCCTGAAGTCGATGGTGCACCAGCATCAAGGCGGCCGAGTAACTTCAGACGGATCACGGGGCTTGGAGGTGGTCAAAGTGAAGGAGAAGGCCAAGCTCCTCGACGTCCTTTCCTAGGTGCTGAGCGGGCCACTACCTTTGGAGCTCAAAGATGGCGCATGCTGAAGCACGGTCTCAAGCTCTTGGGGCAGCGGAAAGAAGAGCACAGAGTCGACTATCTCAAATCAGCAGAGTTGATGGCTGAACTACGAGCCGGGGCTCCAGCAGCACTCATGTTAGCCAGTATGATCCAGAGAGATGAGCACGGCAACAAACGCATTCCCGTCCTGCTCGAACAGCTCAAGCTACATGTAACTGACAGTAAATCTAGCGTCGAGGAATCTACCGATACCGAACGCCATCTTGTATTTAGAATTGAGCTGGAGTACGGTAGTGGCTTGAATCGGATGAAATGGGTCATCCACAGGTCACTACGAGATTTTGCGAATCTGCATTTACGATATAAGCTCCAGGGCAGTAGCGACAAGTACATTCAGCTTAGGAGTGACGTGGACTCGCGACCGAAGCAACCTCGCTTCCCTAAGTCTGCATTCCCTTATTTCAGAGGCGTTCGTGGACTTGGTGAGAGCGAGGAAGACGAGGCTGACAACGTTCGAGTCGATGACACCGTCGGCGAAGCCACGCATAGCGAAAATGACCGCAAGAAGAAGAAGCGCCGTCCTTCACTAGGCGCAACACGCAGAAAATCAAGCGCCGTAACCCATGAAGCGGGTTCAGGCGTCATTGTTGGAGCAAACCAGCCCGCACAGCAGACTCGTGCCTACAATGAGAGACAACGGAGAAGACTCGAGCAATACTTACAGGAGATGATACGATGGCTTATCTTTAGAGCAGACAGCAATAGACTTTGTCGATTCCTGGAGCTGTCTGCGCTTGGGGTCCGACTTGCTGCTGAAGGTAGCTACCATGGCAAAGAGGGTTATTTAATTATCCAATCTGCAAAAGGTCTAGACGTCAGGAGATTGCTCACACCCAAGAATGTGTTTTCCAGGCATTCTCCCAAATGGTTTCTGGTCAGGCACAGTTATATTGTTTGTGTAGATTCTCCAGAAAATATGCACATCTACGACGTGTATCTCGTTGATCCAAAATTTGAGATAAGACAGAAGCGTCGTAAGCTAAAGGATGTCGGCGGGAAAGAGCTTGTAGCAACGGCCAAGACATCAGCTAAACACCCGCAACATCATAGTCTGAAGTTGCAGAACTCAGAACGGAAGATCAAGCTCTTGGCCAAAAACGAGCGTCAATTACGCCAGTTTGAGGAGTCCATCGGATTCATGTTGAACAATACACTATGGGCCAAGGAAAATCGGTTTGGAAGCTTTGCACCTATCAGAACCGGAGTCTATGCTCAGTGGCTGGTTGATGGCCGAGATTATATGTGGAATGTCTCTCGTGCTATCAACATGGCCAAAGACGTGATCTACATCCACGACTGGTGGCTTAGCCCTCAGCTTTACATGAGAAGACCTGCGGCTATTAGTCAAAAATGGCGACTCGATAGACTCCTTCAGAAGAAGGCCAGGGAAGGGGTCAAGATATTCATTATTGTCTACAGGAACGTGGAGGCCGCAATACCGATCGACTCGGAATTTACGAAATTCTCTATGCTGGACCTTCACCCGAATATCTTTGTGCAGCGATCACCAAATCAGTTCAAAAAGAACCAGTTCTTCTTCGCTCACCATGAAAAAATCTGCATTGTTGACCACACAGTCGCGTTTGTTGGTGGCATTGATCTTTGCTTCGGTCGTTGGGATACCCCTCAGCATTCTGTGGTGGACGATAAACCTACTGGCTTTGAACAATCTGACCTACCCAAGGATGCGGATCACTGTCAACTATGGCCTGGCAAAGATTATTCCAATCCTCGAGTCCAAGATTTCTATCAGCTAAATGAGCCATACGCAGAAATGTACGATCGGTCCAAGACGCCTAGAATGCCCTGGCACGATATCTCGATGCAAGTCGTAGGACAGCCGGCACGAGATCTAACTCGACACTTTGTTCAAAGATGGAATTACGTACTTCGAGGACGGAAACCAACAAGACCAACGCCATTTCTCTTACCTCCCCCCGACTATAATGCCGCTGACCTTGAAGCACTTGGCCTGACCGGGACGTGCGAAGTACAGATTCTACGCTCTGCTTCAGATTGGTCACTTGGACTTACCGACACCGAACACAGCATCATGAACGCATACTGCAAAATGATCGAAGAGTCAGAACACTTTGTCTATATCGAGAATCAGTTCTTCATTACTAGCTGTGAAACAATGAACGTCAAAATTGCGAATAAGATCGGGGACGCGATTGTTGAACGTGCCGTGCGAGCATTTCAAAACAACGAGAGCTGGCGCTGTGTTGTTCTGATTCCTCTCATGCCTGGATTCCAAAATACCGTGGACGAGCCTGAAGGTACAAGTGTTCGTTTGATTATGCAATGCCAATTTCGCAGCATCTGCCGTGGCGAGGGGTCCATATTCGGTCGGTTGAGGAGCCAAGGTATCGACCCTGAAGAATACGTCCAATTCTACAGTCTTCGAACTTGGGGTAGGATAGGGCCCAGGAAGATGCTCGTGACGGAACAACTATACATTCATGCCAAGTGCATTATTGTAGATGACAGAGTGGCATTGATTGGGTCTGCCAACATAAACGAGCGCTCTATGGTAGGCAATAGAGATTCTGAATGCGCCGCGGTAGTACGAGATACAGATATGCTCTGGTCCACCATGGATGGAGAACCTTATCTCGTTGGCCGTTTCGCTCATACCTTGCGTATGAGACTCATGCGAGAGCACCTGGGCCTCGATGTTGACGAGGTGATGGAAGAAGAACGGAGAGCGGAGTTGGATCGTGAAGAGGAAGAGTACGAAGCAAAAATGAACGGGATTTACAATGAAGAGGGTCCGAAAGGAACGGAGCAACTTTCATACCGCGAGGGCCAGACAGTGTCATCGGACCAGGCAACTCGAATTGCCAATGCTGAGCGCTTACGAAGCTTTAACCACGATGTTGATTGGGAGGAAGAAGACAACCCCAACTTGATGCCCGACAAGTTCAAATCCGTAACCAGCGACAAAAGAGTCACGGGCAATGCTCAACATGCTGCAGAAGTCGATGGTGAAGGCCCAGACCGATGGAAGGCAGCCGAGAAAAGCGGTGCTGTGCTTGGAAGAGACTCTGTTCTCGTTGATGGAGGCCGTGAAGTCCTAGTTACCGATTTTGCTGCAGAAGGCAAAGGCACCCTGAACCATCCAAGGAAGGACCACGTTCGACCGTCCGTGGGTCATCGTCATGAGAGCAATGACAACTTCGCAGGTAACGAAAGCATTCCCCCTATGCCGACCCTACCGAGGAAGACGACAGAGCAGTTGGGCCTGCCACAGCTGTCACAGCTTCCTTCCCTCCCAATTATTGACGACACCGATATCGGTGGACCTCCTGTCCACTTGGATCACACTGGAAATCCTGCCCCAAAGGCATTCAATCCCCTTACAGCTGATATCAAAGTTGCACCATTGGACAAGGATTGCATGCGAGATCCTCTCAACGACTCTTTCTTCGAAGACACTTGGAGACAGATTGCAGACAATAATACCAAGATCTTCAGGCGAGTGTTTCGCTGCAATCCCGACAGCGAGGTAACCAATTGGCACGAATACACAGAATTTGTTGCTTATGCAGAGAGGTTTTCACAAGCGCAGGGCGGCGTAAAAAGTTCAGAGCGTGAGGGGCAAGAAGCGCCAGGAAAGAGTGGGCCGCCTGGTGCTGCTGCTGTAGGAACAGGGCCAGAAAAGATTTCCCAAGGATTGAACAGCGTGACCGAAAAGATCACATCGCATGGGCAAGATAAACACCCATTAGGTACTGTTGCCGAATGGGCTGAAGATGCGACGAAGAGGAACATCGATCGGATCGATACTACTGGGGCTCGTGAACCTCAAACCAGCGGACAACTTGACGGCATAGACGAAAAAACCGCGAGCAATAGACGCTCAGATGAAGCGCCTTCTCCGATTCAGCCAGCAGGCGATGAAACTTTCCCGTCCCTCGATGCCACGTTCCTCGTTCCTACAGCAGAGCAGAGTTCTCAACCAGCGCCTCGAAAGACCACGTTTTCTTCATCCGAAAAAACTGCAAGTCCCGCTGGAAATTCCTCCAACAACCAAGGTTCTTTCAAGAGACGCCGCCGTGGAACAACAAAGGGTAGTCGACGTGGCTTCTCGTCGAGCTTCTCTGCTAGCGATGATCTACTGACCCAGAACGATGTCGAAGAGCTTCTTAGCCTAGTCCAAGGAAATCTCGTCTTCTTCCCCTATGACTGGCTCATCAAAGAAGAGTTGAATTCAAACTGGCTTTACCAGGTAGACCAGGTTGCCCCACTTCAAATCTAGTAAGTCTCACCATGTCGTCATATAGGCCCATGAAATACTGACATGCTTTTTAGCGACTAAGATATAGCAGGATGGATTCGGATTTGTATATTTGTAACAATTGGTGCAATCAGGGCGGGCATGGACATGGCTTCTGTATATTTGCATACGAGCGAAGCGTTGCTTTCAAGATGTATTATGGCATCATTGCATAAATTTAAACTCTTTCACTGACCCATATCGCGCCGCGACAACCAGCTCTGATAAAGCTCGTTAAGAGTTCGTGCGGGACAGCCTTTTTGGCATCGTTCTCCACGGCGTGATCCAAATGCTCCAGTTCTTCATCTCTTATGCGCCGAATCGTCGAGATCAAGCCTTTGATATCATCTCCCAGTTGCTCACCAGAGGCTTCCATCTGCTCTGCCATACCTAGCAACCATTTTACTTGATCGTTATAATGTGTCCCAATCTCCGTTTCCACAGCTTCTGTGCAAGCCATAGCGGCTTCTCTGCCCATGATTGCAGTTCCCCAACCTAAAGCCGAAGCGGCTATTGTCCAGACAGGATACATAGCAGTTGGTCTCACTCGGTGCTTTGCAATAAGAGAATTAAAGGTTGAGAAATGACCAGCTTCCTGATCGTACATGTGCTTCATGAGTGGCCGAAGATGTGGATGTGAGGCGACAACGACAGGTGTTTGCGCTGTGTAAATCAGGGTTGCTGCTAGTTCACCTGCTTGATTTACTCGAAGCTATAATTTTGTTAGAAAAGACAGTGGTCTATATGGAGAGACAGGGAGAGTACGAACAGCGCTGGCAAGGAAATCTCTTTGGGCTTGGGTTAACGGTTTGCTGCGGGGAGCTGGACGGGACAATGCTTCAGATGCCGATCTCGGTATGTGCGAAGAATTTGGATATGGATCATTGTGTACGCCATTGTTTTTCGCGTTGTTGAGTGTTCGACTTGTACTCATGCATCGGGGAATGATTCTTGGGGGGCGGAATAAACATGGTACGAGAAAGTCGTACATAGGAGTACTGGTGGCGAGGTGCGCATTTCGTCTAGTAGCAGAGATCAATGCCATTGATCACAGATATAGGGCAGAATAAAAAAAATGGGTGATTGGAATTGAACAAGTTTACAGTCGTTCTTCAACAATAATGGAATGACCTTGCCTTGCCATGTCAATGATGAAGTTCATATTTCCTTGACAAGGATAGGACTAGCTTCGCAATTTAAGCGCTTAACAATAAGGTTACGGATTTACCTTTTTCCGGCCTCCTTTCAGAGAAGGCACTGCACGTCAGGACCGTGAATTTTAGCAAACATCGAGACAATACCCTTCAGCACATACTATTGTGCTCATACTCAAGCGGGCTTTAAGGTGAACCTACTTCTTGCTGGGACCACAGCTTTGCTCTCGACTCACTCTTTCTCGCCCTTTGATCTTAGAAATTTCGAAATCAATTACCACGAAGACGCTCATTCAGCCTCGGTCGAGAGTACGATAACAACTTCTGCAGAGCCAGGTCAGAACCCCAGCGAACAGAGTAACAATCAAGTACTACAATCGCGATGGCCGATATCGATGATGAGCTATTGGCTCTCGCGGGAGATGCGTCCTCTGATGAAGAAGGTGATGCGCCAGTAAATAACAGCAGAGAAAGTTCAGGTTCCGCAGACCGTAGACCTGCTGGCAAAGGTGGCGCAAAGAAGTCGAGTAGGAGCGCAAGTCGACGACAAGATGATTCCGAAGAAGAGGGCGAGGCGTAAGTTGTCTAATAACTTTCTTCAACACTTTTAGGGTTAAGTTCACCACTGATTCTCTTCTAGCTCGTCTGGACATTCGTCTCCCAATTCTTTGCACTCTGCCCCAATGGATGAGTCTGATTCCGAATCAGACGCAGGTGCTGCTTTCGATGACGGGGATAAATACCCCCTCGAGGGCAAGTTTATGAACTCCACGGACAAGGCAGAAATCATGGCAATGCCCGAGATCAAGCGTGAAGAATTGCTGGCAGAGCGTGCCCAGGAGGTCGAACGAGATAGGCAGAACAGGGCTCTGCGTCAGCTTTTGAGTGCTCGTGAGGCGGAGAGCAAAAAATTGGACAAGAAGAGGAAAGCCAGCGCAGCCGAGTTGGAGGAGAATCAGCGGAAAACCTCACGGCAAAGGACGAAGCTTGGTGGTGGCAAAGTCGGAGAGGCAAGCACTGGTATCGACAGTCTGAAGAAGGCGCGAGCGGAAAAGAATGATCGACAACGTCGCCGTGATGAAGACAAGGAGAGAAATAGGGATCGCAGGGCTGTCCAAGACGAATCTGATCAAGATGCAGAAGGAGAGAGTGAGCCCGAGTGGGATGATGGCAAGTCGAAGAACAAGAAGTCGAAATCTCCAGACTACCGAGATGCGGAGCCAGCTGGACTCCATGACATCGAGAGAGTCAGAGTTGGAAGATCTAGATTTGCTATGGTTTGCTTCTATCCTGGATTTGACGAGGCTATCACTGGATGTTTTGTTCGCATCAGTGTTGGCATTGACAAGGAAAGTGGCCAAAATATCTATCGGATGGCAGTTATCAAGGGTAAGCTATGCTATCTCTAGTATTTCTACACGGTACTAATATCCCGTGGAGGGTTTGTTGAAGATAGACCCTATGCTATCGAGACTGCCAACGGCAAGCACTTCAAGACCACTCAATATATTCGTGCTGCGCATGGAAAGGCGGAAAGAAATTGGCCCTTCATCACATGCTCCGATTCTCCTTTCACCGAGGTTTGTAATTGGATCCAAGTAATTAGATACGGGTACTGATCATCGTCAGGCTGAGTGGAATCGTTACAAGCAAACATGTCTCGTTGAAGGTGTTCCTCTACCTACCAAGCCAAAGCTCTCGGGGAAAATTGCAGATATCAACAACCTCGTCAATCGCTCCTGGACCGAGGCTGAATTACAGGAGAAACTTACAAAATCCGGTGCTTTGGTCAACAAGTTTATTCCAATCGAACGTAACCGTTTGGCCAACTTAATCAAGGAAGCCAAGGCGAGTGGCGACACAGAGAAAGAAGAGTCACTTCGCAAGGAGCTCGAGTCCCTTGACGGCCCAAAATTAGCTTACAGCACATCCATGCAATCATCTCCAAAGAAAGCATCTGGCCTGAGTCAACAAGAACGATTGGCAGTACTCAATAGGGAAAACCGTCGCAAGAATGCCGAGGAGGTCCGCCAAGCACAAATTGCTGAGAGAAGGGCTGCCAGAAAGGCGGAGGCCGCTATCGCTCGTGGTGAAGAGGTCGTTGAAGACCATTCACGCCGTGTCAAGACCCGCGCCAAGTTCAAGCACGATGTAGCTGATGCTTACGGTGCAAAGAAGAATGACAGCGAGCGCAGTGGTACCAATACTCCCGCAGCTGGGACGCCAAACCTCTCAGCAAAGAAAGTCTCCACTCCACTTCCTCATATTGCCAAGCTTCAAGCTGCAAATGCAGAGAAGAAAGGCATCCCAACTATCCGACGACCTCTGATGGATGACGACATCATTGGTGCTATTGATCTTGGTATCGACCTCGAACTCTAGAATCGACTCTTATTAGAAGCCTTTGGGGTAATTTTCTTGCAACCGAGACATGATCGTTGAATTCGGGGCGTCCATAGCATGTATTTTAGATTGCAATCCTAATAACATGTCGCGGCATTGACCATGTCTAAATATCACATATCTGATCTCGTGTAAGGACCGCAATGTTCCAAGTTCAACCGCTTCCTAGCTTCTGTCCGACAGCTAAAGCTTGGAAACGACGCAACGATAAAGTCCAACTCTCGAGTTTAAGGGTGAGTGACATTTCAGTTTCACTCTGGGCACTCATTATGTACTATGTTCTAACTAAGGCTCAAGCAACATAGGAAAGCCGATCCAAGAAAGGGTATGGAATTTTTGGATACGAGCAGCGGCGTAGCTGTAAATGGTGGTCGAAGTATGTGCATTTTCGTTGGGAGCCGACATCTATCGAGGACAGAAGAGCTTGACAGCGGCTTAGCTTCTTCAACTCCCGGCCCAAGATTGTTCACCGGTCTGTGGACAGTTCTTTAGCCCACTTCAGATGGGTTTGAGGCATCAGTCCAAAGCAAATACTGGATTGACAGACTCTGTCCAATCTAGCATAGCAAGCGCGTTGTCTGAAAGACTCGAGACGTTCAACTTCAAACCATCATCTGTTCCTTTTGTCACAACACAGCCTCACCGAGAGACATAGCTTATTCTACCCTAACCCTCGAGGCTGCTTGCCGACATGATCTCAATCTCAAGTATTGAATGTCAAACAATCATCTGTTCCACTCGCTGTCACACGGTAGCTCGAGTTCAAGATCCAAGCGGACATCATCTCATTCAGCTGTGTCGAACACTTCGCAAGAACAGGGAACATTGCCAATTAGTGCTTCACTGCCTCAATGACTTCTGCAATGGACAGTCTTCATTGCTGGAGGTGTGGCTTTTGGTTTCACCCTGCGATCGTTCGGGACCTGGCTATACCACGAAGAATCCTCTGATACTCTTTCTCGGCAACTTGCAAGCCCATGCATGGTTGTTGGTGAACCTTGCAGGCGCCCATTTGGCTGTATCCCACGTGATGTGTATTACTAACCTAAGACAAATGAAGTTCGTTTGAAACTTCAGATGAAAACGATTCATCCGCATAGACGGTTTGATGATCACTTGGCCCCTGATCTGCCTCATGGAGCAGCTCAACCTGCTCAAATCGCATCCCCGTCCCAGGCTCCACGTTCCCTGCTCACGTCAGAGACAGCCGCTCTCCTCACATCACCTTCAGCACAGCCTTCCGGACTCTACTCGATTCCTCACTAGATTGCAACTGGATTTGAACAATGAGGAATGTCTGTGCCCGACGAGACTCCGGCTCCCGCCAAGCCAGGATCTTCACGCTCGCATCATTTACCCTACGGGCGTGCTCGAGCGGGGGGGGGGGCCGCGATGGGACATGGCATGAACGCACTCGTCGCAGTGGGATCAAAAGATCGGCTGAAACTCCGGCAGCGTTCCAATTACCTACTGACGGTCGTGGTCGGTGTGCAGTGCGGTGCAGGCTCGCAGGCAAGCCGACTGCGGGTTGCGAGTGCGAGTGGATTATTATTGCAAAGAGAAAATCATAATGTAACAATGCTTGCTTGCGCATCTATCTCACTCGCGTTTCCCAAGTTCCTCCTCCTCCTCCTTGCTGCTGCCCTTCCCTCCCTTACCTTACCTTACCTTACTGACCTTCCCTTACTGACCTTCCCTTACTGACCTTCCCTTACCTAACTTAACCTCGCAATAAGTACAGTACTGTAAGTAAGTACAGTAAGTAAGTAGTGGGCTGTGCAGCCATCCCAGCTCTGACCGTGCAGCTGTGCAGCTCCTGAAACACGCTCGACGCGGAGTTTCTAGAAGGTCGAACCAATGGCACCCCACACACCGTCGTCCCGCAACCTTCGCCAGAAAAGTCTCTGCCCGCCTGCTCGTCATCTGGGGCCAACAACGCCATCTGATTCCTCGTCCTGGGAATCCACATCCACATCCACATCCACCTTTACCCGCAGCTGCAGCATCTGGGCCACCACGACGACGACGACGACGCAATCGAGGAGGAATATCCGCATCCTGGACAATAACAATCGCACCATCGGACCAGATGGGAGTGGTTGAGGGAGGACTGAGATGCCACGCAAGATGGACCGAGGGCGAAGGAAGTGAAGTGAGGTGAAGTTTGATATGAGTGGGTGGTGAGTTCGTCGGACAGGAGCGAGGAGTGACTGAGTGAGCCGCGATGGCCCCATGAGATAGATGCACTACTGTGAGCTCCGGATCTCTGCCATACCAGGTATACTGCCTAATCCGGACATCTCTTGCCTGGAATCATGGAATTATGGATGATGCAGAGGTGTGCTGGCTGGCTTTCCAGCTGAGATCTCCATCTCGTACCGTATGCACCAGGGTAAGAAGGCGGTTTGTTTGTGGCGGGCCCAGGGAGATCTGGTGCTGGCTGGACGTTCTGTCCCATACGTTGACTACCTGTGGATATGCAAATGGTACTGTTTGTCCGTTACTTGTTGTGCCTCCAGCGGTGGTGGACGTTGCGGTGGCCGTTCCACCACAGCGTCACGATGCACTCTAGAAAGGTAGGCTCATGCATCCAGAGAGTCCCATGCGGTGCAGATTTCCCTCTGTACAGGACATCATACATACATACATACAGACAGACAGACAGACATACAGACATACACACGAGGCAGCCTCAACTTTCCTCAACAACACGCAGCATATCACCATCTCTCGCTGGCTTCCGCGTGGGTGCAGGTCTCTCTGCTGCTCCTCGAAAGATCCTTCGCTACGGCGGCCACTAGCCTCCTCAACTACCGAGCGTGGTGCTGCATCGGTCCGTGTGTTGAACCAACTTTTGAACCTCTGGACGGTCAGACGCCTGTGTCGCTGGTGTCACAAATTTCCGTATTCGCTCCACGCTCGCCTTGGGATCAAACATTTCGTCCCCCAAACAAGAACAAGAAGAGTTCGAGCTGGCGACCTCTGCTGCACGGAGAATCCACCAAGCGAGAGACCAGTCCGGGCGAGGCGAGAGGAGGCAGGCGAGCGAGCGAGAGTGAGGGAAGGGAGCAAGATGCTCCTCCTCCTCCATGGATGGCCGCTCGCATCGTTCTGCCGTAGTAGTTTCTGCAGACCAGACCAGACCAGACCAGACCTGCCGGCCCATCGTGATCCATACCATGCCATATGATACCGATGCTACACCAGCTACTGTACTGTACAATCTGTACTTACGGACGAGCAAGCGTCGAGTGGCCGCTGTATCAAGTGACGGTTCGTAACAACACCGCAGTTCCCTACGCAGATCGCTGGTCCCCAGTTCAGACGAGTATCTCAAGAATCTCGTCGTTAAACGATCATCGTAAGGATTATCTTCGAAACGCGGCGGGCACACGGCCACCGGCCCACTCAGCGCCCTCTGCAGCCAGCCTCCAGCCAGGGTCCGGCGAACGCAACACCGCAAATGGCTGCAGATGGTTCCCTCTGGCTTCTTCTGAGGGCCGTGATGGCTGGATCCAGGACCCTTGTCCACTATCGACAAGGCTCCGACGATGAGCCCCCCGTCCAGCATGGGTCATGCTCGCAATGGCGTGTGGGGAATCTCAACATCAAACACTCGCCGAGTCCCCGTTTCCAGCATAATCAATGCACTATGCATCAGCATCAGCATCATCACCCATACCCATGCCCAGACTGAACTGGATCCATCCCTTACCAGACCAGCCCCATACCATACCATACCGTACCAGACGGCTCCCGCTATACCCTTTCCACCACAACTCCTCTACGCCTCAGCTACCGTACTCCCGCTGCTGCTTGTGGTAGGCTGGGATGGAGTCCCAGCTTCACCTCCTTCGTTTTCCCTTCACCGGCCCTCCCTCATGTGGTGCTGCTCACTCATGTCGGTCGCCGCCCGTTATCTCTGTCTCTGCTGTCTGTCTGTCTCTCTTCAACTAGCCGTCACCCAAACGTGGCCTGGTTCTTCATGCATACCCGAAGCAGCCTTGCATCGTCGTGTATGGCCGGACCCTGGATACCGTCCTATCTTTTTGACATCTCTGTCTCTATTTTTGCTTGATGCTCTCTCTGCCTTTTGTCCATTCGTCAGCCAAATATCATACCATAGAGTCCATATCACAGTTGTCGACAGACTCTCGAAGACTGGTTCGCGATATATTGCGAGTCCAATCTAGTTGAAGTCTGCTGAAGTTTCTTCGTCCAATAGCATTGTCTCGGCCTGATATATCCAGACAAGCTCTCTCCCGCAGTCAATGCTTGCGAAGCCACAACGTTTCGGGCAGAAGAGATAAATCTCATCGTTGTTTCTTTCGGGCCTTGGAAGATCCGCTCCATCACTTGATAAGTCAGATGTTTGGACGATAGCCACGATACGACCAAGCTTCAGAAGAGTGTTTCGAACGTTTCCGATGAGGTCAATGCATTGTCGGATGTCGATCTCTCATCAAGCCTCTTACTCCCTCGCAAGACACCCAGAGACCTGATTCACTATCTTCTGTCAAAGCCACACGACCAAAGTTTATCTGAACCGAGAGCTGGTCTCCTCAATCGGATCTGTTAATCAGTCAGATATCTGAAACACCTTATATCGATCTCCATAGATTAAGATACATATCCTCGACATTTCCCTTGATGACCGGACGGTCCTCGAGGGTCTTTGAAAGGTTATTAGGAATCAGACGGCCACTTCCTGTCTCGTCGACTCGAGTCCAGGAATCTCGATCAAGTGCAAGACACCAAAAGCGAGAAAGGATTTGATGAAAGGCCGGAGAGGTTGTAACTTGGTCCAAGTCTTCTTACAACGATAGTCAACTCGGGACAAACGTCAGTATGGATGTAACTTCACTGCTGAATGCAAATTCAGCTGCTGCTGAGCAGCAGAGGAAGATGGAGAAGGGAGAGGCCACGAAAACGCCAACCAGGAACCGAACTCCTTGGGATGCCGGTGGTTATTCACTTCCAATCAACACGCTATCGAATCCGACTCTCAGTACGCCTACACCCTACAACATTCACCACGATGATTCACAACAAATTAGCGCCAGTACGCCCACTTCTCCCCGACATAAATTCTCCGACAGTCGCAGTAGTCTTTCTTCTTTTACATCTTCCCTACAATCAACAACCCACTCGAGATTCTCTTCTATGTCAACTACAGTCAGTGGGTCTCAACCTCTCAATAGCCTCGCAGAAACCTTGTCTCCAACAGCAAATCTTAAGATTCAGGAAATGGATCTGACCCCTCCCCTCTCGGAATCACACATCCCACGGCCTCATGGGAGCCTTTCTCCAACAGGTTCTCTAGACGCACTTGCTCTAGTTGCCGAAACCCGGATTACTGATCAAGAAGCAACATCCTCAACGCTGAGAGACAAGACGTCGACGACTCCCGAACAAACCCCAAACCAGACAATCATCACCAATGGACGTCCAAGCTCGCCAAGCGATGCTATCCTCATCAAGCGTGCGACCCTGCCTAGTCTACGAGTCGTGACTGGCGATCATGAACTGAATGGAGCTGGTCAGGCACATCATCTGTAAGTTGTCTTTGCTTTTTTAGGATATAATTCCAAGTCTTTGATTTTCATGCCTTGCAATCCGTATTTGGTTGTTCTCCCTAGTTCATATGTAGGGCAGAATGCCCTTCGGGAACTGAACAATTTTGATCACCAGGGTCAAGTTTGGTGCTCTGAGCAATATGTCCCTCTTGCTCTGTGCTGTGTTGCCAGTACATGTCTAAAGCGCTGTTCTCGAACCGGAAATCTCACTTAGACAAAATGTCCCTTCTATTTACAGTACTTTTCGTGTGTTGGAGCAAGCTATTCTTGAGCTGGACATCCACTTGGGCAGATTGTCTTTTTGATTATTGTACTTTTTGTGTATTGAGCAAGTTGTTCTTGAGCTGGACATTTTACTTGGGCAAAACGACTCTTCTAGTTACGGTACTTTTCGTTTGTTGAGCAATTCTCGTGGCCACAGCGCTTTGCCCAAGGTTGAATGTTTTTAGCAGAGCCTTGTCAAGCTCCATTCACCCAAAATTCCGATCACGGATTGCCCGTTATCTTTCCCATTCACCTGTTTTCATATCACGCTAGTGTGTACGTTGGTGGCGCTAGTCCATCGTTGTTGTCTATATCTTGAACTTGGGATCGCGATCTCCAGTCAAAAAAAAACACCTTCCTCCTGCACCTCTATCAAATACCTTCAACAACACATCCCAAGCACACTTTCAATTTGATCTTCCATCCTCGGCCCATCTTGCGCGTTTGTCCTGTGCTCCGTCACAGTAGACAACTTGCGCCTACCTCTTTGAACCATTACACCAATACACGCAGCACAAAAGCTCTTGTTGACGTACTATCTGATTTCGAGGTATGATCAACACTCTACAGTCCCGTTCTTAGCAGAACAGAAGTTTCGATTATTCACGCTTAATCTGCTCGATAATATCGAATGACTTTTGCGCTATTCTTCCTCTTGCTCAAGATCTGAACAGAACAGAAGTTTGGATGATTCACTCTCAGCTTATTCGAAAGTATCGAATGACGTCTGCGCTATCTTCCCCGCGTTACTATTCACGCTTAATTTGCTCAAAGATATCGAATGACGTTTGCGCTATTCTTCCTCGTGTCCAAAGCCTTGCTCCAAAACACAAGCTAACGCGAAGACAACAGACACAACCATAACTTCTTGAGCGCACCACTTGAGACACATCATCAGTCTCTCATGCACCCTAGAAGCCACAAGCGGGCACTTTCAGCACCGGATTTCAGTATGTCGAACTCGAGTCTGCCTCCTACGGGCGAATCAATGGGCATGCGTCCGCTTGCCGAACCTACACCACCATCATCCCATCACCCTGATAATCCATCCCCGACTGCCACAACGGCTGCTTACCCCAATCCCGACACCCCACCAATGACTAATGCCGATACCGAAAGTCACGCCGTGGTTTGCATGTACATTCCAAACTGCGATACCGGCTCTCAACCAAGAAAGGCCATTTCGCACATATTCGGGCGCAACAAGATGTGCACACGTCTCATCCCGCAGCACGTCTGGGTTCACTATTGCCGGAAGCACTACCAACGCAGTCGCTATCGTAATCCGAAGGAATATGCGAAGCTGCAGTGCGATCTCGTTCAACAACAGATCCGTCGCGTTCACGAGTGGAGTTTGGCAAACAGCAAGAGTGGCGTCGCCGGAATCGTCCAAGATTGGGGACTCGCAGTTCGGAAGCGTGAGCAAAAGCGATTGGACGATCTTGGAGGATCTCGCAAGCGAAATGCAGCCACCTTCGAAAATGATAGTGACGATGGAGAGGATGCAGCTGGTCGAGCCGTCGCAGTGCCCGCTACTGCCGTTCCAGACTGGCTTCTTACGCTGTGCGGCAAGGGTTATAACACTCAGACGATTCTTGAGATATTCAACCGACTGCATACCGAGATTCTGGAAGACACACTGCCATGTTTCCCAGATATTGAGATCTTGCCGAATATCGTTGTAGATCAAGATGAGCCTAAGAGTCCGAAGGGTTACACCAAGAGAACTCCCCAAGGCCATAAGCGTGCGCAATCTCTTGGTGTCGGCATGAAGCCCGCCTACGGTGCACAAGGTCAAGACAGGAGATTGAGCCAACCTGCTATCTTGGGCCACGACGGTTTGTACTTATCTCCAGCTCAGAAGAGACGTCGACCCAACGATATGGCTGAGAGCAGCTCGCCCGTCCGCAACCCATCGTCATTCCAAGCATCTCGATTTGCTGAACGCTCTTCGGACAGCAGTAGACATATCTCACAACTAGGCCATCGGTCAGCTTTTGCAAATATCGATGAAAACCAAGCTGGGGAGAGCGACTACTACGGCTTTGAGTCTTCCCGACAGAATCACGCACCATTGCCCGCTCCTGTTGCCCAGCGATTCGGTGGTCAATCCGTGGCTGCTCATCTCGAGACCAGCAACGAATACAGCCCTGCTCGTCGCCCCATCCACCAAAGATCGCAATCCGATATGGGTGGCTTTGCCAGAGGACGTTTTGAATACTCACCTGCACCTGGCATGATGTATTCCCCACCGCGCAACTCTCAATACCGAGATTCTCCACAAATCGGAGGTCCTGTTTACGGAAGCCAACCACGTTACGAGCCTATTCATGCACAGTATGCCGACCCGCGTCAACATGGCCATCACCGTGCCCAAAGCTCGTCCGTCATCTATGGTTCGTATCCAGCCATGCCGAGCCTGAGAGAACATCAATCCTTGCCCATGCCTCCATACACTCAAAACCAAGCCGGCCCACCAGCCTCCAATATCACAGAGTCGAAGGAAGCCCGGACCCTCTACTCCTCCAGACGCTAATTCTCCCCGAGACTCTTCATCTCATAAGAAGTCCTCCATCGGACTGATGATCCGTCTACTCCCCTACCTTCTTCTTGTACATTTTTGCGATGGTTTCTTTAGTCAACGGTCATGCGGCATAGATTATGCTTAGAAAAATGGTTCCTTTTCGCCAATACCGGATTTTCTTTCTTGGGGTGTCAACAGACACATCTGACTACGAAAATACACTCACATTGTAATTACAAATGGGTAATGGGCATAGCGAATGGGACCTTAGACGATATTGGGGGAGCAAAAAGGGTTAACACTAGCAAGGCGTTTTTGGGAGGCATTGTCATCTGTAGGCATGATCCCTGGAGGACTTTGATTTTGAGCTTTTGAGACGTCGGGTTGGCTGGTTGAACCAAAATTTCTCAGTGGGAGCGAACCACATCTGTTTTGCGATGCCTTTCTCTGTCGCCTCGTGGGACAGCAATAATAATGAAAATCGATGCTTTTGGCTTTCTGCCTTGTAAACAACCCATCTTGTCTCTGGTGATTTACTATCTATTCACTTTGTGCTTTGCTCGTCTTGAGACTGGCTTATGCGTGCCACGCCAGACTCACCTTTGTCCTTCATCTATCATTAAAGGAGGACGTGAAAGAGAGGTAAGCAAATATCGTTCTAAAGCCTCTCGGTGCATTTGCCAGGAGATGGACCAAGGCGGGCTCGATCGTTGGTTGCAGCCGCACCCAAAACCTATTCATTCAACGATGTCCGCAGTCTACTCTTTTGTGAGCATCTAATTGAGGATTCAGACTTATCCCTTGCGCTTTCCAGTTCTCGTTTTCATATCTCATAACTTGGACACATAATTATTCTAATGCATCTCATTCCCCACACGTGACGTTGGCCCCTGCCCTAATTTGGTTGGAACTTGTAGCGGATCCGAGCGCTCCGAGTTCATATATCAATTCTCGGTCACAATCCGTTCGAAACACCTATATATATTTACTGGCCATGGGGATCCCCCGCAATCTACTCCTTAGGTGTCGCTGGACTCGGTAGAACGGGCCGCTGCCGCTTCAATCTCAAGCATGACTTCGATTAATCTACTGGATAATCTCAAAGCTGGGAGCCAATGCCGAGGAACAGGTCCATACATCCAAGGGCTAGAACAGCTCCTCACAGCTGTCCAGTTCCGGCACGGAATTTCGAAGTTGAGCTACGTGCTTTGTGAAGACTCGAAAGATCAGATCTTGATCAAGATGGAACGCACGTACAATACTACTCTTTACAGCTATATAGATCGCTCGTTTGGATGGGGTGATTGGCCGTCCAATCTTTTGAAGCATACGTTTCGGACATGAGCCAGCATATTGTAGTCTTCGACTGCATGCAATTTGCCGGAGTAGTAGTTCCGTCTCCTGGCTTCTTTCGGGCAATTTTATTTGAGATGCGATTGTTTTAGTTTGCTTCGTTGAAATAAACTCATCATACGGGCCGTTCTCCCTCTACAAGCTCACGCTGAGACTCATTCATAGGACGTTGCGTTCATATAAATTCCGCTCTAGCTAAGTACAACAAGGAATGTTTCGGTAGACTATTCTAGATGTTTTAAAGTCTTCGCTTCTCTCTGATATTTCCATCATTGCTCTTTGGTGCGAGATTTTCCTTCATACCCTTTTCACTTCCATTCATCAGGAATGCGTCTTTCAGCAGCTCTCCTTGCCCTTGCGGCTTCTGGTTCTTGCACCATTTTATGGGATGGCCGATTCAATACATTTACTTCGAGTTCGGATCTCAGCAACTGGAGTTGGTCAAATCAAGTGGGACCATATCAATACTACATTCACGGCTCGTCTGCCGTGACTTCCTACATCAACCTTTCCCCGTCCTACAAGAATCCTGCCGATTCTGGCAGTGCGCAGGGGGCAAAGTTCACGCTGGACAGTACATCCTACTGGAATGTGAGCAAGCACGGGGTTGGAAGGATTTTTTATATATGCTGACTTCTAGTGGTCAGGGTCAAACTATGCGTCGAACAGAATTAATTCCTCAAACAACAGCTGCCATCAATGCAGGCAAGGTCTGGTATCATTTTAGCATCATGCACTCCGCTACGAATCCTCCCAGCCTATACCGAGAGCATCAAATCTGCTTCTTCGAATCCCATTTCACAGAACTGAAGTCCGGTTGGATTTCAGGTGAGTCCGGAACGTCAGACCCTCTTCTCCGTTGGGACATCAGCGGGACCACTCACTGGAGCACGAACTGGACGGCTGGAGTGTGGCACAATGTAGCTTATGAGATTGTGGGTGTTGCATGACGTTTCTACAGCAATGTGCTGACGTATGAATTAGGATTTCACCGGAGGATCTGTCGCATTCTGGCACTCCACGGGTTCGGATCCTTTAACGCTCACAGTTCCGGCGGTCAGTGTCTCGGCCACGTCAAACGGTGAAGATTGGCATCTTGGTGTTCTTGAGTTACCCGTCACAGGCCAGACGGATGCAACGGAGGATTTCTATTTCAGCGGTGTCTATATTGAGTCGGGATCGTTGACAACGTCTGTAGCCGGTCCAGGTAAGCTCATTCCCGCGCTGAACTGCTTGCTCTTTGGCATCTGCCGTCCGAGCTGAGATACGAGGGCAAGGGAAGCTTGTCCATTTGTACGCTTTTGAGACAGTACTAGACTCTCGAGAGCTCCTAATTTACTATCAATTTTTTCAGTGCTAACATGCTCAGCATAGGCGGTGCGGTCGTTAGCTCCTCACCGAGTGTAACTGGAAGTGCCTCTAGTGCACCAACTTCTGCCTCCCAAGTAACGACTTCTGCTCCTACCACCCTGGCTACATCTACCGTGGTTGCCAGCGCATCGACTTCTAGTGCTGTTGCTGGTGGAACATTGTCGAAATACTCCCAGTGCGGAGGTACTGGGTGGACTGGCTCTGGGAGTTGCGTATCAGGTACAACGTGCACTTTCTCGAATACATATTACTCTCAGTGCCTGTAATTGGAGACAGGGAATAGAGTATGCAGTTGTCTGGAATTGGTCTGTGACGAAGAGATTGTCTATTTACGGATTTCTGGTGTACATATTTTGCTGTTCCCCAGACTGTACATAGTTGAAGAGAGTTGAAAGTCTGATAATGGTGCACGATTGAACCTCTGATTTGAATAGGTAGGTAAGATAGAGCTTAGATGTAAAGGGAATAATTTGACCGTGCTTATGACGGCAAGCTCGTGGCTTCGTTCGGCCTGAGTCATAATTCACCAAACTCCCCGCTTTTTTTTGCAAATACATATATATGGGCGAAATTCTCCTAGTCTCGTATCTTGTTGATCGAGTTTCCTGGGGTGTGTGCTCTAATCGCATAATTCATAAAGGACCAGAAGAATTGAGGGGACAATGTTTGTCATCATCGAATCCCTCGACCAAAGGTACTACTGGAGCTGAAAACGACACGATAGAGTAATTTGCACCACTTTTCCAGCCTGCCTCTGTCGTAGGATTGTTTAATTGTTTTTGCATAGTTTTGATCTGAGCATGAACGCGTTACATTGTCGATTCTGTCATGTCACTTTCTTCCCTGTTATATGTTGCGATATGGGGCATCATCAGCCTCAAACCGTGGCGCAACAGTACAGCAACGCCTCTGCGGGTGGCGCAAAAGGCGCTGCACTCTTCGGGTCTTCCATTTAAGCTTCCAAATCGACCTCCATCGGAAGAGAGGAAGGGAGAACAAAGAGGAAAAAGTGTTCCTCCTCCTCATCAAGTCTTTCAACGATAATTGCCTTCTTGTATCTTGCAGACTAGCACATTATTATCCGGAGCTAGCCATTCTTTCAAGACGAGGTTGCGGATAGATACGGTGGCATCGAGTCGAGGAACGACGAGGCAGGTGGCATCCATCGATCTTGAGAGCTAGAGATAAGAACGACGGGACCGAACATCAACCAACACGGCCACGGCCCGTGCGAATTTGCCGCTTAACTTCTTTCATCGAGTGGCCCTTACTGAGGACCACGTCAAAAGTCATTGACAAAAAATCACTTGTTGGAGGCTCCATTTCAATGGTCCCAAAATCCAGAGGTCTGTCATCAAGTCTTCTCGAATAGCTACACTTCATCTCTGTATCCTACATGGAAACTGTTGATATATCAGGGAGTAATCTGCCGATTTGTTACAGTGGTACGTGGTAACGTGGGTGCTGTCGGCCGTCGATATCTTGACCCCCGCATTCCTTGATCAGGGATGCGGGTGTCAATGCAGATATGATGCCGCAGTGTATACGGCTGCATTCACGGGCAACCCTATCAGCGGAGACATAGCCTAGGTGCGTACAATACACTCGACAGCTCGTTGGTCCAGGCCAAGCATTTCCTAACACAAAGAGGAAGGAGCAGAGTTGTACCTCCGTCTGTCACACGTCCAGGGTTACACGAAATGCATCTCATTCGACAGTCTACCCTATCGTTGTGCATCTTCCTTAAAATCGGACCCCGTCGTGGCTTGAGATAACACAGAAGCAGATAATGGCGACTTCCAGAAGAGTTATTGCGTGTCATTCACTACACCATTCTTGTTCTTCACTTGCAGTAGCCCCCTGATCGGCATGCGCACAGGTTTTTGGCTGGAACTCTGGGTCCAGAGGACTGGTTCTCTTATCAGGACGCATGGCATCCAGATCTGAGCCATGCGTATGTTGTACACCCGACCACAGATAAGGCGGATGGGCATGGGTATATATCCAGCAATTCTAAAACATTTCTTGTCATTCTCCAGTCAATCGATCAAGCACGCCAGTTTTTACGATGTCAGACTCTCCAGTATCAGATCCGGAGAAGCAGACCTATTCAGCAGATGACGAGGGGGTACATAATGGCTCTACTCCTGTTTACGTGGACGAGGGATTGGGAGAGTCTGAAGTTGTGGAATTTGGCGAGACCAAAGAACTGAAGTGAGAAGCCCTCTTCCGTCTCAGTCCTCCCTTTTCCCCTCTTTGCCCGCCAACTTCTTTGTCTGCTTGTCAATATTCCTCGAGTATCATGGCGAATCGAGTTCTTTCGAAAGTACCTAGGACGTCTACCTGAATGAGTGCCACACGTGTGGTGAAGTGACAAGAGGAGCCGGGTGGTACACTGTACTCTTATTGGAACTTTCTAACATGTTCAACCTTGCAGGCGAGGCCTTCATCAGCGACATATTCAAATGATTGCCCTGGCCGGGACAATTGGAACGGTATATCAAGACATTTTTCATCCTCGAATCTCGCAGGTGCTGACAACGGCAGGGTCTTTTTCTTGGGTCCGGTAAAGCAAGTAAGTGTTATCCTCCATCTCGACTCAGCGAACATCCTCTATAGCACTCGCAAACCCGTACAATGCCAAATTATAGGCTCTCCTCCGTTGGGGGGTCTATGGATGTGGCATTCAGGGAGAGAATGCGTCCCAGCGGGGGAGTTATACAAGTGGAGTTGGTACGCTTTGGGACTGAGTCCGAAATTCCAACCATCCACTCCGGGGCAGGCACTGATATTAGCATACCTCGGTTGATAGAGGCCCAGCACGAATCTCCTTTTGCTCTGGTTCGTTTGCTATCTATCATGAGTGCTAACATGGCGCCAGTTGCAAATGGCGGTCCGCTTGGCGCTCTCCTGGGTTACAGTTTTGTCGGTATTCTCGTGATTGGAGTTGTTCTATCCATCGCAGAATTGAGGTATGGATCAGTATTCCGTTATACTGCTCACAAACGAGTGCTAACCCATTCAGCGCTCTGCTTCCGCTTAGTGGTGCTATCATTCGACATGCCGAGCATTTCGTGGATCCTGCTTTGTCGTTCGCGCAAGGATGGAATTCCATTTACTCGTACTTGGTATCTCTCCCAGCCGAGCTGGTTGCTGCCGCAGTCATTGTTCAATTCTGGTCAACCATTAATTCGGCAGTTTGGATCACTGTGTTCGGCTTACTACTCGTCATCAGCAATCTCCTCTTTATTCGCGTCTACGGGGAAATGGAATTCACTTTTGCAAGCCTCAAGATTATGTTAATTATTGGTAAGTCTTGGAATTTCGGATGAACCACTATACCCCTATACTGGGGTTGGAGCTGGTGCTTTCGGACTATTTTCAGGATATTCCTATCTACACTCAAGGTCTGGGAGAAAGTACACTAACTCTGGTATTCTGGTATAGGCCTCAATATTATGGCACGTTCTTCACTAGGCTGCACCATACACATTGAAAGCTGACAATTTAGGCTCTTGTCATCGTCTGTGGCGGCGGGCCTGATCACCACAGATATGGCTTCCAGTATTGGCGGAATCCTGGTCCTTTTGTCGACTACTTGGGATACACCGGGTCCCTTGGACATTTCATGGGTTTCTGTAAGTGTCCCCTTGCTTCTGATATTTAGCCTTCTTGGAGGCTGTGTTAGAACTGGCAGCACACCTACGATCTCTTTCACTCTACCATGGATATGCTATAAACGTACAATTCTTACCTCGTAATTTCAGGGACAACCTTTTCCAACGCTGTTTACGCATATTCGTGAGTATTAATTGCTCCTTATGACATTTATATTCTATGATAGCAACCTCCGTTGTACCGACAGGAGCTTTTCAACTAAATTGATAAATAGGGGCATCGAAGGCATTTCTATGGCGGCTGCAGAAACAAAGGCCCCGCGACGAAATATTCCTATCGCCGCAAAGCGTATATTCTTCAGGGTAGTTATCTTTTACGGTTCGTGATGGATCCATCCCTTACTGCTTGCTGTTGACTGATTGCCTCAAATGACACAGTCCTTTCAATCTTTATGGTTGGTTTAATTGTCCCTTCCAACGACAAAGATCTACTCCGTTCGACTGGAACTGCTGCGGAGTCTCCTTTTGTCCGTACGTCAAGTTCTATCTTTGTTCCAACCACATTTCAGAAGCCTATTTTTCACATTACTCTTTCGAGCGATGTCAGTCCGTGGCGACTTGATTCTATCTTACACAGAAACTTCAATCGCTACCTCGTGTCTCCCGAACTGTTCTTCCTTCGCTCGTCTGGAATGGTGCATTGGCTTTACTACTTCGCTATAGGAAGTTTCGGATTCACGTCCAATTTTTCATCTTTAGTTTCCTATCATTCAAGAAACTCACCTTTCCTATGCTCTCTAGGACAAGAACTAACTTGTCGACAGTCGCAGCAACAAACGCAGGCATTAAAGTGGTCCCGTCGATCATCAACTTTGTTGTCTTAACAAGTGCATGGAGCTCAGGAAACTCCGGTATGAGCACTCAATATACGATGATCATCACGGCTGACAACTCCCCACAGGCCTTCTTGGCGGATCAAGAACCCTGTATGGCATGGCTCGAGAAGGCCATGCTCCAAAAATATTTCTCAGGACTAATCGTATGGGCAGTAAGTATTTCCATGATTTCCATTGCATTCCTCAGAGAGACATTAGCCCCTTTCTGTCCCGCTCGAATTCCACAACTCGTGCTGTTCTTCTGCTCTGCTGTGGTGGTTGAAAACCCCCAAAAAAACGAACTGACCCTTTCCAAGTACCGTACCTCGCCGTGCTTTCCATAAGTCTTTTCATTTGCCTAGGCTACATGACGCTTTCCAATTCCTCGAGCACGGTTTTTGGATGGCTGCAAGACCTTGTCAGTGTCTCTGCTTTGATTGGGTGGATGGTTATTTGCACTGTCTATCTGCGGTTCTATTATGGGTGAGTAACTCAAGTACTCTGACCGGATTGGAGTCTAACCTGCACAGGTGTAAGAGACAGGGGATCGATCGCTCGGAACTCCCCTGGAAAGCCCCCTTCCAGCCTTACATTGCCTGGTTCTCTCTCTGTTCGTTCGTTGTCCTCTTGCTGACTGGTGGCTATGTCACGTTCATTCATGGGCAGTAAGTTTCCTTCTGGTCGTTGTCATCAATTGCCACTGACTGTAAATCAGTTGGGATGATGAGACATTTGTCTCCTCGTACATCAATATCCCTATCTTCTTCATTCTCTATTTTGGGTATAAGTTTGTCAAGAAAACAAAGATCATTCCGCTTGGTGAGATTCCAATTCGCCACTTCATCGATGTGGCGAATGCAAATCCTGAGCCACCTGCAAAGCCGGTGACCGGTCTACGGAGGTTCAATATTCTCTGGGAGTAGGGACACCGAACCATGCTGGCTAGGAGGTTCGGCTCGTGGGAGCGATGGCCTTGTTCAGACTGGCCTCGTTACATGCCGTACTTATAGGGGAGGACTCAGATGTATCTTGTGCTATAATATGCGAGACTCTGCATGGTAGAATATTAGCCGCACTTTTTCAACGAACCTTCCACTTAGAGCAGCTTCCTACGATCTATGTCCGTATAAGTCGCAGCATTTTTTTATTCTTTGAGTTTTAAAGTTCTCTGCTTTATAAGTTTCGAGTTTTAAAATGCTATTGTAAAGACTATCAACTTTTTTCAATGTTCTCCCACCCCCTTTCTTCGAAACACAATCAGCCCGTTATGATCCGCCACCCCAAGGGCGAAAAGCTGATATTCCTCATTCCTCTACTCCTTTCAGACTCTCCTCCAGGCTTCCCAGCCCCACCTCTCGCTTTCTCGAAGTCAGAAGGTCAAAGAAGCTACGCGATGTTCAGTCTCGTCTCTTGATACGCTATCGCTGTCCCCAGACAATCAGTCTCTCCACGTGAGAACAACGCTAAAGCCGTACAGGTGGTGGTTCCTGTCTCTTGTCTCTTCACTCCTTCCTCTATTTTAACGACTCCCGTCGATGTCCTCGGGCAACGACCTCTTATATCGGAACTCAAACGGCCTCGGGAAGTCTTCCGCGTCATATAGTGTGCGGTGCGGATTTACTCCCGCCATTGTCCCACGTGTTGTCAGATGTGCCGTCGACCATAAAAGGCTGGGTGTTATCAACATATTTCTCATTCTATAAGGCCCCAAAAGACGGTGGTGCAAAGCGATTTCCAACGGCCGTAATGGTTTGCTAAGTGGTGCCGCTTTCTAGTGGCTTAGAAACTTCCATTGGCATATGTGGATTGAGCGATGGATGGATCGGGATGATTTCCCTGGGGTGGAATAAAGGGCGGTAGGCAAGAGCGAAGATACTTCGAGAAAACGTAATGATGGATGTTAGCTGGGAGGATTGCCACCACCTGTAATCCACTGGTGATAAGGTGCTCCCAAAGGCATAGAGTGCGGTTTTGACAAACATGGCCGATGTTTCTACGTGTAGGACAAGAATTTGCCTCCGGGTCCTAATTGCTAAGTGGTTTAATAATTAATCTAAGATTTAGTCGGATAAGTATTTATCGTTTATCATTTAAGTCAGCTAATATTAAAATTGAAATTTTGACATTTTGAAATTTTGAAATCAATATTTAATTAATTTATTTATATGATTTTATTCACGTGGTTCACGATTAACGATATAACTTACAAATGTTATTTCTTTTGACTAGTTGCATACTATGTCCTGACTTAATAATGATCGAGGTCCCGCCTAGATCTTGGCCAATCTTAAGCCAACTGCAATGGCAATTACGGGTAGGACACTGACCAGCTCGCCGAGACCGGCATATTGAGGTGGAATGTTAAGTGCTACACCATTACGAGCATTGACAAGTGCGCCAGAAGCGAAGAGGAGAGCCAAGACATTGTAAACGAAGGACCAGCCGAAGTTGAACTTTATACGCCGCACGGCAGCTTGAGAGATGTTGATTATAGTCAAAATACCCTCCAGGGACTGTCGCATAAGCACAACATCAGCTGCACTCTGCGCAACATCTGTACCGGAACTCATATGCACACCGATTGTTGCTTGAGCCAAGGCGACGGCATCATTCGTCCCATCTCCTACAAAAACGACCGTAGACTTCGTTTTGCCGACTGACAACCTCAATAGAGATTGAATGTATTGTTGCTTGTCGCTTGGAGAGCATCGAGACCGAACTTCATCGGAATTGATTCCGACCTCTGCAGCGATCTGTTGCACGGGACCAATGTCATCTCCGCTGAGGAGAGACAGCTGAATGCCCCTCTGCCGGAGCTTAGCTACAGTGGCAGTGGCCTCTGGCCGCACAGTGTCGGAGAGGCCAAAGACAGCATAGAGCTTTGAGTCCAGTGTAATGCAAAAAAGAGTGTATCCTGCACCAGCCAGGAATTGGACATGTCCATCGGACTCCGCGTCAAGCCATCGAGCGTTACCGCCCCGGATCAATTTGCCCTCAGCTTTGCCTTCAATGCCCTTCCCCGCCACCGTCTTGATGTCGTCGATTTTAGTAGGCGTGGTACCATGACCCTCAAGATAGGTGGCAACGGCGACGGATACGGGATGCTTGCTGTTTGACACCAAACTGAGAATCATTGATTGACTTGCAACGTCGTTTTCCATGATGTATTGCTCTTTGGCGACTTTGAGCCTCCCCTCGGTAAGTGTCCCAGTCTTGTCGAAGACTATATGCGTTGTCTTGTACGCCATTTCGATGCTGTCGGCAGACTTGAAAATGACCCCACGTTCGGCAGCCACACCGCTACCAATGACGATGACCATGGGGACTGCAAGCCCAATAGCACAGGGACATGAGACAATCAGGACTGTAATGGCAAATATGATGGCCTGAATCGCAGCATCGGAGCCCGACTTCTTCTGAATCGCAATGCCGACGCTAATCCATACAACAAATGTGAGAATTGTGAGGGATACAATCACTGGGACGAAGTAGGATGCAACACGATCCGCAAAGTCCTGGATTTTTGGCTTGCTCAGTTTAGCATTATCAACCATACCAGCGATAACACTGATGGTATTTTCACCTGGCAGGTGTGTGAGTTGTATGACGAGTTTGCCAGAGCCGTTGATCGAGCCGGCGATGATCTTGGAGCCGACCTGCTTCTCGCTCGGTCGAGATTCACCTGTGAGCATGGACTCGTCAATTTCTGAGGAGCCAGATATGACGACTCCATCTGTCGGGACGCGGTGCTCTGGAAGGACAGTGAAAAAGTCTCCATATTGAAGCAGTCTGGTATCAATCTCGTCAATACTCGTGCCGTCTTTGGTAACCAACTGTGCTGTGGATATTTGCAGAGATCGGATTGTGATCGACTGAACCGCTTTCTGGCGAGACAAAGCTGCAACAAAACGGCCCACCATAATGAGGGTGACAAGAAGAGTGCTTGTTTCAAAAAATTCTCCAGTCAAGAGAGGATGTCCGCTAACAAGGTATCCGAACGATACGACCGAGAAGATGTATGCAGCGCTTGTGCTGAAAACAATAAGGAGATCCATCTCAATCATGCGAGAAAATACGAGACTCTTCAAAGCCTTGGGGTAGAACGGTCCAGCGATAACAAGCTGAATGATAGTAGCTAGGGCCAAGGAAACAGCCCCGTAAGTGATAGGACGGCTCCGGAGAGGTGCCCAGGAAAGAACTAATACAGGAACTGTCAAAACAATAGACAAGAGGGTCATGTAGCCCATCTCGCGAACATGCTTGCTGCCGGCAGCCAACCCTGGGTCAACAGGAGGCGGGGCGAGACTACATGGGTACTCAAGATTGTTCTCAATCAAACTACGTGCACCGATGACTTTTGGATCGAAATTGATGCGCACTATCCCCTTGCCAACCAGTTGCATGTCATTGACGCCCAGAGGAAGCAGCTGACCCAGGAAGTCTTTGACATTGCCTCTGGGTATGACTTCGAGGTTTGATCCTTGGGTCAAGATCCGCTCGCACTTGAATTCCGTAGTCCTTTCCAGATGCTTCATCACGGCATCCGGAGACATGATTGCAGTGTCCAGGTTGAATTCAGCTCTAGCAATAACTAGACTTGTTTTCAGGTTGGTGATGGGCGGAAGAGTTCCCAGGACTCTCTGAAGCTTAGTCTCACAACCAGTGCAGGTCATGCCAGTGATACTAAGAACCATATGTTCAACGCCAGAGCAACCCTTTTCGATGTCAGCAGAGACTGGCTGTATGCCAACGACGCTGGTGAACTCATCGCTGCAGAGTTTCGTACTGGCAGGCCGTCCTGAAGCCTCCCCTGTTACTGTAAGAGGAGTCTTTTGGCGGCGCGGCTTGCAACACGCGTCAGATGCATCTGAGTTGGGTGACCACTTTCTCGTTGTAGAACCTCTGGGTACAGAAGATTCTGCCTTTGGGATGCAGCAAGACTCTTGCCCGAGAGCAATAAGAGCGCGGCAGATGCAATCAAAGGCAGCCAGCTTCGCGGCGTACTTGTGGCGGGTGCGCTTCTTATGAGCCTCGCAAGCCGTACCTTCGGTGTGGAGCCCGTTACTCTTAAAGTCTTCGCTACAATTGCTTTTACACTCTCGCATCGCGATTCGGTCGATGCAGGATGCTGTGGGTGATCAGTATAGATACAATCATCCGGATGGCAACATGCTCACCATCGCAGCAAGGACTTGCTTTACCTTCACAGCAAGCCGACAAACCGCGACGCCCATTAGACTTCTCATTCTCTCCAGAGCAACATAAATCTTGACAGCCGTCGTCTGCTGCTTCCTTCTCCTCTCCAGAGCAGCAGGTGACTTGATATTTGTCTTCGATCAATAGTTCATTTCCACCACAGCAATCATCTTCAGTAGCCTCTTCGACAAGGTCCTTGTTTCCGGAGCAGCACCCTTCATTGCAGGGTTCGGTGACATTGCTCGAGTTGATTGCTGCCGTGATGGGCCCGAAAGAAGTAGTGGTGTTGGAGTTCGACGATCTATTCATTGTGCAACCATCGCAGCATTTATGAGAAGGATCAGCGGGTTCGGTAGGATTACTCATGATGAAATTATCACAATTCCGCAGACAATGAACCTAGCTTTTGGGTGATAGCAAGATAAACTTGGACGTGGGCTTTATCCACGTCTGAACAAAGTTTAAGCTTTAATTAAAAATA